AATATTTAGGGTCGCGAAAATTCTGTATAATACATAAAGATATTATTATATACAAAATCAACTTTAACACAAAATATTCTTGAAATCTTCGAGACCGCTGTTGGAAGCAAAAGAATACACGCTGGTCAAGTAACAAAAATGGCGCTTTGCGAAACGAACGGTCTCGATTGACGAGTTAAGTGAGAAATGTACAGTTTATAACGGAACATTTTCATGTGAATAACAAACGCCTTGAGGCGATATTAACTCCATAAATGACCATCTGTCCTTATCTTGCCTTGTCAGTGTGGTACCAACGTAAAAAGGAAGTCAACAGTTTGTGAACGGGCTAGACACGTACGATAAAGGGAGACAATTTGAGGGGAGGTCACTCTTGTATGACAATAGTTCCGTCAAAGTGTTATGCAGTGAAATATCAATTATTATGTTCACTGAAATGAAAATATCAACTTCGGAAAACTCAGTCTTTAACACTTAAGTACATATTAAAACAGTAGATTCACTGTCATATAATGTGATGATGTCCTTGTTTCAAATCCTTGTATGATATAATTAGGAGAGAGAGTTCCGTCCCGGAGTGTGTGAAGTCGCAGGTCTCACTACTCAACAGCAGACAGATAGACGTGGCCTCCTGGATGCAGGACACGGTTTAGAATTGATCTTCAACAACCCATGCTTGTCGTAACAGGACTCGCTGACTTGGTTGATGCATGCATCCTAAATGCTTAGATCGATGCTCATGATGTCAGTTAATGGATTGTCTGGCCGGGATTCAATTATTTACAGACCGCTTGAATATTGCTGAGTGCGGCGTTAAAGAAGAAACAAACAAACAAAACCTAGGTGTGAACGTTATTTAACGCCGCAGTCGGCAGCATTAATCAATGAATGAAACAATTGAGTTTGAACAATAACCAGTCTCCTCTGTCTACCGAAACAGATTCCGTAGACGGGAACTAGCGGTGAAGCTTATTTGAATGGATAACACCAGCTATTCGTGGCAAACCATTGTTAGACACAGACTAGTCTTTTTCTGTCACGTCAAGAGAATCTGTTATTGTGGTCACACATTTATATATGGTGGTTACCCGTTCACCCCAGCGATACTTATGTTGGAAGGAGGTCTACTAAGAACTTCGAATAAGCCACGACACGTACAGTGTCAACGCATTTCTACGTGTATATGTCTTAATCCTCAAAAGCAAGTAGAATCCACCCCAAATCATACTTAAGCAGGTTCTGCGCACAGGCAGCGAACAATGTGGTCATTATAGACGCTGAGTAAATGGCTGGTAGCCTCGTATAAGCGGCCATTAACACACACGCTTACATAACATAAGCTTAGAGTGATCCACTGATTTGGAAGTTAAGTTTGGCTTACTTTCCATTTGGACTTGATTAAAACACAACACTTTTTCAACATACGTTTAGCATAATCACTGATCTCAAAGTAAAATGTTGGTAACTTTCAAACATGACTTTATTTATGATGATTGTGCAAGTTTTGAAAAACTGTAGATCTAACAAATGGTTCTTTGTGCATGCTCATATTGCGGAAGAAGCGATCACAGTTGAGACAGGATAAGTTCCCAGTACCCTATGATTAATGTTAGTCAAGTGTATCCATGCTGAGAATGCAACTTGAATGTACATTGGTGTTTTACATAAGTAATAACTATACGCTTTACAGCATGGAATGAGGTCCCTACAGATGTAGATGTCGGTGTCAGTGAGAGCCGACGTAGTGGGAGCTGGGTATGGAGTTGCACCGGCTCCTCCTTATGGAATACGTGCTATTTCGCAGGTCAAATATTCCAGAGACCGAATATGGCCTCTGTGTATACATACAGAACGACACTTCTACGCGACTAACGGGATCGGGTGGTCAGGCTCACTGACTTAGTATACTCGCTGAGTATAGGGGTATAGGGTTTTCACCGGCTCCCCCATTCGGAACGAGTGCTATTTCGCAGGCCATGTAATCATACAGAACTTTACTTCCAAGAAGGTAGAGAAATACGACACATGTAATGTAAATACTTTTGATTTACAACTTTTCTTTTCGGTTTGATGCAAAATCCATCAACTTTGAAGAAACAAAGAATTTTCAGAATATGTCCATACATTTATAACTGATGGTGGGATACGTCACCGTTTTGAGCAATGCTAGGGAATCTACATTATGAGAATGGTAAGATACTCGTGTCACCGTCGTAACGAATATTACAAATGCCCCCATTGCCTACCCCTTAATATATTTAGAAAGATGACATGTTATGCTATGAGGGACGGTCGGGTAGCCTAGTGGTTAAAGCGTTCGCTCGTCACGCCGAAGACCCGGGTTCGATTCCCCACATGGGTACAGTGTGTGAAGCCCATATCTGGTGTCCCCCCGCCGTGGTATTGCTGGAATATTGCTAAAAGCGGCGCAAAACCCTACTCACTCACTGTAATGCTATGGACAATTCCGTTCTGATGGAATGCACAAGTTTTCTCAAGTGCGCAATCATTAATTGGGATTTATTGAAATTTTCTTTCACGTTTTGTTGTCTCTAGTCGTTCCCTTTAATGAAGAAAAACATATTTATACACATTGCTATCGACCCGTGAAGATTTGGGGTGAGAATTGATCTTTCGCAACCGTCGCTGTCGTAAGAGGAGACGAATTGGATCCGGAGATCAAGCTCCCTGACTTGGTTGATTCATGTCATCGTATCCCAACTGCGTAGATCGATGCTCAATCACTTGATAATCTGATTCAGACTCGATTATATGCAGGCCATACCGTTTCGTAAAGCCTTAATATCGCTGAGTGCGACGTTAAACCATAAACAAACAAACAAAACATTGGTGTGATTTTTATTTCTGTCACGAGAAATTATTTTGTGGTCATACATTTATGTACGTGGTTCCCCGTACAACCCAGCGATACTTATGTTGAAAGGAGGTCTTCCAGGAATTGCAAGCAGACCACGACACATATGGTGTCAACGTACTTCGACAAGCATGAGGAACAGAGGACGTCATCTGACCAGTCATCTCCATGGGGAGTATCACCGCTGTGGTTAGAACGGGCACCCACTGTCCAGTTGCTGGTGGCAAGTGACGACTCTATTTGGTTGGAGATCTGGCTGACAGCGTGTTGCCGTACCTCGACGGCGTGAGGCTTTGCTCATCATATGTCATTCAAGCTTTTTCTCCAAACCACCAACGGAGGTACATGAATATATATACATAATACAGTATTCATAACAAGATGGCGGATGTATGCAACATGTTCTATGCGATATTTTTTCAATTTTATCAATATTTAACAGTCGTACAATAAATTTCTTAAGTCTATAACGCTACTAACTTAAATAAGATACACATTTTTAACAGATTTATATACGTAATGTTTACTGATGCTGAGCATAATTGAAATAATTTATCGATAGGAACAGATATGTCCTTATTTGAAGAAGAATTTCGTTTATCTAAAACACAATAATACATTAGGACACGGGTGGTCAATAGCGCCTGACCCAGCGGTCGAAATCACTCTACTGTAAATCAGGTCAAAAGCGCTCGATTGTACATCGTTGTGATTTACACCCTCAGTGTAACGGTCTACTCCCCTTTCCCGACATTTGTTAAAGCATGTTTAGTCAGGCGTAGAACAATAGAAGGATTATCGAGGGTAGTCCACTTTGAGGGGTGGCTGACAGTGAGATCAGTTACACTTCACTGTCTCCATCATATCAATCTCAAGTATATGTGTTGATCCATATGTTTTATAAAATTGGTAATAGAGTTGATGTATAATTGAACAACTTCAAGTTATTTCACAACAATCTCCCCAAGCCCGCTATCAAGACCTTGGCAACCCGCCCCTTAATCCCGATGTTGTTATACCCTTACCAGATTCCGTTTATTATTAGAGAGAGAGAGAGAGAGAGAGAGAGAGAGAGAGAGAGAGAGAGAGATGTGTGAAAATACAAAAAGATATGAACATGACGAGTGACAGGGTCAACGGTTCTTTCTAATTAACTTACATAGACATACAATATATCACCGGGACACATTTCTGATATCATTTCGCCAATTGGGTGATACAGTTCTTTAGAGTTTTAAAATATTTTGCCACAAGTAGTATTTTTTTGGAATATACAGAATACAGAATATACCGATGTTAGGAAAGTGGGAGACACCAGTGGAACACACGTATACCCGCGCTGTTTGGTTTCATAAAAGTCGTAAATGTCCAAGAACTGCACAACTTTGGTTGACGTTGTCAAGCTGTGACGAAACTGAAACAATAAACCACTCACCACAAAGCCGATCAGGTTATACATGTATTTGCAATTGTTCTTCAAATCCTCCTTTTACTAAACACCCTCCGGGTGTTGGTTAATTGCCGGAGGGGTACAATACTCCGCGCCTACCGTAACCCCGTCCAACACGTTTCCCTTTAATTGTTCCACAATCGCTTACTAACTTGAAAGACCAGTATTTCTTCGGACGTTCATTTGAAAAGATAAAAATATGTAAGTTTATGTACCGAACTACTCCGAGATGACTATGCTGGAGGATAAAGTATTAGGATATTTCAAACTTACATTAAAAAATGAAAGATCCTTAAAATACGAATAAATATATGTGTGATGTGTAACGTAAGACTGGCAGGAAGTCTCTTGGCTGGTATTTTCACATACGTTAAGTGCTTGTCAAATCAACAATTGACCCCGTTACTAATATCTTAATTCGCTAATTAACGTTTACAGTTATGTTACTTTACAGAACAAAGGCATTCTAGTGTTGTACACGGGCTCCATCCTTTCATTCGCTTCGCCTCAAAGGGCCTAGTAGTAAAACATATCCCTGCCATACACCATATCGATTTTTTAAAACTTGCCTGTCAACAGACCATAGAGCACTTTCTAACACTGAAACAAACTATAACTTTCATCCTATACACCAGATGTATATAAACGTAGGTATTAAATCCCGCTGAGCCGACATAGATGACGCGCATGCGCACAAATCCAAATAATTGATCGCGATTTTGAAGCAGCGTCTTTCGGGAGTGTGGTGTTCTTACTGCATGTGTTGCCAGTGGACTGAACACCGACTTGGATTAAGGGTCATCCGCTAGATCGATCAGGCAGGCTCCCAACAGGTGAGGTCCATTTTGTCACCATACAGGGACCAACATATGTGTGTATACATGGTATATATAGCTGTCGTAATATACATGCACTGATGTATTATATACTAATAGCACTGTTACCAGCAGGATGCTTCATTATGAAGTAACATTTAGCTTATTGAATATATGTTTATCACATGATGTGTAAGCATATGTATGTTTGTATGTATGTATGTATCTGTATACTAGTATCTATGCATATACACCATGTACATAACGGGATGCTCTTGAATCAGTATCCGTCTCGAACTGAAAGTGGCAGCAGTCGTGTGCGATGTTGTCGGTGGAAATGTCAACGCTGTCTCTGAACCTCGTGTCAACGAATGAACATTGACATTAAGACTATCCTGATCACCGGATCGACTGGTCAATTACAACAGTTTATGTCTTGCAACATGTGCAGGATAATATAGCGTTCCAGTTCACAATTTACGCGAATGATAATTCTACCGCCTACACTGTAGACATGTATCGTATTTCAGTTACAGTTGATATATTTTCCAGATATCTTGTGATAAACGATAATACAAATGGTAATTTATGGTAATTTTCAGCATATGGTAGCCATGTTGAAGCACATTACATTCGATTGCGTGTGAAAATCATCCGTCCTCTTTGACACTGAATTCTATAGGTATCAATTTCTGTGAGAATGTTCATTTTTCATATTCATCATTTTTATTCATCTCGTAAGCGACATTTACAAGCTGTAGTATGTCAGTGTTGACGTACAGATTTCAACGTCTTTATATTTTCAATGAAATGTTTCGATACAGGCGTTGGTATCTTTATCAAACAGCTGTTTAATAACTATGGAGAACATTGTTATGTAGCTGGTATTAGTAAATCTTATAGGCAAAACAATACCTTCAAATAATTAGCTAAAATCACCAAACATCATTCTATTTGAATCTTTCTGTCATTTTCATCAGTTTATTCATGCTTGAGGCTCGGTCTGGGTTGCGTCTCTTCATATAACAGCCGGTTTAGATGTTAACGTTGACTTATGAACAAGTGTAGAAAATAGGTTCCTCCAGCCTACATACTGCCCGGGATGCGTGACACGATGCATGTACTCTCCATCCTTTAAATCTCTATGCTGTATACAGCCTAGTCTGTCATCCGGAAACACAGCCTGTCTGATCTCAACAGCTTGTGTAACACGCCTACCAGAGAGTATAGTCTTATTCTTATGTATCATTCTTGTGTCTATCATAACGTGGCCACCCTAAACCCCTTTCATAACTGACCATGTCTTAAAGCACCCACCATCCCACCCTTCCCCTCTAACACCCACCCCTCCACCCCCTCCACCCCCGCCACCCCCGTCATCCCACGCATGACATCCTTACTTTGTCAGCTTGCTGACGGGGTTAACCTCTTTGGTCGTGTGGACATGGCGTCCGGCCTCGGATTAGAAAGTCCGTGGTTCGAATCCTATCACGGGACTCGGAAATTAATGGCCGCTACTCCCATATCACGGACTAGTCGATAAGACGTGCTTGTAAATAGGTAATCGAGTGTTGACAATTGCACATACAAATGTCATTTGTATCAAACATGCTGCATCCTAAAGATTTGTGTGGACAGCCAGCCAACATTTGATGCATGGTCTAAAGAAATATGCATACTGCCATATTTGTTAACCCCGTTAATCACATCTTAACCGTGACCACTTTTAGACATAACAAATAGTCCCTCATTATTTTTATGAAATACTTTATGTCAGCAACATGTGACAATAACTCATCATTCGCCTCTTGCTTATAGTGGCAACCCATGACGTCATTGTTGATGACGTCAATGCATTGTTAAGTGACGCCATATTTTTTATGTATCCAGTGTGTCCAAGGTGTCCTTATAAAATAGTGTACTACGTAAACAGGTTTCATAAATAATTAATTAAAGCAACACCACCCTTTCCATATCCAATAGAAATCTCTGCATAAAGCAGAGTCGATTGTACGATTCCGACTATATCATGAGCATGTGTTTATGAATCACTATCAGATATATAGTCATGATACTAGGTGTTCGCGAAATGGTCAGCGTATCCTGCCCCACCCGTGGCACTCGTCACAAATGCATGCAAAGGTCAGTCACTTGTTCACCTGAAAAACATGGGAACATATGGTACAAGTCAAAATAGGGAATTGCATCGGACATCATTTGTGTCACTGATGCATCAAATTTGGAAATGCCCTCCAGATGTCTAAAATAAAAGTTATTGAAAGCTTTACTGAGGCCTTGAATGTTGTAGCCTTGATCAAAAAACTTCTGAGCCATGTGACGCTCTTTGAAATCTTGGTAGAAAGAGCATGCTCGATTGTATCTCAAAAGTTGTGAAATGTAAACACTAAAGGCTGGAGCTGCTGGAATATTGATCGACATGAAGGGAAAGTTGACTATTGTAAAGTTGAAGTCATCCCTCTTGTCATACAGTCTTGTGGAGAGTGTTTTGTCACTCTGAATCTTTATGCATAGATCTAAATATGAAACAGATGAGGCGGTATCACTTGTCTCCTTTATTTCTAGTTCTCGTGGGTGAATCAGTGGAAGGGAATTGGCTATTTGATTGTTTTTTAACGATATCAGATCATCGATATACCTGAAGGGTAAGTTAAACTTCTTGGCCAAATTACCTTTTTTGGACTTTGCCAATCCAAGCAGAAATTCAGATTCATAAACATAAAGGAACAGATCAGCAAGAAGGGGGGCAAAATCGCTGCCCATGGGGATGCCTACTCCTGCCTAAATGGCTTACCCCCGTAGATGTTATCAATGAGACAGTCCAGCATTTCACATACTGTTTTCTCAGTAAACTTCAGATGGTATCTGCTTTCATCTTTCACAAATTGCATATCACATCCACGGAATTTGATTGGCTGAGACGCCAACTGTGACCTTTCTGGCTCTACTTTTCATTGATCGATTCATTTATTCACTCATTCATTTAAGAACGGAAACGTCATAATTTAGGTTTATTCATTGAAACAAAACTCTGAACTAATGTTTCTGCGTAGATACAAAAAATGTATCATAAATTACATATACGTTTCATATGAAATTCAGTTTTTTTGGTCCAGACAGATGTAAATATAATCTCACGTGGAATCTCTTGATCGGCTGGAAAAAATGACCAAAGCTCTGGACAGATCCAAGTTATTCCACTCAGGACATAAACGTAATATACACCGAGGAGCTCGTTTCATATCCCAGAACTCCGTGGTCGCAGAGTCGCAGAGATGGAGCGTCAGCGGATAGTTTGGCTGACTTGTTGTCAAGCACGTGCACGTGTAACAGATGTTCAGGGATAAAAAATATTCCTGACACCTTTGCTTGACAATGCATATAAAAGTGAGATAACACCGATGGTCCACCAGATTCACATAAATATAATATAAATGTTCGCTAATTATTTCATAAACAATGTTATTATTTAATTATAGCTTGAGTCGGATGGCTATATAATTTGCATCAATGTTTGACGAATCGTCAACGACATGGCAAAATGATTATAAATAACAAATTAATGTTGTGACATGTTCGGTCGATATACACTGACTATGAGTACTGGCATACATGTTAGAACACTCAAGCGTACAGTTACAAATTTGTGTAAATCACAGTATGTTAACTTGCATCGTCTTTTTTGAATATTCCAATGTTAATGTGTATCGTTCTCTTTGAATATTGAATATTTCAATGGATCCCTATTCTTCATTTCTCGCTCTAAAACACAAGTCTCATTCACTATTGTTAGGCTTCACGTCGCATCATCTTATCATTTTATGGAAGTCTTCACAGTTATAGACATGCCTGTCAGCGAGGAACGCATCAAGCATGGTTAACACTCAGGGGGCGGGAGGACGGTTCTGATCAATTGTTGAACAATCAACAAGCCAGTCAAACAGGTTTCTTTTTTTCAAAACGGGTGAGCAGCGGGTTATTCAAATATTTTTGGCTCAGTAGGCCGAGGAACCGGTTTCGATTCCCCCAGATGTAGACACTATTTGAAGCCTGTTTCTGGACACTTTCCTGAAACACAAAGAGAATGAATGCTCTCTGGCTGCTGCTTTGTGTTAACATTATCCTCACGTGCAGCGAGCGTATACAATGACGTTGACCTTCACCCTGGATGGCGGTTGGGTAGCCTTGTGGTTAAAGCGTTCGCTCGTCACGCCGAAGACCCGGGTACAATGTGTGAAGGCCATTTTTAGTGTCCCCCGCCGTGATATTGCTGGAATATTGTAACAATACTCACTCACTCAATTCACACTGGAGGCCGCCATATGTTAAAGCTGTGATTAATCACTATTCACATCTTTTACTTTGTTTTTTCTGTCATATTTTTGGATATGTGTAACAACTATCCATAAAATAGATTTGTGGTTGATTTATCTATTTCCTCAAAAGCAAGTGTCCATGTTACTGTCAGATGCATTTTTGTATTTGCATATGTAACAATGAAACCGCTCAATTTTCCGATATATTCTTTTTATCTTGTTGCGTCATTTTGCCCCGGCGTGGGACGTGGTCTGTGTGTCAGTCCCTGAACCACATTATGCTCCCTTCCGACCAGCCCTTTCTGTAATGCAAAAAACCTTAGATGAAGCAAGTCTAGATTGGTATTAACCTGCTCCGTCTAATTTTAAAAACAGGTAAACAGTAGCAATTAGACAACCCAGACATAGTCAGGGATGAGTGACTTGTTAGAAAAGTAGGCATGTTGATCCACCCATTTTAGGGGTGTACAAAAGTAAAACAAAAACACATTTTTTATTGCATCATTTATGTAACACACACACACACACGCACGCACGCACACACGCACGCACAGGGATGAGTGACTTGTTAGAAAAAGTAGGCATGTTGATCAACCCCTATTAGGGGTGTACAAAAGTAAAACAAAAACACATTTTTATTGCAACATTTATTTAACACACACACACACACACACACACACACACACACACACACACACACACACACACACACACACACACACACACACACACACACACACACACTCTAGGTGAACGTCGGCCCGTGTCACCAGCATCTCCTGGAGAGATAGCTGTAGTATTGCATTCGATTTGCCTCAGGTTCAGGAATCTCCCATCTCACTGGGGTAATCTTCAATTTAATTTTATTTGTTTCTTTCAAACATATATTTTTTCAGAGGCTTTTTTTAGTCTACGTGTAACGTTACACATAATGGTAACAACGGTTTTGTCTGACCAGACTCGATTATTTACTGGTCGGCATGATCTGGCTAGAATATTGCTAACTAAAAATACCCAAACAATTTAAGCAATCTCCGTGGCTCCATGTATGCTGTGTGTAATGCTTAATTTAGTGTTTACTAACGTCATTATAAGAGCCTAGACGTTTTATTGTCCGTTGATTGTTACCAAGTACTTAACACAAGCCTATAATTAGTCGTATCATTGACATTCCATACGTGTAAATGTCAGTGTGTATGGGAGATATTCGCAGTTCGTGCTGGGATCCAGATCCTGTTACACTATTGTCAGTATTGACCCCAATGCTGCTTCAGCGCTGAATGAAATCATGTTGTAAGAGGTGCCGCTTTCAATGAAGTTTTAATTAATCTGTTCATAGTATACACGTAGTGTGCATTTTAGTGTGTATATGAAGTGTGCATTTTAGTGCTTACACGTAGTGTGCATTTTAGTGTGTATGTAGTGTGCATTTTAGTGTGTATATGTTGTGTGCATTTTAGTGTGTATATGTAGTGTGCATTTTAGTGTGTATATGTAGTGTGCATTTTAGTGCGTATATGTAGAGTGAATTTTAGTGCGTACACGTAGTGTGCATTTTAGTGTGTATATTTAGTGTGCATTTTAGTGTGTATGTAGTGTGCATTTTAGTGCGTACACGTAGTGTGCATTTTAGTGTGTATATGTAGTGTGCATTTTAGTGTGTATATGTAGTGTGCATTTTAATATTACATGTTTTGTATTACATGCTGTTGAAAGGTGGGGTAGCCTGGTGGACTAAGCATTCGCTCGTCACGCCGAAGGCGCGGGTTCGATTCTCCACAAGGTTACAATTTGTGAAGCCCATTTCTTGTATCCACAAAACCAAATCGACTTACAAGCATCGTAGTGTTAAATGTAAGATGTGGGAGTGTGTTGTTGTGGATTGTTCATAAACTCCTTGTCCTTTATTGTCCACATTGTTCATGGTAGCTGGCCCTGTGAAATTCCGGGGTAGAATAGGTCTTCAGTAACCCACGCTTGCCGTAAAAGGCGACTATGCTTGTCGTAAGAGGCGACTAACGGGATCGGGTGGTCAGGCTCGCTGACTTGGTTGATGAATGTCATCGATCCCAATTGCGTGGATCGATGCTCATGATACTAATCACTGGATTGTCTGGTCCAGACTCGATTATTTACAGACCGCCGTCATATAGCTGGAATATTGCTGAGTGCGGCGTAAAACAACCAACCAACCAACTAAGTCATGGCTGCTGACGACATTCAGACATCAATGTGTAATGACGTAACATAATATGATGACGTCACAGCGATTTCATGAACATCATGTCAAGAATTCTGGTTCAGCAGGGTTATGTCCCTTTGACACGCCAGGAAGCTACGTGGGTTCGAGTCCTGATTTGCGCCGTTTAGGTTTGTCAGCACCATACCCGTGCTCGTGGGTTTCACCGAAGTGGTAAACGTCTGAGACCTGCATCACATTAAGCTGACACGCCTTGATATAAGTGGAATATTGTTCAAAGCGGCGTTAAACCCAACTCACTCACTCTCGCGCTGGCTCAGGATAAATTTAGACAATAATTCGAACACTCGTTTCGTAAATTTATCATACACATATATGTTTTGTTTATTTACGTTTATAACGAACACGCTTATAACAAACTGTCGGATATAACGAACTGGTTTTGTGGCCCCGGCCATTTGCTGTATATATGCTTATAACGAACTACGGTTATAACGAAGTAAAATGTCATCGGGCTATAGGAGTATATGAACATTTTTGAAAGGGTGACGAATCCATGTCATGAATCAATGGCTGTATGAAGGGGTTGTAATACCACGTGTGTAATACTTCAGACGTATCACGAGTGCTATTTCAGGATCTGAATATTAAACCGGCAACAGATGTTTCATGGACAGTGAAACACACTTTCACCATGGTGTGTAGCGTGGAGCTTTAACCTCGTGTTGTATGCTGAATCAGCTGTTGTGACAGGATGCAGGAGTACTGTAGATGTTGACGATGCTGTTTATTAACTACAGCGGATGCTCCGGTCATATTGCAACCGTGCTGCTTTCATCACGTGGCTCCCGTGGACAGATGTGACCTCCATGTCGAGTTATTTGCCTTTTGTGAAAGTAATATTTAAAAAATCATATGATTTGATATTTTTTATTGAATTTTCCTATCAGTTGTGTTGGTTACATATGTCGACGCTGTTACTGTGGTAACAGTGGCTACTGCGGTGGACGTGGTAGATGCTGCATTGTTAGTAGTTGTACTGGTAGCTGTAGTTGCCGTAGCAGTAGATGTAGTAGAAGCAGCATTTGTGTCAGTAGTAGTTGCAGTAGCTGTAATAATCATTAGTATAGCAGTAGTAACAATAGTAAGTGTAGTTGCTGCAGTAGCGGAAGTAGTAGTTGTCACAGCAGCAGAGCAGTATTAGTTACTAGAGAAGCAGCATGTGTATCTGTTGTAGCTACAGTAGTAGTAGTAGTAGTAGTAGTAGTAGTAGTAGAAGAAGTAGCAGCAGCAGCAGCAGCAGCAATAGTAGCAGTAGTAGTAGTTGTAGTAGTAGAAGTATCAACAGCAGGACTAGTTACTGTAGAATCAACATGACGCGTAAATAAACAAAAGTTGCCAGTTAAGACAGTAGGGACTTCATAGACGCAACATGTGTATCTGTATACGTAGTAGCTACAGTAGCAGCAGCAGCAATGGTAGCAGTAGTAGTAGTTGTAGTTGTAGTTGTAGTAGTAGCAACAGCAGGACTAGTTATTGTAGAATCAACATGACGCCTAAATAAACAAAAGTTGCCAGTTAAGACAGTAGGGACTTCATAGACGCAACATGTGTATCTGGAGTAGCTACAGTAGCAGGAGCAGCAATGGTAGCAGTAGTTGTAGTTGTAGTAGTAGTAGTAGCAACAGCAGCAGTAGTTATTGTAGAATCAACATGACGCGTAAATAAACAAAAGTTGCCAGTTAAGACAGTAGGGACTCATATCTAGTTTTGACCCTGAAGAGTGTCGAACTCAATTGATCAACTTGAACCAGAGTGTCAATTACAGTGATTTATAGTCGACATATCCTATCAGGAAGCTCATTACAACCGAGAAAAAGGCTTACTGAAGAGATTTTCAAATCCATGAAATGTACGATACTCAACAATCTGGTGGCATGCTCCAGCCCCGGCCTAGACGTACTGTGCTCTATATGTGACGGGGCCTTGTCTCTTTGTAACCTGGGTGGTAAGCACTTACTTCGCACTTACTACACCAGGGAGTCTATAAAGTGTCCCTTGCTGCACCCAATACGACGCAGATGCACAATGTGGTATTTGAACGATGTGAATTAAACCTGCCGGAAGGTGAGCAATCATTCTTGTTGTTTTACATATATATTGTCGCAGGTGTCGGGGTGAAATGATTGATTCTTTCCAGGACAGTGCGGTTATATTCACACACGCACACGTACACGCACACGCACGCGCACAGGCACATATATGGCTGGGACGATACACCAACTGTGCGATCCGATACTTATCTGCTCTTATCTGTGGTGGGTAAGCCATCTTTTTCATAGTCAGGATTGGCAATTGCCTGGCATACTGACGATTTACAGTTGGCAGTGTGAAGTATGGTTCAATGGATGAACATATTTACCCCTAATACGTGTTTTGTGTATCAATTATTAAAGCAAACGTTTAGGGTAAGAATTGATATTTTTCTCTTGCGACTGTGATCGATGGTGTATATATTTTGTTGCAGGGTCGAATAAATGTGAATTGGTCAGAAATCCAAGATGGCGTCGAAAATTCTGGAGCTTGACACCGTATTGGGACAGTATGCCTGGCGCAAATTGGAGAAAAGTATCAATTTCGTGAAACGTCTCTTTATTGACCCCGGGGATTACTATGCCGTGATTGACTGGAAGTCTCTTAACATTGAACACAACATTATGAAGTTCTCACTCCGCCCCACAAACAACTGCGTGGAGACTGCGTGGGGTGAGATCACGACCGGGTCTCGATGGGTCTCCCTGTACGGCTGCGAGTACGAGAATAAGTCGGAGACCAAGCAGGTGCATTCATTCCGCGGGAAGCGGGAGACGACGACATGGATTGCAGTGGAGCTTCAGAATTGTTACACCATCGACAGAAACGTCAACATCGACGTAAACCTTCCGACAAATTTCGTCAAGTTCCGTGCCGGCAGAGACAACACGATGAACGTGAGCAAGATGAAGGGAGAGGTGTTCAAGGAGGTCATCCCGTGGGAGGTGAATTCTCAGATCGAGATCGGACCGTCATGGAAGGCCAGCGCCGAGCTTCTGGCACGTGAAGAATGCCAAGTGATAGATTTCGAAATCCGGACCAAGTTGTCTGTTCCTAAAGGCAAACTACCGGTGTACTTCAAGAAGAAGTCGGACGACAAAGTGGCGTACCTGGTGTTGCTGGATGACTTCCACAACGCCTTCCTGTCCCTGGAGTCCGGGGGGATACTGGATGAGGAGGAAATGTCTCTAGTGCAGGTCAGTGAGTTAAAGTATTCTCTTGCTAGTTTTGTTGGTTGTTGGTGATGTTGGTTTGTTGTTTAACGCCGAACTCAGCAATATTACAGCTATATGACAGCGGTCTGTAAATAATCGAGTCTGGACCAGACAATCAAGTGATTGATATCATGAGTATCGATCGACGCAATGGGATCGATGACATGCTTCTACCAAGTCAGCGAGCCTGACCACCCTATCCCGTTAGTCACCTCATACGACAAGCACAGTCGCCTTTTACGGCAAACATGGGTTGCTGATGACCTATTCTACCCCGGATCTTCAGGGGTCTAGTTTTGATAATGCATATAATAACTTAAAGGCATCCGTTATGTTGTCCCTTGACACCGTCAAAAAAGAAGGCGGATCGGGGCACGGGAGGCCCAGTAGTCTCATGTGCCGCAATTCGTGTGCTGAGTTGCGTCCCTTTGGCACGCCAGGAACTTATGATTGTTGGTTCGAATCCACTTGTTCATAAGTGATACCAGGATCCGCTGATTGTGGGTTCGAATTACATATTCGCCCTTATCGCGATCCTTGGTTTGTCAGCTTTATGATGGACGGTTACCCCTAAGTGGTAAACGTGAGTTTGTCACCATATTATGACGCACGAGATCCCCGACGGCGAACAGAACCTGTTTAGGGAACGTTTCGTTTCACATACACATTAAGATGAAAATGATCAATCTAGTCTCATACCACGGTTGATAGATAAGTTCTAAGCTTCAAAGAGAAAGAATTGCGTAATTGTGAAATCTTTTGTTATGTTCATTACACGATGTCATGGAGGTATATCCACAAACGCTTAAATTATTTGAACAAATTGTTTTGCTACTTCGCAATTCCTTCTATGTGAGGTTTGGAACTAGTCCTAGTTTAGATCAGACCATCGACAACGCCAACAGCCAGCTGCGCTCCTGATAAGGATTGTCCATCCCAACAACACATTGACACCATCATTGACATGAACAGGTTGAAAATGTTAATCGGCTTTCTGAAATATGACATGTATGATGAAGAGTAGATGTGAGATTATAATGATTTGAATGTTTTGTCACGTGGAGAGTCTTTGTCAATATGGCCATCTTTATACGTATACGTAGTTGGAACGTCGATGAAATCAGACTATATTCATTAAGTATTCTTTACACAGGTGGTATGTACATTGCCGAGCATATTATACGGGTTTGAAATACAAACGTGTTATATTTTCACACAAACAGGGCAACAATAGGCTATATCAAAATGGCGATGTTCTGATCTCAAACGCTGCTATTTAATACCAAAACTGACATTTTTAACAATCTCGTCCGACGCTACGGCTACCACACGCCCGTCTAAACATTTCTTGCATCCCTTAAGATCCTGATGTGGAACGCTGTAGCTATCCTCATCACGAGTTAACGTCTCATCATGTACCCGTTGAGACCCTGATATGGAACGCTGTAGCTACCGTTTTATTACGTTAAAACGTTTCTTCTTTAATCCGTTGAGATCCTGATGTCGACCTCTTTAGCTGTCCATTGTGGTCCTGATTTGGAACGCTGTAGCTACCCTCATCACATTTTACCGTTTCACGTTGTACCCGTTGAGACGCTGATGGAACGCTGTAGCTACCGTTATTACGTTTAAACGTCCCTTGCTTTTCCCTCCCTTGTTCGACGCTATCATAGCCAAGATAAAACGTTTCCCGTTTCCCTCTTCTTCCTGTAAGTCGATCATACGTTGGAACGGGTCAGCGTATTTCTGCTCTTCTTTCACCTCCATTAATTGAATAATTAAATCAAGGCTTCTTTGTGTGTGACCGGGCTGTAAGTAACTGAATTGTTAGGAATTAACCAAATGGCAATGACAGAACTTCTTTTTCTGGAAAATCGTGATTTGACAGCGTGATTCGAACCCATACAATTTTCACTGAAGGCTAACGAATGTAGTCTTCAACCACGGCGACATCGAAGAAAATGTTTGGAATTAAATATTTATTTCAAGACATAGTTCATCCGTTTATGAGTGGCAACACTTAGTTTTTTCAGTATGTTATTTTTTACATTAAAAGTACAAATGATAAAGCAGCTGTTCATTACAAGAACCGACCAGATAGAAGATACGCGTTTATTATCATATTTGCTGTATCACCCTTGGATTAACCTGTTCAACTATGAGACTCCTGTACGTATTTCCTGCCCCATGCAACTGTCTCATCAACACCTCCATCTTCCTGTTCTCCAGGTGCTGATGGAGACAACCCTGGATATGGACCGGAAGGAGAGGAGTACGACGAGCATCCAGCTGACCACACAAGGCGCCTGCACCAGTGTGGCGTGGTCAGATCAAAAAGTGAACATCAAAACAGAACCGATGCCTAACGTAAACAATAACCACGTGTCCGGACTTTACATCGAGAGGAATGGACTCAAGGACTGAGAACAGCGGCAGCAGCAATGATTTCATAATATATTGTTGGAAATAAGTAAGGGAAGGTATAAAAATATCAATGAATATGTAAATATGTTAAAAAACCTTCACAACATAAAAGATCACTATTTAAAATATTCATTTTTCAGTTCTAAATGATTTGATTTTGAGCCGTTCCCTTACTTCTTTCGATCAGTATATGTATGTTTCAGATTAAAGGCATTACACACGATTGAAATAAGATAATCGATATATTACCAATTTTAACACCATGGACATACCTTTTGACCTTAAGTGGGGTAAATTCTTCATGAAAGGTTTAAGTAATATAAAATTGTTGCCAGGGGTTGATTTGTGGATGCATGGTTACATGTCGAAATACGTGAAATCAAATAAATTCAGTTAAGAAATATTTAGGCCTGGGCGAATCTCCAACCTAAGCGGTTCTGGAACAGGACGTACCAAAAGAACCTTTCTCCTCTGGTGTGGGCTCTTGTTCAATCTCGATCCAGACTGGTCACGCTAATTTAACAGGCGATTGTCCAATTTGGCACAGGATGCTAATAACAATGTGAAGCCCTGAACCAGAAAGGCCGTAGAGACTTGCATCCTCTTTATCGTATGAATCAAACCTCGTTATGGGTGCTTACAGGTTTCAGTCACCTGACCTTATATATGGTGCTTCGTCTACCATATGGCATTATCTGTATACATGTGCTGTGTCGCTGTTTTAGATTGAAACTTTTTCTTCTAGATCTGGCAATCAGTAAAGAGGGTTTTCAACATGCAAGCAATGTTTTCATCTATAATCATATTATTTGTGTTTTTGTGTTTGCAAAGAGCTTCTTTTGATATATAACATATTACATCTATATTTGTATTATATTGGTGAATTAAGTTTGACCATTGGTTGATTATTGGGAGAGTTGAAACGAAAGGCGCGATGTGGGTTAAGTCTTGTGACAATACAGGATATAGCGATACAGAGTGTCTGACATCATGCACGGCGACGTGACGTATGTGAGGATGACATTGTGACGTTAAGTCACGAGGAGACGTTTCGTGATGATGCGGGGACATGTGACGTTACGTGACCAGTATATGACATAATGTAACGTGAAGGTGTATTACGTATTTTTGTGCCCAGGAGACGTTAAGTGATACAAAGTGACGTGGCGTCATGTACGTGGTGAGGCAAATGACGTTATGTGACGTGATTGACAGAAGACGTCACGTGATGACGTTATATGGCATGGTTAAAACTGAAAATACGACATGGTATGACGTGACATGACGAGACAAGACGTGTTGAACTACGATAACAATGATCTCTGTTCGATTCTGGTCACCAGTTTTTGTTTATGAAGAAACCTATAACATACCATTTCACGTATGTGTACCATATTATTACAAATGTATTACCAAGTCTCATAATGCATTCATCATTTATACCAATGTTATTTTTATGAATATATATACATATATATATATATAGTTACGCATTTCGTTCTTTTTGTCGCAATATGGTCCTTAATGAAACTCTTAATGCTCCATCTGAGGCAATATTGTATGGAAAACCGAGCACGATTTAACAATTCGTGTCATTGTGGCTTACCTTTTATGGTTTGTATTCGTTAAAAAAGAAATTTGAAAGATCGTTTGAAAAAACAAAGAATTATAACAAGAACATTTACTTTTAACATTTAGTTGGAAGTGGACCACAAAACATCAAATGATATGGATGCTTGGTATGCCCGTTACTGTTTTTGTTACAAGTTGTATTTTGTTTTGTTATCCACAACTGCTGATGTGTACGGCATGTGACCCTTATACCACATTCCATGTCACGACTGACAGTCTGAAATTGTAAATCAGTAACATGTAACACGCCCCGAGAAGCAGATACATTCTTATACGCTGCTGGACTAATGAAATGATGGATATGACAACAGAGGAAACTACAACACACCTAGAGTCTCTAACAGGCATTTAGAAGCAAGATGAACCTGAATACATGACACTTTGTATGGATAGCAACTTCTTTCATTCTTTGTCACGACGTTTCAGAGCTACTTCTTGCTCCTTCATCAAATGAACGATTCACCAGATGAAGGAGCAAGAAGAAGCTCTGATTCACCTGATGAAGGAGCCAGAAGTAACTCTGATTCACCTGATGAAGGAGGAAGAAGTAACTCTGATTCACCTGATGAAGGAGCAAGAAGTATCTCTGATTCAACTGATGAAGGAGCAGGAAGTATCTCTGATTCACCTGATGAAGGAGCCAGAAGTATCTCTGATTCACCTGATGCAGGAGCAAGAAGTAACTCTGATTCATCTGATGAAGGAGCCAGAAGTATCTCTGATTCACCTGATGAAGGAGCCAGAAGTATCTCTGATTCACCTGATGCAGGAGCAAGAAGTAACTCTGATTCATCTGATGAAGGAGGAAGAAGTATCTCTGATTCACCTGATGAAGGAGCCAGAAGTAACTCTGATTCACCTGATGAAGGAGCAAGAAGTAACTCTGATTCACCTGATGAAGGAGCAAGAAGTATCTCTGATTCACCAGATGAAGGAGCAAGAAGTATCTCTGATTCACCTGATGAAGGAGCCAGAAGTAACTCTGATTCACCTGATGAAGGAGCAGGAAGTATCTCTGATTCACCTGATGAAGGAGCAAGAAGTAGCTCTGATTCACCTGATGAAGGAGCAAGAAGTAGCTCTGATTCACCAGATGAAGGAGCAGGAAGTATCTCTGATTCACCTGATGAAGGAGCAAGAAGTATCTCTGATTCACCTGATGAAGGAGCAAGAAGTATCTCTGATTCACCAGATGAAGGAGCAGGAAGTATCTCTGATTCACCTGATGAAGGAGCAGGAAGTATCTCTGATTCACCAGATGAAGGAGCAAGAAGTAGCTCTGATTCACCTGATGAAGGAGCAAGAAGTAGCTCTGATTCACCAGATGAAGGAGCAAGAAGTAGCTCTGATTCACCTGATGAAGGAGCCAGAAGTATCTCTGATTCACCTGATGAAGGAGCAAGAAGTATCTCTGATTCACCAGATGAAGGAGCAAGAAGTATCTCTGATTCACCTGATGAAGGAGCAAGAAGTATCTCTGATTCACCTGATGAAGGAGCAAGAAGTATCTCTGATTCACCAGATGAAGGAGCAAGAAGTATCTCTGATTCACCTGATGAAGGAGCAAGAAGTAGCTCTGATTCACCTGATGAAGGAGCAGGAAGTATCTCTGATTCACCTGATGAAGGAGCAAGAAGTATCTCTGATTCACCTGATGAAGGAGCAAGAAGTATCTCTGATTCACCAGATGAAGGAGCAAGAAGTATCTCTGATTCACCAGATGAAGGAGCAATAAGTAACTCTGATTCACCTGATGAAGGAGCAAGAAGTAGCTCTGATTCACCTGATGAAGGAGCAAGAAGTAGCTCTGATTCACCAGATGAAGGAGCAAGAAGTATCTCTGATTCACCTGATGAAGGAGCAAGAAGTATCTCTGATTCACCTGATGAAGGAGCCAGAAGTAACTCTGATTCACCTGATGAAGGAGCAAGAAGTATCTCTGATTCACCTGATGAAGGAGCAAGAAGTATCTCTGATTCACCTGATGAAGGAGCAAGAAGTAGCTCTGATTCACCTGATGAAGGAGCAAGAAGTAGCTCTGATTCATCTGATGAAGGAGCAAGAAGTAGCTCTGATTCACCTGATGAAGGAGCCAGAAGTATCTCTGATTCACCTGATGAAGGAGCAAGAAGTAGCTCTGAAACGTCGTGACAAAGAATGAAAGAAGATGCCATTCATAAAAAGTGTCATGTATACAACAGGCCTTGAAAACAAAATTAAATTTCAGAAATAGATGACATTAATACAATGAATCCAGTGGAGAAAAATATTCATTAATTTAACATGATATACAGGTAGCAAGGGTGTAAAACATATGTAACGGTTAATTGATGTTTTTTTGTCACCTGAAATTCTATATACGCCAGGGGAACTATTCAGTTACATGTTGAAGCAAAAACTATTAATAAGGGACCACCTCAAAACAAAAGTGTGATATTACATAGTGAGATTAATTACCTGCATACCTGCAACATACGTTGTCCATACTTGTGAAATTGTATGTGCAAGTATTGTTCACGTATTTATTTGGACGTCATGTGAAATGCTCTGTACAATCTGAAGATCCCCGGTCCGGTCCGCTACCTCCACTGTTGGAGCAGATTCCAATCAAAACGTCCTGAAAACATACATATGTATATATCATATGGTCTATGACATCATATTTACGTCTCTTGAAAATCATGATTAATTTTCTGTGTACATTGAGTTTTTAACAATATAACAACATATTACGAAAATTTAATTTATTACTGTACAATATTGACCTGATACAGAAATTGCCAATTATATAAATGGACGTTTATGTTTGGAAATAGTTATATGTGCAAGTGTACTATATTGTGTACCACTAATAGCTATGATCATGACAATTTTAATGTTCATAAGATCTAAAATACTTGTGATAGATCTACATAACATCTAAAATACTTGTGATAGATCTACATAACATGTGTTTTGTTATTTATGTTTATACACTGAATGTGTACAGTTTTAGTTCTGAAATAATAAACCAAAAGGATAACGATAAACTTGTTTATTATTAATCCATAAAATATAACTTTGAAACCTTGTTGACTGGATGTACAGGACACCCGTAGGGATGTCGGGTAAGACTATAGGTCCCCAACAACCCATACTTGTCGTAAGAGGCGACTCAATGGATCGGGTGGTCAGGCTGGCTGACTTTGTTGATGCATGTCATCGTATCCCATTTGCAATAGATCGATGCTCATGGTGTTAATCACTGGATTGTCTGGTCCAGACTCCATTATTTGCAGACCGTCGTCATTCAGCTGGAATATTGCTGAGTGCGGTGTTGTACAACAAATCAACCAACTAACCAACCAACGAGTATTGTTGGTAATTCGTGGTAGAGGTGACACATCAATGAGACTTGTATTTCAAACTTACCAATGTATCAAGAAGACTCCCGTGACCAATGAGGCATAAACTAGTGGCCTTGGAAAGGACGCCAAACAAGGTAGCACCTACAAACAATAAGTTAAAATAGCTCCCTGTTGTTACATGTCAGTAGCTTATACCACTCCCTGTTGTTACATGTCAATACCTTATAACTCTCCCTGGTGTCACTAGTCAATAGCTTATACCACTCCCTGTTGTTACATGTCAATACCTTATAACACTCCCTGGTGTCACTAGTCAATAGCTTATACCACTCCCTGTTGTTACATGTCAATACCTTATAACACTCCCTGGTGTCACTAGTCAATAGCTTAAACCACTCCCTGTTGTTACATGTCAATAGCTTATAACACTCCCTGGTGTCACTAGTCAATAGCTTATACCACTCCCTGTTGTTACATGTCAATAGCTTATAACACTCCCTGGTGTCACTAGTCAATAGCTTATACCACTCCCTGTTGTTAAATGTCAATAGCTTATAACACTCCCTGGTGTCACTAGTCAATAGCTTATAACACTCCCTGTTGTTACATGTCAATAGCTTATAACACTCCCTGGTGTCACTAGTCAATAGCTTATACCACTCCCTGGTGTCACTAGTCAATAGCTTATAACACTCCCTGGTGTCACTAGTCAATAGCTTATACCACTCCCTGTTGTTACATGTCAATAGCTTATAACACTCCCGGGTGTCACTAGTCAATAGCATATACCACTCCCTGTTGTTACATGTCAATAGCTTATAACACTCCCTGGTGTCACTAGTCAATAGCTTATAACACTCCCTGGTGTTACATGTCAATAGCTTATAACACTCCCTGGTGTCACTAGTCAATAGCTTATAACACTCCCTGGTGTCACTAGTCAATAGCTTATAACACTCCCTGGTGTTACATGTCAATAGCTTATAACACTCCCTTGTGTCACTAGTCAATAGCTTATAACACTCCCTGGTGTTACATGTCAATAGTTTATAACACTCCCGGTGTCACTAGTCAATAGCTTATAACACTCCCTGGTGTCACTAGTCAATTGTTTATAACACTCCCTGGTGTCACATACGAAGGACACTACATGTATGTTTGTATGACCTAATCGTTTGGGAACATCATCGACTATTCTTGACACGACACTTCTTGTTTTGACAACACATTTTCAGGATATCCAGCATGTGCTGCGACACATTTTTGTTGTAAAATCGAAGGGAATTTTCATTCCCAATTTTAAAGTCGCCCACGGAAATTGATAAAGGCAGGGAGAGATGTGTTCAGAAGCTTTGCGATGAAATCAGAAGGCTGAACAGTGTTATCAATACATGCCGCCCGCCCCGATAAATCTATTGCGATTCAGAGGATGGTTACACGTGTTTGTTACACTTTATCAAGCCAGACATACAGTAAACTACGGTTATAACGAACAGGGTTATAACGAACTGACGGATATAACGAACTTACTTTTTGGTCCCGACCACTTGCTGTAGTCATGCTGTATATGTACTTATAACGAACTACGGTTATACCGAACTAAAATTAGCAGTCCCTTTGAGTTCGTTATAACCGTAGTTTACTGTAGTTCCATACTCATGTTGAGGTCCAAGTGGGTCTACATGGACATCTGAAAAAACAAATGACACTATTTCTGAAGAGTTCTAAAATAAAAGACGCGAAACCCCTTTCCATAATCACAGGTGAGGTGAAATGGGGTCGCGTCCAAGATTATTGCACTTATATAGCGATGTGCATGCACGTATGTGTGTGGCTGCTTGTTCTAGTTCCGGACTGATGCTGATTTATAGTGCTAGCGCACTGAGATACCAAGCCGCAGTTTAACATGAATACCCTACTCAGACACAGTATACTGACTCCGAGCCGACCAGTCCTTGTTTTAGCCCCTAAATGCCGAGCGTCAGACAGGGTAACAACAAGTACCATCTTTTAACGTATTTTGGTATGACACAGCCGGGGATCGAACCCCGGACCTTCCACTCTCCAGGCGGACGCTCTACCACTCGACCACGGTATATATGTATATGTGTAGTTTCCATGAAGCTACTACCTGGCATTTTAAAAAAAGAAGAAGAACTGACCGAGCTCAGATAGCCACATCCCAAAATATCCGATATTCAGTCGCCATTGTGAACACCTGATCCCCCTTTCATTGATGCCTCTTCAACCAACTAGAGGCACTGGTATTCTCCAGGCATAAGCTGGAAGGAGTAAATAAAACCATATTCATAAGAAATCTCTACTATTAGCAGAGTTCATTCTGATTCCGACTACAGTGTATATCACAATCATAAGTTTATGAATCACAATCAAATCCTATTTTTCTTCCTTTTGTTTTCATTACATTTCCCATCATATTTTTCATAGTTTGTACATGGTTTCTAAATAATTATAATTATGAATCACAATCAAATCCTATTTTTCTTCCTTTTGTTTTCATTACATTTCCCATCATATTTTTCATAGTTTGTACGTGGTTTCTAAATAATTATAATAAAATTAAATCCTAATGATACTAGGTTTTCGCAAGAAGGTGAGCGTGCCCCACTGCCACACCGGTGGCACCCGTCACAAACACATGCAAAGGCAAGTTAACTGTTCACCTGAAAAAAGGGAACTAAAAAGAAATGGTACGAGTCAGACTATGGAAGTGCACCGGACACAAATTTTGTAACGGTCCACATGTCTACCATGAAACGTTTTGTTTTTGAAAGCTTTTATTACGAAGGCCTTGAATGATGTAACCCTGATCAAATAAAGTAAGCGGCAAAAGAAAGTATAGGTTGGCAATTTGTAATTTTCCTAAAAACAGCGAAAACTAGTGGAAAGTAGGTATTGGGGATTTGACTGCCCTGGAACAGGTACCAAAAACACCTCACCCGAACGCGCCACCTTTGACGGCGCTCGTGCGGTGACATAAAAATGATGAAACAGGTTTCCCGCCTATGGCATAAACTGCAACGTGCATGTTAGCTGTATAAATGCGTTCGTCTGTAGGGTATAACCACACGTGATGAAAGTACACAAAAGAAATGCCACGACTGTCACAGGAGCAGAGAGAGAGCCATCGGTATGGCCGAAATGGGGGCAACACAGGTCCAAATTGCCAGAAGGTTTGGTTGTACACCACTGACAGTAGCCAGGCTGATTCAACGGTACAGGCACACAGGGAGGACACAGGACAAGCCTAGAACCGGACGACCCCGAGTGACAACACCACTGGAAGACGAACAGATACGGCTCATTCACCTGCGAAACAGATTCGTAACGGCGACGGCGACGGCGACGGCAGCAACAGCATTGGGACATCCCATTAGCCAACGTACAGTACTACGGCGACTTCGTGCTGCTGGAATCCGAGCGTATCGTCCTTTCCGAGGAATGGTACTGACTGCTCAACATCGACGCCTGAGACTGCGATGGGCGAGGCAGGTTCGACGCTGGCAAGTGAGAAATTTGCGTCGAGTGCTGTTTACAGATGAAAGTCGGTTTAACTTGTTTCGAAATGACGGCAGAGAACGAGTTTATCGACGCAGAGGGGAACGTTTGGCTCCGGCGTGTATTCGAGAGGTCCATCCATTCGGCGGGAGAGGTGTCATGGTGTGGGGCGGTATTTGTGGAGATCAGAAGACTGATTTGGTGATTATACAGGGAAACCTGAACGCGGTTTATCTCCTGAATGATTACCAACAGACTTCCAATGTGACAATGTGAGTAGATACTGGATCCAGTTAATTATCTGGATTCCTGTAATACCAATTTTGTAGCTGTTTACATATTATTTGAAGATCCGGGGTAGAATAGGTCTTCAACAACCCATGCTTGCCGTAAAAGGCGACTATACTTGTCGTAAGAGGTGACTAACGGGATCGGGTGGTCAGGCTCGCTGACTTGGTTGATGCATGTCGTCGTATCCCAATTGCGTGAATAGATGTTCATGATGTCATTCACTGGATTGTCTGGTCCAGACTCGATTATTTACAGACCGTCGTCATATAGCTGGACTATTGCCGAGTGCGGCGTTAAACAACAAACAAACAAAACAAAAATCACAGACTATGTGCAAGGTATAGTTAATACCATCAATAGTTTAGCAGAAAAAAATGAAAAGCGATATTAATGCATTATTGGTACAGCCCTCTCTAACCGTCACGGGTCAGTAAACATCTGTGTCTCCCCGCTGGGACCGGGCCAATAGTTGGATGTGCTTACCGGTAACATAATATGATAATAATAGTTCTATTGTGCATATTTCCACACCAATCGTGCTATTATTACCTTGGTCTCTGGATCAGTGTGCACTCAAGAATCCTTCTCAGCTCCCTAGGGAGTATACAACCCAAGCTGCCTATTAGGCGCTAGAAGGTTAACAACCACATTGCCATCACATCCTACCGGGTACCCATTCATTGCTGGGTGAACCGAGGCACATTACGAACGAAGTCACTTGCCCAAGAAGACGTCACATGTGGTACATGTGCTTCAGTTTGGGGCAGGACCGAAGCCCTAGAAACTCTCAGGAGCCAACTGATCCCCATTGTAGCCCTGTGTAGTGCTGAATGCTCGTCTTCTGCAAATGACTGCGAGGTTCACAAGTTCATAAAATCACAAATCTTTCACTTTGTGTAAATAAACACAATGCTACAGATGATATGCATTCGTTGCATTTATTGCCACATGGTTACATAAATGAAAGAAACGTTTAGATCTGATAAATCAATGATTATCTCCCTTGGTGTGTTCCGGTTAGATTGCCAAATATAACACAATAGCATAGTAATAATATTTATTAACAAACACGCAGAATAAAACACATTAGTAGTAGAAGCCCAACTGAATAACATACATTAAACGAAACAATGATCAAGTCTATAAGACAGGCGCATCTATGTACAGCTATAAAACCTATTCCGAATCAATTATATACTACTCAAAAGAAGTTAGAGAACAGCAGAGTCGGGTGTTGTCTAACTTCTTTTGAGCAGTATTTTATACAGCATCACTTGTAATGACATCTCAATACATCCTTGTTATCGTCAGATTACAGCATCAGTACCTGGCACGTATATCTACAAAGATAACTGTATATAATAACTGTGTGTACCAGTTCAGTGGAACTCAAATAGATCCGGTTGTAAAAATCCATGTATTTAATTACTTTAATACTGCTTTAAGCAAGAGAATACCAAAATATACAGAAGGGCATTATCATGAAGACTTGCCCAGGGTTCACATGCTTCCCTTTGAGCGCCATTCACATTAACGTCCATATACAGTAATAACGTCTACATCTGCTTGTGAACAATATGTGTACACCACGCCCATGTAGATACTTTATTTACGATACGTAAACCTGGCAGATTTGTTCTACAGCCTTCACATACTCTGTAAAACTATAAATGGCCACGGTGTCACAGAATGGACATAAAACGTTATTGATTTCCTCAACCAACACGTTTCTGGGTAATGAATGCACGTTCGTAACACGCTGTGGGCAGATGTTAAATTAAAACCAACCAAAATAAAGCCCGGGCATTTTTGGACGTTCATTTCACCGTCAACTTGGCATACCGTATCACTGTTACAATTGGACTTGCGGTAATGTAGTATCGTCTCAAATATAAAGATAATTAAACGCATACAGTAAACTACGTTTGTAACGAACACGCCTATAACGAACTGACGGATATAACAAATTTAGATTTTGGTCCCGGCCATTTGCTGTATATATGTTGTGCATATGTGTTTTACGAACTACGGTTATAACGAAATACAATTAGTGATCCATTTGGGTTCGTTATAACCGTAGTTTACTGTATAAGCAGCAGTGCAAGGGCTGAGGTTTACATCCACATTAACGTGTGTTGAATCTAAATAAGTAGGCAGGTAATAATTGACATATATTCCCGAGTCAGGACGTTTCCAGTGTTACTCTTGCTTTCTGCAGCACGCCCACGTGAAGGTGACGATGCACATGATGGCGATGATCCACACTGGCACCAGGAAGCCAATCGCTGACCGGTACAGGAAGGTACTCGGACATCCCGCTGTCATCAGCCAGTAGGTCCCTGCAAGGTCAAGCAATGTCCGAATTACCTGTAATGTGCAGAATGAGGGGGGGGGGGGGGGGGGGGGGGAAGTGTGTGTGTGTGTGTGTGTGTGTGTGTGTAATAAGGTCCTCATCTAATTATGTTTGTTTGTTGTTTAACGCCGCACTCAGCAATATTCCACCTGTTTGTTGACGGTCTGTAAATAATCGAGTGATGTCATGAGCATTAATCCACGCAGTTGGGATCGCTACGGTGACATGCATCAACCAAGTCAGCGAGCCTGACCACCCGGTCCTGTTAGCCGCCTCTTACAACAAGCATGGGTTGCTGAAGACCAGGGCCGACTTGCACAAAGCGATCTTAGTGCTAAGACTATCGTAAACCTATGTTAAAGCATGGGAGTTACGATCATCTTAGCGATAAGATCGCTTTGTGCAAGTGGGCCCTGTTCTACCACGGATCTTCATGGGTCCGTCATCTAATTAGATCATGGCGTAAGTAGATAGTCTCACGCTGCAAGCACGGTGACATATAAGTTACTCAGTAAAGATTAGTGGCTGCACTGATACGCATTTAAGTCGATTTCGTGGATAGGTGTGGGTCGTTTTAACTCGACATGTTTTAAAGCTCTGGTGGTATTTCATGAAATTAACTTGACCAAATAGAAGCGAATATAAATAGCATATGGAGTTGGGTTACGAAATGTTTTGGAACACACGCACACATGCAAGCACACACACGCGCACAGACACACGCACACATGCACGCACACATTAGTTCATTGCCATAAATTCTACAAATCCAGCTTCCAAACCCTCTCTAACTATCTCCTCAAATTAGACATTTGGTTTACGCCGAACTTCGAGATATCACAACATTCGAACAATTTCAACGCTGCATATACAGTCAACTTCGGACATAACGACTTCGCTTATAACGAATCTCAACCATGAATAATCACCATTGGTGTTCGAGTAAAGAAAAAGAAACACCACAAACGTCCTTCATTGTTTACTGAAAACGGAGTTCAGAAACATGATTCGAATTATGCATGCCTTCGAGATTCAGGAGTTCGACATAAGGAGATATATGATTACCTGCGCAGAACCAACCGAAGGAGAGGACGGCGACAGTGACGACATAGGTGAGGAAGTTGAGTCGCTTGATGCCAACGCCGAGTCGGTACTTGACGAGGAACAGTATGGGCATCGTGATGGACACAGATCCCTGGACTATCATATAGATGGCGAGGTACGGCTGGGTCGGGCACTCGTTGAAGAATATCACAGCTGGGACGAGGGGGACAGACATATAGATATTATATTTTCGTCACACCGCTGTACATCATAAAACACGTGCATAAAATAGGAGTAAAGGAAGTAAAAAATAGGACAGCCCCACTCACATGTGTTGTGTTATGAGAATATGTACATGTAGAGTGTATATACGTTATGAGAGAGTTGGTGAGTGAGTATGATTTTCGCCGCTTTTATTTTCCAGCAATATCACGGCTCCACACATTGTTCCCTTGTGGGTAATCGACCCCGGGACTTCGGCGTTACGAGCGAACGCTTTAACTACTAGGCTACCCCACCGCCCAGTTATGGGAGACGATACAAATCTAAATGATATATATACAGATAACAAACTCTTTCTGCGTTTCAATATTAACATACAATATATTGGACATTTTAGCCTTTATAACGTAAATAATGCAGATCTTAGGTCATCGTATAATGGACATTGAAATAAAACTTGTTCTTCATCTTCAAAATGAACATTACAGTTAAAACACACTCTTTAACATTTAAGTTAAAAACTTGAGATATCTGCCAGCTACGATTCCACGTCTGAATTTCTAAATTTGGCAAAGGCAGGACGGTAACTCCGGGGCATACATATCTTGACTTTGATATCACAGCAAAGAAATCTTTAAAAATCTTGTATATACCGAGTTTACTTGTACTTGTATTAACATTATTTTTTCTTCAAAAGAATAACGCGGCTTGGAAGAGGGAGATGGATTTAACATGTGGCCAAGTCAAGTTTTAAGTATTTGTACATATTAGTTAGATATTTTAGATATTTCATTTCAGCTTTTAACTTTACAGACAGTACACTACAAACCCTCAGAGTTATACAAGCCCTCAATACAATACAAGGGGCGGTCGGGTAGCCTAGTGGTTAAAGCGTTAGCTCGTCACGCCAAAGACCCGGGTTCGATTCCCGACATGGGTACAATGTGTGAAGCCCATTTCTGGTGTCTCCCGCCGTGATATTGCTGGAATATTGCTAAAAGCGGCGTAAAACCTCACTCACTCAATACAATACAATACAATCCAATAAGCCTAGCCCTGCACCTGGTTACCGTGTGCGAAATACGTATAAAGTCGGAAAGCGCACGTAAAAGCCCCAACACTCTCTCTCCAACTCGCCCACCTCAGTGGGCCCGCCAGGCTCTGACCCTACGCTTGCACTCTGCACAAGTTTCTTTTGTCTTTCTGCTTTAGTTTCTCTGGTCAGCTTGCTATGTATTGTGCATTTAGTTTTAAAGGTTTCCGTCCGGCATATCTAGTAGGCTTTTTTGGTTGGTTTGTTGGTTTGTTGTTTAATGCCGCACTCAGCAATATTACAGCTATATGACGGCGGTCTGTAAATATTCGAGTCTGAACCAGACAATCCAGTGGATGACATCATGAGCATCGATCCACGCAATTGGGATACGATGACCTGCATCAACAAAGTCAGCGAGCCTGACCACCCGATCAAGTTAGTCGCCTCTTACGACGAGCATAGTCGCCTTTTACGGCAAGCATGGGCTGCTGAAGACCTATTCTACCCCGGATCTTCACGGGTCCAGTGCATCATGAGACAAGTTGTGACCTACCGACAACTATCATCCCAGTGAACAGCATGATGCCCAAGGTGCTGATGACGTTGAGGAACACTGGAAAGAAACATTTTGTATCAGGGGCATAACTATTTATCGATTCTTATCGAAATCATCACGTTTGGTTGTAGTCAAGTGAAACGGTGATTCCTGTGTTGGTGCTGGCAGATAACAAACTTAAGTTTTTACTCAAATCTCAAACTGCATTTCTCGAATCAAACTCAGCTAAAGTTCAGCTGAGTTTTCTCAAATTTGAGAAAAAACTCAGACTTAAGTCCGTTTTTTAACTTAAGTTTCGAGAAATCAAGGCCAGGTCAATTTGAGATCGGAAACCGCGATACGGATCCCTTGAGCCAAGAGGCGCCCCACGCTCTGACTGTCATACATTTAGTATTGAAGAACACATGTGAGCACTATCTCTGTCATGAGTTATACTCAGGATGTTTGTTTCTCATCTATACATTACGTGCAAGGACAGGCATATTTCGATGTGATACCTGTATATGCCTCAGATGGTAGCGAGATGTTAGTATGTCTTAGAAACGGACAGTTTCATCCTAAAGTTTTAGCAACATATATCAAATCATATATCAAACAAAAATCTGTCCCCATTTTTACGAAGTTTCGCATCTGGCTCATATCTTAGCGAGGGTGAAAAATCAAAATTAGAATTGCTGGACAAAAAGGAGAAATAATACATTGACTGATGAATCTCACCATCCTTTGCCTCGGACTGCGTCACCTCACCCTCTGTAACAACAAGAAACTGTCAGACACAAAGCATATCCAGAGATGTCATGTGCTTCAGTCTAAGGCCAGACCATTTCAATAACTTGTCCTATAGATCTTAGCCAATTGCCCCCGAAACATAGATAGTAAACTACGTTTATAACGAACACGCTTACAACGAACTGGCGGATGTAACGAACTATTACTTGGTCTAGCCCATTTGCTGTATATAAATTTATGTTGTACATATGCTTATAACGAACTAGTGGTCCCCTTGAGTTCGTTATAACCGTATTTTACTGTATCTGTAATTGGAAACAATGATAGTTTCTAGAACTTTTCATCTCAGAATTCATATTGACAGGTTTGTTCTCTTCTACACACTCATGTAAAGAATTCGCATGAAGAGAAATTATGTGAGCGTTATGAGCACCTGACCATCGTGTTGCATCAGGCTCCCAACAAACACGCAAACATCCAAATTGTGCGCCGTGCATTAATATGCAAGTGCTAACTGTGAATCACGACCTCAAAGTCGAGGAGATTTCTTCATGAGTTATGTATTAATGCAATCTCTAAAGTTAGAAAAAATTTTTTTAATTGATTCTTGATATTAAACATATATAGTTACCTTTTTGGGTTAGTATGTAGGCGATATTTGTGTTTCGAATCAGGCTAACGGCGATGATGTCTGAATAATTACGTCATATAATGGAACCGATAACGTTGTTGCCTACGTTGTTAACTCTCATCCCTATGGAGGGCATGGTGATGTCACGGTCCAACACTTGCAGGTGACTCTCTCTCTCTCTCTCTCTCAGTCATACGAACATTATTAACAAAAGTTAAAACTGCCATAACTTTACCAGGCCAAATTGGGTTCTTTTCATACTTCATCCATCCATTCAAGATAGAGATATTTCATTGGTTCCAACAATATCTGATTCGTTGATATCTTTTTATATGAGAGAGGCACATAGGAAACAATGATATCAAATACTACCAAATGTGAATGTTATTTATATCCTACAGTAGTCAAATGGACGGTCATATAATCACAGGGGCGGGAGGGTAGCCTCGTGGTTAAAGCGTTCGCTCGTCACGCCGAAGACCCGGGTTCGATTCCCGACATTGGTACATTGTGTGACGCCAATTTCTGGTGTCCCACGCCGTGATATTGCTGGAATATTGCTAAAAGCGGCGCAAAACCATACTCACTTACTCACTCACTCAAGTTGCCCCAAGCTAAAGGACTCAGACTTTTATCCAACATCTATGTTTTCAAGAGCTCTCTAACTTTGCTGTGCCGTGATATAGCTGGGATAATTTCTAGATGCACATATATTCTCGTTACACTGTGAATGGCGAAATTCGGATAGAACCTTCGTTTTCATATGATCATGTATGTCATATAATTCCCAATGTTCGAGACCGCCTCCGTGGTCCAATGGTAGAGCCTCCGCCTGGAGAGCGGAAGGTCCGGGGTTCGATCCCCAGGCGCGTCATATCAAAAGACGTTAAAAGATGGTACTTGTTGTTACCCTGTCTGTCGCTCGGTATTAAGGGGCTAAAACAAGGACTGGTCGGCTCGGAGTCAGTATACTGTGTCTGAGTGGGGTATTCATGTTTAACTGCGGCATGGTATCTCAGTGAGCTAGCATTATAAATCGGCATGAGTCCGGACTAGTACAAGCAGCCACACACACACACATACACGTGCATGCACGTCGCTATATAAGTGCAATAATCTTGGACGCGACGTTAAACCCCATTTCACCTCACCTCACCTCACCTCAATTGTTCGACATTAGTTTTGGCGTTTTATTACATTTATTATCAAACATATATTATGGTCGAAAAGAATTTAGACAAAAGTTAGACACCGTGAATCTTTCACGTAGGCCATTGACACCTATATTAAGAAGTACACATACCAGAGGACAAGAAATGAATGCGAATGACAAAGGTGATTAGTGGCATTAATGAGATACACTTTAATAATAGCATTACACCGTCACGTCATAACGGCACACGCAATAAATGCACGTGCACATTATGTGCAGAGAGACCTGGATGTATACTGTATGAAGATGTACTGTTTAACGTTTGATTGGGACACTCTGAGTGCAGTGTTGGAGACTGAATGTCAATGATGACAGAGGGATGTCACACAAATAGTATACAGTCTCGACAAGGAGCTTCAGCGTGTGACGCTACATTTCAACCTAATTAACCCCCAGTACACATTCAATACGCTGATGTCCCCTTTGTGGTAACACTATCAAATACCACAGTGTCCCTGTCAAATGTTGAGTAGTATTCAGCTGTGTCGTGTACTCACCATCTGGGGTAGAATAGGTCTTCAGCAATCCGTGCTTGTCGTAAGAGGCGACTATGCTTGTCGTAAGAGGCGACTGAGGGGATCGGGTGGTCAGACTCGCCAATGGGGTGGATCGATGCTCATGACATCAATCACTGGATTGTCTGGTTCAGACTCGATTATTTACAGACCGCCGTCATATAGCTGGACTATTGCTGAGTGCGGCGTTAAACAACAAACAAACAAACAAACAAACTTACCATCCATAGGCTCATACCCTGACACCGATTTAGCCATTTTCTGGAAACATGATACAGTTAATTCAATAAAATATTATCAATTTAAACAAATACATTATTATGCAATTTCTTAAAAAAATTCTTCCTGACATTCAAATTATTATTTTCGTGAAATATCACACGTCTAAGTGAGTGGCGAGACTAACCAATAATAACAGAATATTTTAGTGTCTTCCTTCATTCTGGATTCCGGACTGACGCTCAATTGACGCTCTCTAATCCGGATTAACATCATTTGTCTGACTTCCATGTCCATTTAGCTGTTCCCCCATCAAAAGGCTACACGGATTTTGACATTGCCCAACTATGGTCAAACTAATATCATTTGGAAAGAAGTGTTATCAAAGTTTTCAATTTTGGGTGTATAAAACGTGCATATATGTACCTGGCAGACATACAACAGAGTTCACTGATATTAACAGCTAACTCCTTGGTCGGGATGCCATGTTGAATGAAGCCAGATGCTATTTACCAAATGGCGAGTAAAACTAAGATCAAATGCTTTACACAATGATATATAGACACATATATTACCTATCTTGTTGACTCACCAAATCCTTGATCTGTGAATGTTATAATCCCCAATTAGTGATGATTAGTTAGACCAGCGTCTCTCAACACGGGGTAGTTACATCCTTAGATGCCTTAATCCATGACGTAGGCGTCTCTCCAACATGAAGCCATTATATTGAATTTTGATCAATGTTACCAGTGTATCTCGAGGCGACTTGACATTACAGTGCTATACAATTGAAACTCATAAATACACGAGACCATGGACAAATACCAAGCTGTTGCCGGATATTGGGAGCTCATTGTATCTTAACACGCCAGATACATATAAAAACCTCAATGCGTCTTCCCGACCACGAAGTATTATGCACACTGTTGTCAAACTGGAGCTTGAATTTAGTGTTTTATGCAAATCATTTTAACTTTAAACAAAGGGATTTTTACAGAAATGTTATCAGTTCTTATTTCAATATGTGTGCATGCGTGCGTGCGATTACGAAACGAGTGTTTTGTATTCTCAGTGCGATCGAGGGAAATGCAGGACTCCTGACGTAAACTTTGTAAACATGTGTATGATACAGAAATGTTACCATGTCTCTGGCCTCCACACTTAATATCACATGTTAGTAAGAGAATAGTGTTCAACGGCGCAGGCAGAAATATTGAAATTATATCAGGGAGCCTGTAAATAATGGAGTCTGGACCAAAGAAACCAGTGACTGAGAGCATGAGCAACGAGTCAAGCATTGGGTTCTGATGACGTGCACCTTCAACCAAGTGCTGTTGAACTACCAACCCATAACGATTTACTGGGGACTTATTCTCCTCTTAATCCCAAACTGAATATAACACAGTATGAGTCATAATTATTGAGAATCGAAAAATCTTTAAAACTGTAAATATGACCCCCCCCCCCCCCCCCCCCCCCCCCCAACAACAAACAAACAAACAAAAACAACAAAAACCAAAAAAAACAAAAACAACAACATATTTTAAGTGAGCAAACCTTCTTTAATCACATCACAGTAACAATCAATATTTTATCAGACCACCATTTGCTTCCAAACACAGTTTTATACGTTTGGGCATACTTCCTATGAGAAAGGTTAGAGTCTCGTGGGTGAGAGAGTCCCAATATCGCCCCACCTCGCGCTTCATGTCATCAACTTTTGTCAATCCCTTTTGGTTGACCGACTCCTTCATGAGTCCCCACACATTTTCTATAGGATTTAAGTCCGGGCTGTAGCTAGGCCAGTCCAAAACGGTCACATTGTTGTCCACAAGCCACTGCCGCGCATGTCTTGCGGAGTGTTTGGGGTCATTATCCTGTTGCAAAATCCAAGTATTTCCATAAAAACATCTGCATTTGGGATCAGGTGAGCTTCCAAAATGTCTGTATACCTTCCACTGGTTAAATTTCCCTCAAAGACACACATGGGCGTCGTTCCAAGTGGAGATATCCCTCCCCAAACGTGAAACTTCGGACTGTACTTTGGTCTCTGGTACAATGGAACGGAAGGCATTTTGTCCACATTTTAACATTGTTAGGATACACCAATACAGAGCTCTCATCTGTGAACATAACACAGTTCCGGTCAAAGTTTTCATGCGCCAAACACCACTCTACACGTCTATCCTTGTGTTCTTGTTTCAAGAGCGGAGAGGCAATTCCTTTCTTTTTTTCCCATCCAAGTTCATTCAAATTTCTTCTTACTGTAGATTTGGATACATTTACTGTCCCTCTATTTACCATTTCACTTTGGATATTTGAGATACTCGCCCTTCTGTTTATAGAAGCTAAAAATACCCAGTCTCACACGATCACCAAACACCAGTTTTCGAGGTCTCCCCGCTCCTTTTCTGTGCTCAATTCCTGAACCATTTTCAATATTCTTCTTAACTCTATACACTGTAGAAAGAGGAGTATCTGTGCTCTTTGCTTATGTAGCAGCATCAGTGATGCCTTCACCATGGAGCTGTGGAATCAACCTTCTTTTCTCCTCTGAACTCATTTCTGACATATATCAGGAAAAGTCGTCTGCTCCATAATCAAGGGAGATAACTCTAATTTTGCACCTTCTTAAATTGAAGAAGAGTTGCTTCCCTTTGACCATACACACCTGTCAATATTGATATTTATGTATGCTTCCTTGAATATGACATTAAAATTCTCAATAATTTTGAACCAGACAATATAACTTAGACCTCAGATGAAGTAAGGGACCACTAATTTGATATACTGGGGGCGGGGGTGGGGATGGGGATGGGAGGGGGACCCTGGGATTTTGTATTGAGACAAGGGCCCATTCCACAAAACAATCTTAGCACTGAGATGATTGCAACTCCCATACTTTAACACGGACACACAGTGCTAAGATCCCTGTATGGAACGGCCAAGATATCGTTTCAGGAACAGCTGCAAAACCAGATGTATTTTTCATTAAAACTGTGAGCCTAGGGACATTTTTTTTCTTAAATACACATTGCAACAAGGTAAATCTTTTGTAAAAGATATATTTTTGTCTTCGAACGAAAAGAAGCATAATTATTCTTTTCAAGAATTTTTGTGAAAATAATTTTTGGGGGGATAAAATCCCAGACTTGGTTCATCTGCATTTGTATTAAGTAAGTCCTCAAACTGTCTTTGTCTGTTTTTTACATAAAAAACCCAACTTTATGACTGTACCAGGTGTTTATTTCAACCTTGTTAAAGCTTCACTTTCCTCCAATATAGGAGATACGGTATCACAGATAGAATCACACAAGGGAAAAACTGCAAAAATTGTTCAGAAAAGTTATGACAATATATTCTTGTAAACAATTTGGCATTGGAAAGGATTTTATTGGAAGAAACACAATACTGACAATCATGTGATCTCATCTACAGGAAACAAATATGAATAATGTGATCGGCTATTATTACAAACAAGAACAATTATACAGATTGTCAGATACACATTATTTATTATTCATAATTGTTGGACTAGAATGTCAGAAAAGTAAATCAGTCAAATATTACACCAACATATAAGTACCTTTCCACTTCAGGTTAAAATGCTAAGACAAATAGAAACACATCTATACTTCATATAAGATCACTGTGCAGAATAAACTACCTGCGAGGGCCCTGCCCCCCAAAGTGGTGTTGGTGCTTTGACTGCGGTTAGGCGAAGCAAATACCGGTAAATATAATCGTTATAGCGCTGTGATCACTTTATGGAACAGAGCCGAGGCCACACTGAGAACTATAACACGTGACACCAATAATTAGACTTGATCCAAAGAGGTGATTAATTAGAAATATTTTACTTCTTGTTGCCCCCTCCGTGTATGTTGGATAGTTAAAAAGGCATACAATTTCAATACATGTGTAATGATAACTTCAAATCATTTACCTAGTATGCACTCAAAGATATACGAATTAGTGAATGCATTTATTATACATTTAGGATCACATACATTGTTTGTTTGTTTGTTGTTTAACACCGCACTCAGCAATATTCCAGCTATATGACGGCGGTCTGTAACGAATCCAGTGATTGATATCATGAGCACCGATCCACGCAGTTGAGATACATCGTAAGTAAAAATGGATGTAAAATGCAAGACTAAGCACACATTACTGAGTCAAACCAGAAAAAAATATATACGCAACAGCAAACCGTAAATAAAAAGTATCACATAGCTTTTCACTTGTAATAATAACAGTCCTGAACATGCTGAGACAAATACTTTGATTCATCACGATTAAGCATATTGCCTTCCAGAATTTTGTACATTTACTATAAATTGTACATTTATGATACTTTTCCTATCTCACGCTATGCATTTCTCATTCTTCTTTCAATCCTAAGTGGAAACGTACCTAAACAAAGGTTTCCAGCTTCTAAAAAAAATAATTTACCCGAACACACCTAGCATCACCGTGGTCAGACCCATCAGTCTGGTCATGCATGCTTTTCATGCTGATTGATATACATGCACTGAACACGTGATTTCCACAAAGAATGTGAAATGTATAGCGTGAGATAGGAAAAGTTTCAAAATGACTTATTACAATGTCATTCCTTCAGTTGAACCTACTGAACATACATACAAAATAATCATAAACATAACAACGTTCGGTATAACAATTATGGATATAACAATCCATGCCTAATCATCAAGGAGTGCAAGTAAACGGCGCTGCTCAGGACAAGAGCCCAATATGATAAGTTGTCCTTTGAACCCAAGTCGCCAGTCATATGTGACCTGACCCCCAGGAACCAGCCCCACCCCAGACACCAGCCCCCACTAGGTCTGTGAAGCCAGGGAGGTGTCGGAGGAGCTGGGAGACGCCTCGTCCAGTTTGTGCAGCTTCTGGAACTTCCGGTCTGCTTTCTGTCGCTGATGTTGCTCGGCCTCCTCCTGCTGCTCTGTAAGATGTCTCTGACGTTCCACCTCCTCCTCCTCCAGCTGGGTCTGGAGATCCTTCCGCCACTGTGGAACATGAATGAGTGAGTGAGTGAGTGAGTGAGTGAGTGAGTGAGTGAGTGAGTGAGTGAGTGAGTGAGTGAGTGAGTGAGTGAGTGGGTGGGTGGGTGGATGGGCAAGTGAGTGAGTGAGTGAGTGAGTGAGTGAGTGAGTTTCATCACCAGCAATGTTACAGCTATATCATGGCGGCCTGGACATTATCTAGCTGTGCCAGAAACACAAGTGGATGACATGAGCATCGTCCCATAAAATCAAGGTTCAATGACACAAAATTCACTGAGCCTAACCCTTCTCCAATTTTGTTGTGGGAACCAATTCTATCCTGGAATACATTTCGGATACATTGTGTTTGTTTCTGTTTGTTGTTTAACACCACACTCAGCAATATTCCAGCTGTATGACGGCATCTGTAAATAATCGAGTCTGGACCAGACAATCCAGCCTTTGACATCATGAGCATCGATCCACGCAACTGGGATATGATGACATGCATCAACCAAGTCAGCAAGCCTGACCACCTGATTCCGTTAGTCGCCTATTACAAAAAGCATGGTCGCCTTTTATGGCAAACATGGGTTGCTGAAGACCTGTTCTACCCTGGATCTTCACAGGTACTGAGATTACAATGAGATTCCTGGAGTAAAGCTCACCTGGTCCTCCACGATCCTCCGCAGGTCAAAGTCAGTGCGGGTGTTGAAGTTGACAGCTGGCTCGTACAAGGCAGTAGCCAACATTATCTCCTGCCTGTCAAAGAATACACAAGACACAGTTCAACACCTGGGAAATACCCACCCACATTCCACACCACAAAACATCCAGTAGGATCGAGTAGTTCCTTCTGTCAAGGAGGGAATCTCCAGGGAAATTTGGGAAAAGGCATGACACAATCCAGACAGGAAAATATTACACAAAGAATTACACAAAAACATATACAGTTTTTGTGAGGGTCCTGAGAGAGAGACATTCGTCCATGGTCAAAATGTCAATACAGATGCAGGTCTTGACTGCATATTGCATACAAGATCTGGTTTGTTGAGCTGTGTTTTGGGACCCATTATATTCATATTTATGTCACTTTTGGGCCGTAAACTTAAAAATTGGATACAGACAAATGTCAATAACAAGAAACCTGCCCAAAAAGCAATCATATTTCAATGGGAAACTCTCATGAAATATTTTCATGAAGTTACTTTTCTTTTGTGGTTCAGTATAGCATAATGTTCATATAAGAACATATATTTGGAGGTTTAGAAATCGTGTGGATTTGTTACTTGGAAAATGGTAAGAAAATGTCATATACATGAACAAAAATATTTTAGTTTGACACACAGTCAAACACTGGTGTGTCGAAGTAGAAGCAACCTACGTAAATAAAAGAAGGAATACGCAGGGACCAAATTTCACTTTGAGACAAACATAATTTCGACACATCAAAGTTCGACACAACAGTGTTTGACTGTAATTGTACACCGTAATGTCTCGGAGCCATTCTGACAGGTAAGTGTCATATGCAAGAAAAGATCTTCCATCATGATGTATTTATGCCACATGATACCTTAGATCTGGAAGACTAACTGTAGCGCTTTATGAAGACCTTTAAGCATTAACTCTAAAACAAGCCAGGAAGATTGCTTACTTGAGAGAAGTCCTCAAAGGTTGCCGTGACGTCTTGGGCCCAATCTCATGTCTGAGGGGGACCTTCCTTCTAGGGGGGGACTTCTTGAGTGGCCTGTGCTCCCCTGGTGGGGGGAGGGGAGGCAGGTATACGACAGACAACCCCCGGGCAATGCGGGTCCCGATGGAGGAGGGCTGGACATGCAGCTGCTTGCTGAGGATGCTCTCTATGTCTGTGTGGACCTGGATCAGACATCTTCAAGTGAGTGGGCCAATGGGGATAAAGAGGACAGCTGATCCTGGCACAGTTAAAGGAGGCAACTCCTTTGTCTTTAAAAATATTCCAACAAATTTGAAGGAAAGACAGAGGTTGGAAGAGGCTCATTAACTATCAGACACTACTAACTCTGTACATTTTTAACATTTTCCTTTGTCTCTATCAGAACATAGATCTTCCTGTAAAATGTGCTGGCTGAAATATTCATTCTTTCTTTCACAATCATTCTAACATTCAGGTAGGGTAAGCATTAACACAAGGGCAAAGTCAGTCCAGTTTGTCTCAGATTGTCTTTTATCAGAAGAGAGTGAAACAAATCAAGAAATGAGGGTATCCCATAAAGACAGAAATTGTTCACTGTAAAGCACACATGATATGATGTGACACATATATTTTGTCAAGTAAATTGAAATGTTAGTTCCAGACAGAAATATTTGGTTATCTTGTCTGTACATTCTGAGAGACTATAATAACTTGCAGTTGTCCATTGCTATCATCTATCAGCTCTAATTTACTGTCAAGTGTTGGCTTCCATTTGTCCATTGCTAATCACCTATTAGTGCCTGTTGGCTTCCCTTGTTAAGTTTCCACCTTTGTTATATTATTACTGTTGTTGTTCTCACAGGTACATATGTATGTTCTCTGCCTCATAGCATCCATTCAACAGATGAAGGAGTAAGTATATACTTTGAAACGTTGTGTTCCTCATAATAAAGAAGTTGACATCCATAAATTCTCTTCCTTATGTGTTTCACTTCTGAATGCCTTTCAAAGACTTAATAAGTTGCAGGTTTCATATAGTTAGTATTCTCCTCATATTCCTAATACCATATTCAACGTAATAAGCACCAAGGGCGCTCTCAAAATTAGAAATAGGGGGCTCTTATTAGAATATTACTTTGTCGAAAAAAACAGTTTCCGTGGTTTATGCTGACAGCCTGAAATGTTTATGTACGAAAGATATATTTTTCCAGAATTTAATTGCCCATAATTAAGGGTGCATATAACACACGAGTGCGTATTTTACGCGAATAAATAAGTATTGTATACATTGATCAATCGGAAAGGGTGCTAATTGGGATTGTTCACGAGCCAATATATTAGCAAATATCGCCGTGGGGGCTTATAAGAGCATGGCGCTTATTACGTCGAATACGGTAAGTACAATTTGGAAGGCTGTGACGAAGAGGTCCATAGAAGATGTCAGTAATGTCAAGGTCAATTCCTATCACCTGTCCCACTTTGAGAGCCTCCAGGACACGATCGTCCTTCTCATACGAGTGTGCCTTGATGAGAGTGTTCCACGCAGCATTCCGGAGTCCTTCCCGGTTCTGGTCTTTGGCCAGACATCGGCAAATCTTGACTAAAGACTGGATGGCACCGTACCGAATCCTCCAGCTCCAATCATTTGGACCTGACAGGAGAATTACATGACATCAGGCATCAGAAACTAAGATTTTGTCAAAGCTTTACAACACAGGAGCTGGGGTGACATGTTATCTTTCAGCCATATTATCGCAATAATTTATTTATAATTGATTGTAATGGCGAACACTAACTAACCTATTAAATATTTCACCCTATTAAAATGTTTCTTGTTCTTTGTCCAACTTTTATGACACATCAGTTAGGGTTGATTGATGCTGATATTCTTTACTAAGCTCGGTAAACAAAGTACATGCACCTGTCATTAGCGACTCAAGGGCGGGAAACTATATTATCGCGGTATCGATTATGTGGTTTACATCACTTCCTGTTTGGGATTATGCATAATCAGTATACATAGGACCTAGGTTGGGTCAAGGGACATCGCTCAAACAAATTGATTCTATTCTAACCAATTTCAAATGTAGGTAGGGATAATTCCATGTAAAAAAGTTAACGATTATTCTTATGAGTAGCCGTGACATACAATATAACGGTTTAAAATGGTTTATTCTCCCTGCAGTGTTTTACTGTATAATAAACTCCAACCACTCTTTGTTTATTGTTTAAGATCTCATCACTATCACATTGAATGAAGAGCAGAAATGTTTCTGTTCAGAAGACTTTACAAACCTCCATCCCTGATCTCATGCAAGGGCTTGAAGAACACCAAGTCAATCAGGCCAGCGCTAGGCAACGGCACTGTGGTGTACCCTCTTCTCATGGGCTCCAAAAGGTCCTTGTTGGTGCCAGCCATTGCCATGCGCTGAATGCTGGCGCTGGCGCCATGGATGCAGATATCAGCCAACACGTCAGTGTAGGTCGTGGCGACCTCCCAGTGCCAGCCATGGAGGCCAGACATCTCCGGCATCTGTCATGACAAGACGGGAACAACATCAAGTGTCCATCAGTCGGTCACAATTGAGGAGTTGCAGTTAGGGCTGGGATGAGTCCAAATTTACTACCCGGTACCCAACGGCCTATTACCCTACCCTACCTCAGGACCCACTGAAGGTCTCAGGAGATGTCTCAAAATGTCTGATTGGGAACATTTTTAGCATAGCCCTGGCAAAACGTATTTAGATACATGTATAAACAATCTGGTCATTCATACACTGAAGCTGAATTAAGTTATATCTTTATTCAACCATATGAAAAATCAGAAGGAATGCGAACATTAGTGACTTGTAGTGTAACCATAGAGTTCTAGATAATTTTTGTCATTAACCAATATATCACGTAGTCCTGTGGGTACCAGGGTCGTACTCAGTACCCACCTGATCCGGATACCCGAGTTACCCGTCCCAGCCCTAGTTGCAGTCATTTGTTTATTTTAATTGACAATTGACGATACCTACTTGAAAATACTTCTACCACAAGTTATAAAAACATAAATGCTTAACTTCATGCAAACATTAAAGTTAAAGCCATTATATCCTACAGTAAACTCAAATTACTGTTAGCAATTTTTTATTACTTTTGCACTGAGCAATTTGCTTCGGAAAGCTAAACAGAGAGCATGTGTCAAAATATTTAGTTATCTGCCCATAGATTGGTTTCTCATGCAACACATCAAAATAGAGTCTACACTTACAGGGGACCTGGGTGGCCCAGTTGTCTAAGGCACTGCGATTTGCTGTGCAGAGTCGCTTCCCTTGGGCATGCCAGAAACCTATGATTGTGGGTTCGAATCCCAGTTCACCCTAATTATGTTTCTAGGTTTGACAGCACCATACCCGTGCTTGAGGGTTTCACCGAAGTGGTAACCGTCTGAGACCTGCATCACTTCTGGCTTTCCTCCAACATTAAGCTGACACGCCGTGATATAACTGGAATAATGTTAAAAGCGGCGTTAAACCCAACTCACTCACGCACTCACTACACTTACAGCAAAATTGGTGTACGTCGGTACTGAGCTTGCCTCCGACATCCTGGCACTTGGTAGGTTGGACCCCACTTCCGCCCGCCACCCTGTTCCCATGGTGGCCGCCATGGAGCTCTGATTGCTGTGCAGAGTAGCTCGGGTCAGTTTGGACCCGCTGGAGAAACTGGTTGTAGGCAGCTTCTCTTCTGTGACCTGGTCAGTCCGGTGGATGACCACATCATCGAAGGACACCTCGCGTGACTGAAGCCTCATGTCGGCAGTGTTCTTAAGGGCCGGCCTTGAGGGTTGGTGTTCGGCAGCCGGACTGCTTGTGGATCGGGGATCTGGTGGCATGGCTTGTGACTTGTCAGTGCTGTGAGGTGATTGGTCAGAATGGTGGCGCCTCTTTTCAATCCCACTTTCCTCGCTGCGTTCGTAGATGTCGCTCAGTGACTGTTTGGAACTGATGCTTGTTTTGGACTTTGATGATTTTGTATCATCCTCACTTGAGATTGTGAACATTTCTGTAGAGAAAAACATATTTTGAACAAAAAGCTCTTATCTTTTTATTGTTCATATGTGTATTTTTTGGGACACTCAAAAAAGTTAAAAATAAGTTATTATTACTTTCAACTTCTGAATGCCTCTTAAATACTTCTATCATATTAAGTTTGATATTTTAAAAGATATTTCAAACAAAGGGACCCGTGAAGATCCAGGGTAGAAAAGGTCTTCAGCACCCCATGCTTGTCGTAAGAGGCGACTAACGTAATCGGGTGGTCAGGCTCGTTGACTTGGTTGATGTATGTCATTGTATCCCAATTGGGTGGATGTCAACACAGTTGTCAACAGAATTTCAGTTACATCACAGCAAACCCGTGAAGGGCCATGTTAGAATTGCTCTTCAGCAAACCATGCTTGTTGTCAGGTTCGCAGACTTGGTTGATGCATGTCATCGTATTCCAATTGTTTAGATCGATGCTCATGATATCAATCAGTAGATTGTCTGGTCCAGACTTGATTATTTGCAGACCGCCATCATATAGCTGGAATATTGCTGAGTGCGGCATTAAACAACAAGAACAAAACAAACAAAAACATCACAGCCTTGGAGGAAAGCCTGAAGTGATGCAAGTGGCACAAGGTTACCACTTTCAAGAAACCCAAGATCACAGGGTTCGGTGTTCACAGACCAAACATCATAATTAGGGAGAATCTGGGATTGAAACCTATGTTTTGCGGATCCTGGCACAACTAAGGGAGGCAATATGTTTACATGAAGCATAATAAAAGTCGCCCATACCTGAGCTGCCTGATCGAGAGCTGAGGGGTGGCGTGAGAGCTTCATCAGTTGGCCTCAGCCCCTGGGCCAGGCGATGCAGCACTTTCATGGCCGTCTTGTTGGACTTAGCCGCCTCGGCTACGATGTTCAGGGCAATCATCCCGTCAACCCTGGGGATTTCAAGTACAGTAAACTACAGTTATAACAAACTCAAAGGGACCACTAGTCTACGTTCAGGGCCATCATCCCGTCAACCCTGGGGGTTTCAAGTACAGTAAACTACGGTTATAACAAACTCAAAGGGACCACTAGTTTAGTTCAGGGCAATCATCCCGTCAACCCTGGGGGTTTCAAGTACAGTAAACCACGGTTATAACGAACTCAAAGGGACCACTAGTCTACGTTCAGGGCCATCATCCCGTCAACCCTGGGGGTTTGAAGTACAGTAAACCACGGTTATAACAAACTCAAAGGGACCACTAGTCTACGTTCAGGGCCATCATCCCATCAACCCTGGGGGTTTCAAGTACAGTAAACTACGGTTATAACGAACTCAAAGGGACCACTAGTCTACGTTCAGGGCCATCATCCCATCAACCCTGGGGGTTTCAAGTACAGTAAACCACGGTTATAACAAACTCAAAGGGACCACTAGTCTACGTTCAGGGCCATCATCCCATCAACCCTGGGGGTTTCAAGTACAGTAAACCACGGTTATAACGAACTCAAAGGGACCACTAGTCTAAGTTCAGGGCCATCATCCCGTCAACCCTGGGGGTTTCAAGTACAGTAAACCACGGTTATAACAAACTCAAAGGGACCACTAGTCTACGTTCAGGGCCATCATCCCGTCAACCCTGGGGGTTTCAAGTACAGTAAACCACGGTTATAACAAACTCAAAGGGACCACTAGTCTACGTTCAGGGCCATCATCCCATCAACCCTGGGGGTTTCAAGTACAGTAAACCACGGTTATAACAAACTCAAAGGGACCACTAGTCTACGTTCAGGGCCATCATCCCATCAACCCTGGGGGTTGTTTTAAGTACAGTAAACCACGGTTATAACGAACTCAAAGGGACCACTAGTCTACGTTCAGGGCCATCATCCCGTCAACCCTGGGGGTTTCAAGTACAGTAAACCGCGGTTATAACGAACTCAAAGGGACCACTAGTCTACCTTCAGGGCAATCATCCCATCAACCCTGGGGGTTTCAAGTACAGTAAACCACGGTTATAACAAACTCAAAGGGACCACTAGTCTACGTTCAGGGCCATCATCCCGTCAACCCTGGGGGTTTCAAGTACAGTAAACCACGGTTATAACAAACTCAAAGGGACCACTAGTTTTAGTTCGTTAAAACTGTACTTCATTATAAGCATTTCGACTGTCAGACATATTGGATCAAGTCACGCGACCACTATATGTTTCTTAATAAATAACTTCAAATAGCCTCTTGAAAGGATATAGTCTAATCACAGTTTTACAATTGTTCATTGAGGACAAGGTGTCAGGACTTAATCCAGTTAATCACTTGCCTTCAATTGCTATCTGCCGCCTGAAACAGGAGCAGATTGCCGTGGATGTTTTGATAGGCTGACTGGTGACACGAGAGCCACTCAGAGACTGACAGTTTGTAATATACATAAACATTGTCGTCGAAGGAGTACACACAGGGCTACAAAGTGAGTTGACGATATCTGACAAGTGTTCGCTATACCCATCAATTATATATGATAAAATATACAGTAAATGACTGGGACCAAAAATACAGTTTATTATAATATGTCAGTTCATTATAAGTGTGATCGTAATAAATGTAGTTGACTGTATGTTAGCATTTTGACATCTGACATTATGACATTAAATAATCCCCAAAAGCTTGTAAAACTTAGTTATGTAATGTATAGATAGTGAAATGGTTTCATTTGCCATCACTGATGGGATTTGTGGATTGACATGCAACTACAATGTACTCAATGTGCACAATGTAAAGAAAAAATGTGTTTCTGATGAAAGTTTTAGAAGTTGGAATACCTTGTACACTGAAACCTCATTCATCCGAAAAACGTTAATCCGGAAATCCTGTATTCCTAATATTTACTGTGGAGGACATGTGTTGGTAGTAAACGGACATGACCAATAACCATATACTTGTGACCAGTACTGGACTGTAACAAGGTGTCACTGTATAGTCATTTGTAGCTTGAAATCCACTGCACACAGTTACATATTGTGAGTGAATTGTTTTCTTGATAACAGATCACAAAATATAAACAAGGTAGAATATCAGTATTTTGAAATTATTCATAGGCATTTAATTGTTTTTTCATGGATGGACATGAATAGAATTTTTTTTTGGAGCCGGTTGTAAAAAAAGAAATAATCTTCAGCAGCGAAATAACTAAATATCTTCCAAAATCTTCATGATCTATGAAATATCCCTTGATCAAACTTTAGCCATTGGTGATCTTATTTTATCTTATCAACATTGGAGGTGTTTTCACATACTAAATGTTGTTTGAACAGAGAACATGCTTATATACAACAGAGCATTGAGTAAATAAAGCACAACTTTGTAGCTTATTTATACAACCATGAATAGCGACATACAACCCCCCACAAAGTAAGAGCATTACCTCTAGCGGGTGACACCAGAATAGGCATGTTGACAAATCCGAACTGAAGTATGTCAGAATGTCCAGTTATGACATCTGGCTAAAGAAAAGTTCAGTGTATTTCTGGCACTACATTTTATATCAACTTCATTGACTTCAATGACGGCGGTCTGTAAACAATCGAGTCTGGACAAGACAATCCAGTGATTGACCTCATGAGCATCAATCCAAGCTTTTTGGATACGATGACATACATCAACCAAGTCAGCGAGCCTGACCACCCGATCATGTTAGTCACCTCTTACGGCAAGCGCAGTCGCCTTTTACAGCAAGCATGGGTTGCTGAAGACCTATTCTGACTGGATATTTGATGCCTTGAAATGAACCTAGTTATGAGTGAACAAAGACACACATCAGAGATGCCACACTTTGACATGAAACAATTAATCACTTCTCCCTACCAGCTTTCATCAGCCAGCCCCAGCCCACAGTGACCCAGGGCCTTCAGAGCCTCGTGGAAGCCCCCACCCAAGTGGTTGGTGCAGCGCCACACGTCCAGGGCGTGCCACAGGGTGGGGCTCAGGTCGTGCACGCTACTGCTGATAGCTGCACTATGCATGGAGTGGCTGTCGTCACGGCTACGCTTCTCATACAGCTCTCGTGTTGCCTGTAGTCAGAATAAAGTGTTTCTTATTTGAGGAATTTGTAAAACCCTAATCAGTTATTTCCATCGATGTGTCAATTTATTTCAAAAACATAAAGTTGTTGTAGACGCAGAAAGAGTGTGAGTTAGGTTTAACGATGCTTTTAACTGTATTCCAGTTTTATCCCGGCGTGTCAGCTTAATGTGGGAGGAAAGCCCGAAGGTCTGAGATGTTAACCACTTTGGTGAGCACGGGTATGGTGCTGACAAACCTAGAAACATAATCATGGCGAACCGGGATTGGAACCCACAATCATAGGTTTCTGGCGTGCCCAAGGGATGCAACTCTGCACTGCGAATTGCGGCGCCTTAGATGACTGGGCCACCCGTGCCCCCAGACGCAGAAAGAAGTGAGTATATGAGTATGAACTCCACATGCACTCCACTGTATTCCCTTTAAACATCTTCCCAAGGCAAGAGAGTTAACTGACTGTAAAAGTCCAGTTTCCACCCTTACTGAACTAGGCAGGAATTATGGAGTTACAGTTTGGCTGAACTAACAAGATGAAAATCACATAACGAAATCGACATCAGGTTCGTCAACTACTGTGCAGATTTTGGTCGATTGAAGGATTTGTAAGCATGTGTACTGCCAACTCGGCGTCAACAAATATTTTCCAAATCTTTTCATGTTTCTAATGAAGGTGCTCATGTGATTTGACGCACTTCGCAAAGTAAGACCTGTTTTTTTCCAATATAGATCTTGATTATCGATCTGATCTATTATTCACTCACTGAAAGAAATCACATTGGACGACTACAGTGACAGCCAGGTGGTTTACAGTTGAAGAATAACCATACTAACCACCCATTGTTGCCATTCAGTCCCTATGTCGGTCAGATCTGATGACAAGAAGAGTGTGCATGAAACCTTCTTTGTCCCCTAAACTGATCATGAACATTTACATTCACACACGAGTTACCACCTACTGAGTGGAGCGCCTCCATGTTGTGTTTGGGGGGCATCCGATCCCCCTCCTTCACCTCCCCTGGTTCAATGATGGCGTCCGCCAGGACGATCTTTCCCACCTCGATGATGTAGCGGATTGACAACAGAGCGTTGGGGTATGGGCTGTAGGCTTCCTGACAGTCTTGTAGTCCTGCAGCGACACAGCAAGGGGGGTAACTCTCAGTTCATATGACAGAATAACATAGACTTCTCTGAGCTGCTATAAAACCAACTCACTCACACACTCTGAACCATGACTGAAGTGTCATCAAGGGGGATAACTCTCAATTCACATGACAGAATAACAAGTTGCTGATTAACACAATAAACAAGTTATTCTCCTTCCATACCATCCTACTGGAAACAGTGAACGTCTCTCAAGATATGAGCGCCATAGGGATACGCTGAAAATTCAATGTATCGTGATACTTGAGCTCTGTACCACAATACAAGTATCGTATAGATACCAGGCCTACTAGTGCATACATAATGGGTAACATTAAATGTATGAACATATGAAAATATTGGTTTCTGATTGTACGTGCAAGATGTCACAAGCCAATGTTTTTGCGACTGAATCAAATCTACCCAATATGTTTGAGTTGAGTGAAAATGTGGTCTCAGAGAAGACTGAAATGTAAAGTGATGGACAGCGCAGCAACGACTCACCATCCAGGTATGTGAAGAGTCTGTTCTTGAAGTCTGTGTGACCCTGGAGCTGTCCGGCCATGTGGTGGTAGAACAGACGCGTGAACACCAACTGGCCCATCTGGTCAAAGGCAAAGAATAGGTCAACAAAACACACTTAAAACAGGGGTACAGAAATCAGGACAATTAGTAAGTTTGATTCATGTAATTCCAAACTATTAAAACCCCCACCCCAATAAATTATTTTTACATTTTTAAACACACTTAAAAAATGACTTTTTCAAATTAAATTTCACTTTCTCATAATATTTCAACTTTTTGCACACATTATGCCATTCATAGTCTGTCAGAGGACTCAAACTCAGTGATATGTGATGTGAGCTAACACTCTCCCATAACAGCAAGGGGATAACACTTGACGCTGGTGCTGATAGAGGACTCAAACTCAGTGATATGTGATGTGAGCTAACACTCTCCCATAACAGCAAGGGGATAACACTTGACGCTGGTGCTGATAGAAGACTCAAACTCAGTGATATGTGATGTGAGCTAACACACTCCTATAACAGCAAGGGGATAACACGTGACGCTGGTGCTGATAGAGGACTCATAATCAGTGATATGTGATGTGAGCTAACACACTCCTATAACAGCAAGGGGATAACACTTGACGCTGGTGCTGATAGAGGACTCAAACTCAGTGATATGTGATGTGAGCTAACACACTCCTATAACAGCAAGGGGATAACACGTGACGCTGGTGCTGATAGAAGACTCAAACTCAGTGATATGTGATGTGAGCTAACACACTCCTATAACAGCAAGGGGATAACACTTGACGCTGGTGCTGATAGAGGACTCAAACTCAGTGATATGTGATGTGAGCTAACACACTCCTATAACAGCAAGGGGATAACACGTGACGCTGGTGCTGATAGAGGACTCAAACTCAGTGATATGTGATGTGAGCTAACACTCTCCTATAACAGCAAGGGGATAACATGTGACGCTGGTGCTGATAGAGGACTCAAACTCAGTGATATGTGATGTGAGCTAACACACTCCTATAACAGCAAGGGGATAACACGTGACGCTGGTGCTGATAGAGGACTCAAACTCAGTGATATGTGATGTGAGCTAACACTCTCCTATAACAGCAAGGGGATAACACGTGACGCTGGTGCTGATAGAGGACTCAAACTCAGTGATATGTGATGTGAGCTAACACTCTCCTATAACAGCAAGGGGATAACACGTGACGCTGGTGCTGATAGAAGACTCAAACTCAGTGATATGTGATGTGAGCTAACACACTCCTATAACAGCAAGGGGATAACACTTGACGCTGGTGCTGATAGAGGACTCAAACTCAGTGATATGTGATGTGAGCTAACACACTCCTATAACAGCAAGGGGATAACACGTGACGCTGGTGCTGATAGAGGACTCAAATTCAGTGATATGTGATGTGAGCTAACACACTCCTATAACAGCAAGGGGATAACACGTGACGCTGGTGCTGATAGAGGACTCAAACTCAGTGATATGTGATGTGAGCTAACACACTCCTATAACAGCAAGGGGATAACACGTGACGCTGGTGCTGATAGAGGACTCAAACTCAGTGATATGTGATGTGAGCTAACACACTCCTATAACAGCAAGGGGATAACACGTGACGCTGGTGCTGATAGAGGACTCAAACTCAGTGATATGTGATGTGAGCTAACACTCTCCTATAACAGCAAGGGGATAACACGTGACGCTGGTGCTGATAGAGGACTCAAACTCAGTGATATGTGATGTGAGCTAACACACTCCTATAACAGCAAGGGGATAACACTTGACGCTGGTGCTGATAGAGGACTCAAACTCAGTGATATGTGATGTGAGCTAACACACTCCTATAACAGCAAGGGGATAACACGTGACGCTGGTGCTGATAGAGGACTCAAACTCAGTGATATGTGATGTGAGCTAACACACTCCTATAACAGCAAGGGGATAACACTTGACGCTGGTGCTGATAGAGGACTCAAACTCAGTGATATGTGATGTGAGCTAACACTCTCCTATAACAGCAAGGGGATAACACTTGACGCTGGTGCTGATAGAGGACTCAAACTCAGTGATATGTGATGTGAGCTAACACACTCCTATAACAGCAAGAGGATAACACGTGACGCTGGTGCTGATAGAGGACTCAAACTCAGTGATATGTGATGTGAGCTAACACACTCCTATAACAGCAAGGGGATAACACTTGACGCTGGTGCTGATAGAGGACTCAAACTCAGTGATATGTGATGTGAGCTAACACACTCCTATAACAGCAAGGGGATAACACGTGACGCTGGTGCTGATAGAGGACTCAAACTCAGTGATATGTGATGTGAGCTAACACACTCCTATAACAGCAAGGGGATAACACTTGACGCTGGTGCTGATAGAGGACTCAAACTCAGTGATATGTGATGTGAGCTAACACTCTCCTATAACAGCAAGGGGATAACACTTGACGCTGGTGCTGATAGAGGACTCAAACTCAGTGATATGTGATGTGAGCTAACACACTCCTATAACAGCAAGAGGATAACACGTGACGCTGGTGCTGATAGAGGACTCAAACTCAGTGATATGTGATGTGAGCTAACACACTCCTATAACAGCAAGGGGATAACACTTGACGCTGGTGCTGATAGAGGACTCAAACTCAGTGATATGTGATGTGAGCTAACACACTCCTATAACAGCAAGGGGATAACACGTGACGCTGGAATAATACCCTGAGGAGTTTGATTTCGGCGGTGCGGAGGAAAGGTTGATGTACGGCCTCTGTCCGCAGCCAGTACAACATGGTCTCTGCCAGGAAGAAGAGGGCTGGAATGTGGTACTTCTCCAAGGGGGACACATCCAGAGAAGTGATCAGGATGTCGAGGCACTCTGTACAGGAGGAAGAGACATCACATTGAGACAGTGTATATAGAGACATCACATTGAGACAGTGTATATAGAGACATCACATTGAGACAGTGTATATAGAGACATCACATTGAGACAGTGTATATAGAGACATCACATTGAGACAGTGTACATACAGACATCACATTGAGACAGTGTATATAGAGACATCACATTGAGACAGTGTATATAGAGACATCACATTGAGACAGTGTATATAGAGACATAAAATTGAGACAGTGTATATAGAGACATCACATGGAGACAGTGTATATAGAGACATCACATTGAGACAGTGCATATAGAGACATCACATTGAGACAGTGTATATAGAGACATCACATGGAGACAGTGTATATAAAGACATCACATTGAGACAGTGTATATAGAGACATCACATTGAGACAGTGTATATAGAGACATCATGTTGAGACAGTGTATATAGAGACATCACATTGAGACAGTGTATATAGAGACATCACATTGAGACAGTGTATATAGAGACATAAAATTGAGACAGTGTATATAGAGACATCACATGGAGACAGTGTATATAGAGACATCACATTGAGACAGTGCATATAGAGACATCACATTGAGACAGTGTATATAGAGACATCACATGGAGACAGTGTATATAAAGACATCACATTGAGACAGTGTATATAGAGACATCACATTGAGACAGTGTATATAGAGACATCATGTTGAGACAGTGTATATAGAGACATCACATTGAGACAGTGTATATAGAGACATCACATTGAAACAGTGTATATAGAGACATCACATTGAGACAGTGTATATAGAGACATCACATTGAGACAGTGTATATAGAGACATCACATTGAGACAGTGTATATAGAGACATCACATTGAGACAGTGCATATAGAGACATCACATTGAGACAGTGTATATGGAGACATCACATTGACACAGTGTATATAGAGACATCACATTGAGACAGTGTATATAGAGACATCACATTGACACAGTGTATATAGAGACATCACATGGAGACAGTGTATATAGAGACATCACATTGAGACAGTGTATATAGAGACATCACATTGAAACAGTGTATATAGAGACATCACATTGAGACAGTGTATATAGAGACATCACATTGAGACAGTGTATATAGAGACATCACATTGAGACAGTGTATATAGAGACATCACATTGAGACAGTGTATATAGAGACATCACATTGAGACAGTGTATATAGAGCTTAAGCCACCCTCGCTGAGATAGCACTTGACTAGGCCTGTGATGGTGATTGACCACCAATTAGTGTGAAGCACTTCCATGTGTACTGCGGACCACACTGTTCGCCATCTCACATACCGTATTCTACGTAATAAGCGCCCAGGGCGCTCTCAGAATTAGAAATAGGGGGCTCTTACTAGAATGTTATTTTGGTGGAAAAAACAGAGTTGAAAGATAAATTTCATGGTTTATGCTAACGGCCTGACTGTTTATATATGACAGATATATTTTTCCTGAATTTAATTGCCCATAATTAAGGGTGCATATAACACACGTGTATTTTACACGAATAAATGTGTACTTGTGTACATTGATCAATCGGAAGGGGTGCTAATTGGGATTGTTCACTTGCCAATTTATTAGCAAATATCGCCGTGGGCGCTTATTAGAGCGGGGCGCTTATTACGTCGAATACGGTATTTGTTATGTCTGCGATTTAACTATTGATAATTTAATTGTAATGCCATTTGACTATGGACAACTGTGATGTATAAATAGTTTAATCAATCTTTCAATCCCGATATTGCTCACCTTCTTGAAAGCGTCCCTTGCACTGTGCAAGTTGTGCCATTTCCGTCCATGCCATTGGAAGATTTACATGTTGACCTTCACCTTGGTCCTTCACGCCAGCTCGACGCTGAAAAGTAAATACCACTAATAAGGTGTGTACACGTGGAGGCTGAGGTAATACGACAGATACATCAGGTTGGTTGTGAAACTGTCATTGATTCTGAAGCAAAGAAAACAATGAATTTCAAACTGGGTTATGATGACACACAGGTTAGCCGGTGTTGACAAACTAAAGATGCACAGGTATGCATGGTGTTGACAAACCAAAGATACACAGGTATGCATGGTGTTGACAAACCAAAGATACACAGGTATGCATGGTGTTGACAAACCAAAGATACACAGGTATGCATGGTGGTGACACAGCAAAGATGCCAAACACTTTGGTGAAACACCCAATAACAGGTATGCATGGTGCTGAGAAACCAAAAATTGTAATCACAGCAAATCAGGGATTTGAACCCATGCTCGTCAGATCCTGGTAGAAGGGAAACAACTCTGCACAGTGACTTGCCATGCCTTGTTTTGACTACCCTCAACCATGATGAAAGATAATCATGTTGTCATGGTAATACTGACCACCCAATCCTCAGTTCAGTTATAACAAACATGAGGTGCTGGGTGCTGATGGCAGCCGAGGATGGTGAATCTAAATACATATATGAACATGAAAAATGTGTGAGCTGTGGACATCATCACTATAACCTTCAGATAAATGTCCAAGTAGACCAATGAGAGAATACAGTGACACCTTGTTCACATAAACGACAACATTCATAAAGACTATATCTTGAATAATGGGGTCACAGGTGGACCAGTCATTTAAGGCACCGCACTCCGCTATGCAGAGTTGTGTACCTTGGGAACGCCAGAAACCTATGATTGTGGGTTCAAATCCTAGTTGCCCCGACCTTGTTCCTAGGTTTGACAGCACCATACCCGACAACGTGGGTTTCACCAAAGTGGTACACACCTGAGACCTGCATCACTTCGAGCTTTCCTCCCACATTAAGCTGACACGCCGCTATATAACTGGAATACTGTTAAAAGTGGCGTTAAAAACCCATTGTAACTCACTCACTAGCTGGATTACCACTACAGCAGCAGGGCCACACAGTACTTGTTCTGTGTTTACAGAAGTTTAAGGGAAACGATTAGTTCAGATAGGTCAAATTTGGATCAGTTTGTTTTGTGGGGGAAAATATATGTTAATAATGATTCACATGGTTTAAAGTAGAATGTTTTATATTCTTACAGCAAGATGCATGTATGTACTGCTAATATGGGTTTGTTCTGTTTAACGGGGGCTTTGTAGTGGCCTGTAAACATTTATTGAACAAATATTATCTCAAACATTTAGTCATTAACATTTACTCCTTCTTATAGTTTTGGAGCTGTATCATTTATTTTTCTACTCAATCAAATATAGATATTTATGTTAAGTCACATATGATTGTGGTTTTCGGCTCCTGTATGTGGAATCCCTGAAGTGAAAATGAAATTTAATAAGTGTTGGCTGAAGAATGTCAAAACACAAAATGGGTCAAGTCTCACCTTTGACCTCTCTAAGATCTTCCTGGCGGTTTCATCCAGTCTCTCTCTGTCAGTGATGTTCTCAGTAGCATTGTACAGCTGCACAAAGTCCTCGGATATTTCCAGTGGGTTTCTACAAACAAAACACACTCATCACAGACAATCAGGACCCAGTGGAATATTATCACCGTGGAAACCGTCCCTGATGAGTGACAGTACCTTATGGTGATATCGGGGTATAGTTGCACAAATAAGGGCAAGGCGCTGCTAATGAATATTGTTCTCACACCTGTTCCTGTTTAGCCTGATACAGTACAGTCACAAGTCTACTGTCAAGGAGCCCAGCCTTGTCTGATCAATAGTACATACCCCGTAGGTGTATCAAGTGAAAAGTTTGTACAAGGGCACGTCACTTTTGACTTGGTGCAGTTGAATCCACAGGTCTAGGCATCAACTTAAATATCGAAGTCCATACAGGTCTAGTACCAATGACATCGAAGTGTATTGTTTTGTTTGCTTCAGTTGGCTCATACACACACCCTACAGGAGGCACTGGAGATACACAGTACACAGACTTTCAACTTCACGTACAAGGGACATTTACAGTTTGTGTTACACCCGACTCACCTTGTAGATGTTACATCCGACTCACCTTGTAGATGTTACATCCGACTCACCTTGTAGATGTTACATCCGACTCACCTTGTAGATGTTACATCCGACTCACCTTGTAGACGTCACACCTGACTCACCTTGTAGATGCAATGGCCTTCCTGCTCTTGATGCTCTGTAGGTAGGTCTGTTTGAGGAGGCGCTCCTGCAGCTCTACGCGCTGGCTGTGGGAGATGATGCCGAACTTGTGGACAACTGGCAACTTTGTGATTGGCATCTTGATCCCAGGCTGGTGTCACACTGAAGCCAGGCTTAGGTACCTCCACCTGTTGGAAAGGTAAAACTGTTACTTTGTGATTGGCATCTTGATCCCAAGCTGGTGTCACACTGAAGCCAGGCTTAGGTACCTCCACCTGTTGGAAAGGTAACACTGTTACTTTGTGGTGTTAATTAGAAAACACGGATCGATCATCATTTATAAGCAAAAGAGGTCAAGTGTCCGAACAATGCAAATCTTGTAAGCTCTAAAAGTCAGCATCTGTATATTGAATTACTTTTTGCAGATAAACATGCTATGTTTTCAATGTAGATTTAACCACGCTAAATTGAACACTCAGCGTCAGGCACGGCAACTTGGTCAGTTAACATCAGCTAACAAAACTAAGCAAGCTTTGCAAAGCTTTCGTTGTACACCACATTCACCATTATGCAGTCATATCGCTCATTGGGATGCAAAATATATGATGTCACAGTTGTATACAGAGAAGCGCAAAATTCCAAGCTCTCTGTTGTCCCCAAAACCTAAAATACATTCTCTTTGAAGATTTCTTTCGTGTTTTCTTCATTAAATGTATTGCCACACATCCTATGAGTGTTGTTGTAACCGCAACATTGCATTTTATAACCTCTAATTGTAGATATAATTATCTACCGACAATGACTGAAAAGTACTATTCTATGAACGTTAGCTCCCATGGTGATGCCGACGTCAAACCAGCTCTTTCAATCAGTGGGGGTTTATTGTGATTTAATAGCCTCTGATTAACCAATCAGAAAGAGTAATTTCCAAATTCATGGTAGAATTACCAATGCTGCCTGGGATTATCATTCACTAGTATATTATTACATATAATATTCAGATTCAATAATTTGACAGAGAGACAAACCATTCAAAATGAAAACCAGATGCAGATACGGTAAACAAGATGGTGGCCCCATGAAACCAGTTTCTTTTTTCACTTAGGAATCAATGTTTATATGCACGTTTGGTGAAATAAAGATTGCTCATTTGGAGATAAGTTGTTAATGCATAAACAGTCCAGATGCAATTATTTATAGGCTGCCATCAAAAAGCAAGAAAATTGCTGAGTGCTGCAACAGACATTGAACACAAACCCACTTTTTGGTAGAATGAGGTTTCACTACCGGGTTTTATGCGACGCACAAAGGTGCGTCCAGTACACGCAAATGTTGAGATTGGACGCAGTAAATGAATCAATCTCATTAAAATCAGATCTAAGTTCTAGCTGCCGCAAAACATAGATCTGAGGACATCCCATTACGGGTCACTTCAGAACGACCTTTGACCGACCACTGAAATGACTAACAAGAAGTCCACATCGGCCAATTAGAAAGCAGCTTTCTCGAGCTTTACAGCACTCGTTTCAACCTGGCGACTTCCATTTCAGACTACGCTTGAAAAATATATTGACACATTTCTTGATTAAAATTTTGAAAACTGAACAAACGAACATTCTGGAATGTCTCATATATGGTTGAGATTGAATGGCAGTGCTTCCCACGTACTGTGCAAAGCCTCCTCCATTCAAACGTTTATCCCACGGAAGTGAGAGACAGACGATAATTTTGACGGAATCAGTCGTACCAGCCGTAACTGTCGTTCGGAATAACCCGTGTTAACGTTTTCGAGGTTGCATGATTCGAAAACACATTCCGACTGTCACTTTCATGATCTGGTAAGAGACGCTTTGATTGGTCAGATGAAAGGTCGTTCTGACGTGACCCGTAATGGGATATCCTCAGATCTTTACTTAGCGATAGCAAAAAGATGCACAATAATATCCATTGTACCTACAGCATATCAAGAGCAGTTATGGGTGTCCGTAATTTCATCCATCAATCATGACCACTGTCCACATGATCATTGATTCATTCCAGGCTCTACACAAATGATCTAAATGTACCGACACTACACCATTTCATCACTTCACAGGACCTTCATATTGCCAGCTGGGACTCTCAAAATTAATATTACGGGGACCCCCCTTTTGTAAGTCATAGGTAAAACCATGAACTATTAAGAAATATTTCATGATTTGTGACCATTTGGACTAGTAAAGGTGTACTTTAAATCCTCCAGGGCTCATTGGCAGACTCCTTAAACAGGTCAGTCTGGTCAGTCTGGTCAGTCATAGTAAGAACATGGGTGCCATTTGACTTAGTTTGAGGAATAATTCAATAGGGCCACAGGGGGTGAGGTACATTTCAATATGGGTATTGTATACATGAAAATACATTCTATCCGCCACATTTGTTTGCTGTTGCTACTATATACTGACAGGTAACAGCATGGACTGATACTTGACAAATATGTCTTGACATACCCTAATTTTGAAAAGTTAGGATGACATTGCTGATATTATGAGGGATGAGTGAAAAAAAAAAAAATCTGCTTCAAACCAGTAGGTGATGTCTTCAGCTACGTTCTGAAAGAAAACAAATCCTTGACGAAAGGTTTGATTCTATTACCTCGTCTGTAAACATCTGCTGCACCAGACTGTCACCTATTTTCGAACACCTGACTGGTTTCGTACTTTACGGGATTTCCATGAATGAACAGGCATGTTTTTGTGCACAGTTCTCAACATTATTTGTGCAGGTCGGCCTTAAAACTCAAAAGTAATTGAAAGTTTGAAACCTATTCACAAAATATGAATGTTTGTCAAATTATAGTGTTCACAAAGGTTTTACTCTTACTTTTATCATGCCACAGGCACCAAAATTCTGACTGACAAGGGAATGTTCTGACAGGTGTACAGTACTTCATATGAACCCAATGTTGAGAGGCCGAACACGTGCACTCTCTAGGCGACAGCTTTGATGATGTCAAACCTCTTCTTATAGTGACAAATCAATATCAAATACGGCTGTTTGAAAATAGGTGTCGTTCGAAAATATGTTACTGGACGATACGTATTGTTAGGGTCATAATGTTCAATTTTTTCTGGAAAATATCAAGGCAATTCATTAACATTAGTAATTAAGCAAGACCATAAAAACTGACATAAAAATAGAAGTGCCATAATGAATGGCAACAACATGGTCAGTTAAACCTATTGGAGCCCACCCACAGAGCTCATCTGTTTCATGCCAATATTCGCAAGTCTGCGAAAATTTCTTATTTTTTCATATCAGACAGATTTATTAAAAAAAATTAACAAGGCATATTTTAACCATATTAAGAAATTTCACATTAACCATGATCGGTTACTTATTCGCCTCTGTGTGACGGCAAATAGTATTTCTTAGCATTGGATTGTTGTCAATCACTGAATCTGTCTGACATCACAGTTCACATTCCGTGAATATCACAGTCCCTGATCAGAATATCTTTAAAATTCGTATTTGTTTCAATGCAAACACTTTCTGGACATTTATATGAACTAAAGTACAAAAATAATTACAATAAAAGCACTTTCTACGGGATAATTAACGTAAAAAAGTGGCATACTTTCCATCCTGTTTTCGTTTCTAGGGAAGCTGGTTGAATAAAAAAGTCGGATTAGCAAATAGTATTTACCGGTGTGTTTACGTTTTGCAATACGAGTAGATGAAACCACTCACGTAGATTCCAACATAATCTAGCTTCTACAAACAATACTTGTGTACATAATCCATGTTTATTCAGTGCGCAATTACACTGTATGTTTTCATTAATAATTTCTTTTCCGTTTCTAAATATTCTAGTTTTGTACAAAATAGCTCAAGCTACCTTGCACTTATAACTATCACAATAACGTCACCAATAAAAATAAATATTATGTAAAATAGGTTACAGTATCCTTATTTTCTAATATATTGAAGAATTTTTAGATTTTTGCATTTATGTATACTATATGTTAGGATGATAGTGCCGATAAAATAATATAATTCCATACATCATAAAGGACGAAGCAGACGCTCTTGTGCGTAATGACTTGACACAAATGCTGTCTTTTCTTCCTTCAAGCGAAGAAGAGTGTAAACATATTCACATGTCGAGGGCCAAGGTGATATTTAGAAATTTCATAAACAACGGGATGTCTACCCGTTTTCTGCATTACAGTGAAATATTCCAGATGTTCTAATTGTAATTTACATCAACGCATGCTAAATTGGACTGATAAGGTCGAAACTGCGTAACTGTTCATAGCTAAATAACAGTGAAATCCGAACCTATATATTTCCACTACAAGACCCACGCCCACATTTGGTGATATACCCCAGGGTTAGTTAATACTGACAATTACGTGGAATTGAAACATTTGATGTAGCTGTATTTGTCCAAACTCATACATTCCTACAAGTGTACAGGCTAATACAAATCCGGTTTTGTTGATAGGGTTGATTAAGACCATTTTACGCACGCTTTGCGCAAATGTAGACATTTTCAAAATAGTCACTTATTTTGTGAACAGAAAGCAGTTAAAACAAATTCACATTTGCTGTTCAATTGGTTTGGACACTGCAACAATAGCATTAACACTAAAATTTAATGTTCTATATCATTTGGTATTTGCCAAGCTTTGATTCATGTAATTTATCCTGAGAAGGTAATTTTCAATAAACACTAAATGTTGGTATGTGTTCCTTTTGGATTGAAACTAATTGTATTCTGGTTCTTACTTTGTTTTTCTAGATATTCATTATTCACTTGTTTACATTGATGTTAAAAGTATCTTCAGTAATGTTTGTAGAAGGCAATGAATACACCTTATATGTATAAAGTTGTCACAGGGGTCAAGTGTAACAACAAATTTGTATGTAGTCAGCAGGGCCTGTTCCTTTCAAAAGTTACTGGTTCTTCTCCAAACTGTCAGCTCCAAACCTAAATGTTGGAGGCCAGGAAAGGGTTACCCAGAGGGCTCTTAAATCTTTTTCGAACACCTCACCTCTAAAACGTCATTTCATGCACTCTGAGATTAATTTTTTACCAACATTTGCCTCCTTTTGTGTAGATTTTATGAGCAAATAAAGATGTTGTTGTACACAACGTTATTAAATGACGCCGGTTGTGTCATTCTCCCAGGATGATCTTTGAGTTAACCAATCATACAACCTTATCCCCCCTAAATATTTTCTCAGTGAAATTACGTGATTCATGAGCAGCGTGCAATTAATAAGCATACACAGAGAAGAGGTGAAATTTTGACAAGGTAGACGGGCCATCTACTTTGTTTCAGCAAGGCTTTCGTAATTTTAACTGGCCATAGGCTAACGGGCCATCAGTTAATCATGCCCTGTTTTCATATTATGTCATGTATTTTCGAAATTTTGTTTTCTGAAATTTTATTGTATATTTAGATTCTCGTATTTTTTCAGGTACTGTCAGTGTTCCGGTCTTTACACCGAGCCAGGAAGAAGGTGTTCCAGGGCGATGGAGTCGCTCTTGCAGGTCCAGCCAACATGGCCTATTTGGATTTTTTATTGCATTACTATCAATCACACCAACATAAGTATCAGAGCTCCAGATAACTTTTTGAGCAATTGAGTTTTTACAGTAGGGTTTCTAGTTTAATTGGGTTTTTACATTTTCCTTTGGGTAACCAATATTTTTTCACTCATCTATTCATATTTTTTGTTTCTTTCCCCCAAAGAGTGAACATTTTAAGATTTAAAAAAATGAAATAATGTTTTAGATGTATGTAACCATGATAACTGTTCTAAACATATAGGCTTAATTGACTCGGAAAGTAAATTAGCTCTAAATTTTGTTTTGCAAATTAGCTCCTTTGTATGCATGCTGAAAAATCATCATTGGATATTTATGCGTGCTGTTTTTATACATTTGAGTTTTTCATTTAATGCATGCATTTCTCTATGCAAGTTAATTGAGAGTAATTTGGTTTTGAATATATATTTTTTGGTATTTTACACAAATAATCTTTATCTGTAGCTCTGAGTATTCCTTAGCTTAAAAGAGATGTAGCTCTTTGTTCTCAGACACACATATGCATCAAGAACCTTCAAGAAAGAGCATCTTATGTCTGTTTGAGCACAGGAATATGTAGCTGTTTACACTAAAAAAATATATGTCTTTTTATAATCTTTTGGCCTCATAGGATATATATAGGTAGTAGAAATAGTTTTTCTTGTGCACTACAAATTCTTATTGTTTAAGGATGCCTGCTAGTAATGGTCTGTGGTTTCTGAACAACTTAGCTGTGTCATGGGATTCTAATCATGCTGTAAGATGATGTAGTGATGCCGAAAGGTCAAATCTTAAAACATACACACTTGCATGTCAATCATGCCTCTATGGTGGAGTGGTGGAGCATCTTCCTGAAGGAGTGAAAGGGAGGGGGTTTGATCCCCAGCCACATCATACCAAAAGATGGGAATAAATAGTACTTGTTGTTATCCTGTTTGGCGCTCGGCATAAAGGGGCTAAAACAAGGACTGGTTGGCTCGGAGTCAGTATACTGCGTCTGGGAGGGGTATTCATATTAAAGGTGAGGTGAAATGGGGTTTAACGTCGCGTCCAAGATTATATCACTTATATAGCAACGTGCATGTAGGTGTGTGTGTTTGTGTGGCTGCTTGTACTAGTCCGGACTGATGCGGATTTATAGTGCTAGCCCACTGAGATACCATGCCACAGTTTAACATGAATACCCAACTCAGACACAGTATACTGACTCCGAGCCGACCAGTCCTTGTTTTAGCCCCTTAATGCTGAGCGCCAGACAGGGTAACAACAAGTACCATCTTTTAACGTCTTTTGGTATGACGCGGTCGGGGATCGAACCGCGGACCTTCCGCTCTCCGGGCGGACGCTCTACCACTAGACCACAGAAGCGGTCTTATTCATATTAAGGTCTTATTCATATTAAAATGCAGCATGGTGTCACAGTGGGCTAGCAGTATAAAATCAAGATAAGTCCTGACTCTTGCAAGCAGCCACACACACACAAACACACACACACACGTGTGCATGCACATTTCTATATAAGTGAAATAATCTTGAACACGACGCTAAACCCCATCTCACCTCACCTCCATATCAAACAAAAAGGAACATATTTCTTACAGAAAGTAATCATGAAGTATGTGTTGCACATTAACTGTGTGTTATGGTTAATATTGTGTATGGTTTCTTCTTCGCCTTCAGTTGGAAGATCAAAGATTAATGATGAGTTCCGGAAACACACACAGGAGACAGATGCAAACAAAATCAAGGAGGTAAAAATACGTATAATTTGACACAAGCTGAGGAGGGTTGTTATAGCAGGTCCACACACAATTGCTTGTCCTGGGAGGCCACTAAATTGGATCAAGTTGTAAGGTTCTGTTTGTTGTTAGCATGTGATCCAACAATAGACCATCTGTGTAGATATCATCAGGCACTGCACATTTATCTACATTTTCTGAAAAGGAACAGAGGTTGTTTGTTTGTTTGTTTGTTTGTTTAACTTGCAAGTCAGAATGACCAAGATTCGGGTCTTACAAAAGTAGTTCACTTGGGACAGATCATGCGTAATGACCCATTCCAGGTCAATATGAATACACCCACACAATGACAACCCACACAATGACATTTCTATTGATCAACTCTCCCTGCAATTGGTAGTCTGCTCGTATTGGCCTGCTAATCCTATATGGACCACTATTCCTATACTCAACAACAAAAGTTCCTGTGAAACCAATATTTTAGTGTATTTTTCAAACAAGTAATGTTTGGTTTTCAATATTGTAGTACATGTATGGAGTCAAGTCACAAAAACTTAACTGCTACAGAAAAGCATGCATTCCATGCAAAAGTTGAATTTTATGTAAGCCCCATGCATTTCACTACCCAAGAATGGGTATAAAAACATGTGAGTTAACGGGATTCCATATGCATTGTTTAGCATCGTTCTGACAACAACCATTCAGAAAAACAACAAAATTACTCAATTATTTAACTTTATGAAATGCCACGCCTGTCCGTAAATGAGTGTCTGCGAGCCATTGGTATGCTTGAAGTAGGATCGAGTCAGTGTGATGTTGCAAGACAATTTAACGTCCACAGAAACACCATTTGGTGTTTATGGCAACGTTGGCAACAGACGAATGCAGTCAGAGACCATCCTCGGAGTGGCAGGCCACGCGTAACCAATAATTGACAAGATATTCTACCTTGGCGCTACTTTGGCAGATACGGTAGTTTGTCTATGATTCAGAACATGTATATGCTTGCAGTCTCTGCCTCTATATATTTCAGTTGATCACTGTAGCAGAGGACTCGGAGAAACTACTGAAGAAGACGGTTGTGCAGGGAAAGGCTCGGGAGGACGGAACATACGGTACGAGATGCTAGCTGTGAAGTTTGTTGTCGGCAATATTCCACCTTCACCACGCTAGCCTATTAATAATACCAATCAAGCACTGGGAATGAGACCCACATTTCAGTCTGTGCCAAAGACATTTGAGTTTACTGGACCGAAATTGTATCATGGCATATTTATTCTCAGCATATTAATTTGTGTCTGCTGATACCTAAGAGGGGCAATGGGGTAGCCTTGTGGTTAAGGCATTCGCTTGTCACATCCAAAGTCCGGGTTGCCTAGTTCGGCAAGGGTTGAAACTGGACTGTTAAAGTCAGTTAACTCTCTTGCCCCCGGAAGATGTCATGATGTTGTTTGTATGTTTATTCTTTAACGCCGCACCCAGCAATATTCCAGCTATAGAATGACAGTGTGTAAATAATCGAGTCTGGACTAGACAATCCAGTGATTGACATCACGATCATCGATCTACACAATTGGAATACGATGACAAGCATCAACCAAGTCAGTGAGCCTGACCACCCGATCCCGTTAGTCACGGAATCACGCAAGCATGTGTTGCTGTAGATCAATTCTTACTCGGATCATCACGGGTCTGCACCCTAATGAAACAAGAGTGGAGTTTGCATACAAATCACTGATACATGACTGTGTAAACAGTTGTGACCCCGTGGCATATATTTCTGTGGTTTCATTTTGGGGAATGGGTGGTCAGTTGTCTCTTCCACTGGGCAAAGTAGCATCCCTTGCTTATGCCATGGATTTTGACAAATTGGTAAATATTTAAAACGTTCATGACATTGAGCTTTCCTCCCACAAACTGACATGTGATATTACTGAAATATCGTTCAAAGCCATGTTAACCCTCTCACTCATTCACTCACTCACTTACAATACTTGTCGTAAGAGGCAACTAACGTGATCAGGGTGGTCAGGCTCGCTGTCTTGGTTGATACATGTCATCGTATCCCAATTGCGTGGATCATGATGTTAATCCCTGGATTGTCTGGTCCAGACTTGATTATTTACAGACCACCGTCATGTAGCTTTAATAGCTGAGTGCGTGCGGCGTTAAACAACAAGTAAATAAACAATTAATGAGGTGACATATATTTTCTATACTTCAGAGATCAGAATCACAGAGGACACGGTTCTAGAGAAGAATACCTTGTTTGACGATCATGCAAAACTCCCAGTGAAAGGGCGGAAGAAGAAGTGCTCTGATTCCCCTGACACATGAGGATGTTAATTATGGTCCTAGTCAGTCTGCAGTCTACTCCCATGTGTGACGATGAAAGAAAGACTTTGCTTGCAAACATTTTAAAAATCAGTTCTGTTGTCAAGACTTTCCGACTTACTGGCATGCAGCCAGGTTGATGACTATTACTGTTTGAGTAGAGTTGGTACAAGAATAACACAGACATGCTGATCTTCCTCTGTTGGGAAAAAAGCTGACGTTGTTGAAAATCTGTTGATATTGAATCCGTGGTATTGAAGATGTTTGGTGTTGCTCTGACTGTATGAGACACAAACAAGGTATGGGATACCTCAGTTACTGTTCCTGAAGTAAATGTAAAACACATAAATATGTACATGAGAAGGAAATATCAGCTAGCACAGTTTCATTTTCTTTGTATTATTTGCACAAAGTATGTTTTTTCTGTGAATGTCAAAGTTGTGAAAATAAAAACAATAAACATTCATTTCATGGCACTGGAGTGTTGAGGTGGTTAACATGAATGTTATGATCCCTTCATGCAGCTGGGACATGGACGTGGTCTAAAGTGCTGCAACTCTGCACACTTGTGTCATTCAATCACACTTGTGTCATTCAATCACACTTGTGTCATTGAAGCACACTGGTGTCATTAAAGCACACTGGTGTCATTCAATCACACTTGTGTCATTGAAGCACACTTGTGTCATTCAAGCACTCTGGTGCCATTCAAGCACACTGGTGTCATTGAAGCACACTGGTGTCATTGAAGCACACTTGTGTCATTGAAGCACACTTGTGTCATTGAAACACACTGGTGTCATTCAATCACACTTGTGTCATTGAAGCACACTGGTGTCATTGAAGCACACTTGTGTTATTTAAGCACACTTGTGTCATTCAATCACACTTGTGTCATTGAAGCACACTGGTGTCATTGAAGCACTCTGGTGCCATTCAAGCACACTTGTGTCATATAAGCACACTGGTGTCATTTAAGCACACTTGTGTCATTCAAGCACACTGGTGCCATTCAAGCACACATGTGTCATATAAGCACACTGGTGTCATTTAAGCACACTGGTGTCATTTAAGCACACAGTTGTCATTCAAACACACTGGATCATTTCAGCACACTGTTGTCATTTAAATATACTTGTGTCATTCAAACACACTGGTGTCACTCAATCACAACGGTGTCATTCTAGCACACTGGTCTCATTTAATCACACTTGTGTCATTGAAGCACACTTGAGTCATTCAAGCACACTGTTGCCATTCAAGCACACTTTGCTTTTCAAGCACACTTGTGTCATTCAAGCACACTGGTGCTATTCAAGCACACTTGTGTCATATAAGCACACTGGTGTCATTTAAGCACACTTGTCATTCAAGCACACTGGTGTCATTTAAGCACACTTGTCATTCAAGCACACTGGTGTCATTTAAGCACACTTGTGCCATTCAAGCACACTGGTGTCATTCAAGCACTCTGGTGTCATTCAAGCACACTGGGTGTCAAAAAGCACACTTGTGTTATTCAAGCTAACTGGTGTCATTCAAGCATACTGGTGCCATTTAAGCACACTTGTCATTCAAGCACACTGGTGTCATTTAAACAGACTTGTGTCATTGAAACACACTGTTGTCATTTAAGCATGCCAGACACAAATGATTATGGGTTTCAGTTTCACCCTGACTATCTTTCTTGGTCTGTCAGCACCGTCCCCATGTTGGTGGATTTCACCCTGATTATGTTTCTTGGTTTGTCAGCACCGTACCCGTGCTGTACCCGTGCTTGGGCTTTCAAAATCACAGATAGAACCAAGTTCAATTCTATCAAAATATTTGATTTTGCAACTCTGTACACCACCGACACTGACAACCCAAAAACGAAAACACCGACCGCCCTGAGCACTAGACCGTAACTTTTGTTGTTTGAAGCAAAAAGGTCTTATGGTATGTAGTTCAATGAACCGTCAGCGGTTGATAGTTGTGTTAACGTCCGGTGCCGTTGAGTTTGAAGCGACAAGCCTGATACTGGAGACAATTCCGGCGCGGGGTCCTGAAGTAGTTCCTTGGAGTGCTCCTTAATTTTGTTTTATATTGTTAATGATGAATAATATCTGATGTGAGTAGTGACAACCACGTCCTTTACATAATCTTGTACTAAAAGTAACTACTTGTACAAGAAACGCTACTGCCAGAACACTTTATTTTATTGGCATTATTCAAGAAGAGTATTCTTATACACGATGAGGGAAATAAAACTTTCATATTTCAGAAACAAACATGAACTCTTCCTCGTCTGAGACAACATTTTCCTCACATGCGCTCTTTTCACAATGGTTTTTCACAGGACCAGGACTGACTTTCTGCATTTCTGTTTAAATAAACGCCATTATAGTAATGAAATACATGCAATTGCCGGATGATATTAAATCAGTCATTAGGCGTACATCTAGCAGCTGGGAATTAATTCCTCTGTGTCAACCTCTGTGGTGCATGTGGTGCAAGCCACACATTTAATATGCTTCTACAGTTTGTGAGACAATCTCTATAGTCCATGTGGAACCTGGGTCTGGGGCTTATATTACTTCTGAATAAACTACTACTAAAATTATATCTTTTTGTCAAAATGCATAATTGGCAAGCAGTTCAACGCATTCTTCTCAGCTGTTCATTTTTATTTTTTTATTATTAATTTTTAAATAAGATTAGATGAACATTTACAAGATGAAGGTGGGTTTCAGATTAATATGTCAACAACAAATTCATTATACATATTCATCTAAGAGGTGCAGTTTCGATTTTGTCGTTCCCTTACTTGAAACGGCAATTTATTTATTTCATGACCGCATTTATCCTTTCACGGGTAGCGTTCGCAGTTAGTATACACAGTTTATCTACCATGTCTAGAGTATAGGCGCATTTCTAAATACATAGTTATTTAGTTACCAACAGCAGCATATGACCATTGTAATATTCAAACGCCGTCGATATCCCAAAGTAATCTTTGCCTGTCGCAAGAGACGACATAATAGACAGGATGGCCCATCCAATCTTCCAAGCTCGTAGAAATTACAGATTTTAAGAAAATATACGAGCAATACCAATGTTACAAACTCAAGTAAAGACATGTAGCACAGTACGAAATATGTACCGGAGAGACAAAATACAACAACATTGGTATTGTTATTTCCCTATATAAAGTGTATACGAATAGCATAGTCACTGGGGTCAGTTCGAAACGCTTATAATTATTACATTAAGTTTCTAATTAACCCTGTGGTGGCACGTGATCCTTTGCACAGAGCACAGGTCACACACAAACCAGGTAAAGTTAAGCAACGTAGGTCTCGGAGAGTAAGTAGTTGGATAGGTGACCACGTTACGCAGCTTGACTCCGGAGAGTTTCTAGGGTTTCGGTCCTGCCCAACACTGAAGCACATGTACCACGTGTGGTGTCTCATTAGGCAAGTGACTTTGTTTGAAATGTGCCACTGTTCACCCAGCAGTGAGTGGGTACCCGGTAGGAGGAGATTGTATTTTAATGTATGTTTAAATGCGAGTTTTCTTTTACAAATACCGAAATTATTCGTTTGAATCTTCCATATACGTGCGAGTAATATTTGTGGTGTACCAACCATCATTTTGTTGTTTATTGAGGTATTGACTTTTTCAAACAGCCTGTATTATTTCAGTTATCTCTTGCTAATGTTTTGTTTGTTTGTTGTTTTTTAACGCCGCATTCAGCAATATTCCAGCTATATGACGGCGCTCTGTAAATAATCGAGTCTGGACCAGACAATCCAATGTTTGACATCATGAGCATCGACCCACGCAATTGGGATCGATGACATGCATCAACCAAGTCAGCGAGCCTGACCACTCGATCCCGTTAGTCGCCTTTTACGACAAGCATAGTCGCCTTTTACGGCAAGCATGGGTTGCTGAAGACCTATTCTACCCCGGAATCTTCACGGGTCTCTTGCTAATGTAATAAAGGTATGTGACACGGATCTAACAAAACACAGAGGTGTGTCTGTAGGGGCTACTTACAGAAGTAGATATTTACTCAACAATATAACAGCCATACATTGTAAATATTTTTTCCTTGGTCTGTCCTAGTTTTGATATTAATAATCCAGCCACACAAATCCGATCGTTAATATGCCAAATAAGCATACATGTAAGTCAATCATCATTTTCGAAGCGCTAGTTATTGAAAGTGGATATGTGAGTGCCAGCTGTCATGGCTGATTACAGATATAACATGTATTCCCTAGAGTAATATCTGACAAAGTCATATCCAAGATAATTTCTTAAATATACAACATCATTTAGTACACATGTCTAAACTCAGCTAAGCTTGTTAATTTTTAATATGATCCCTGAATACCTTGAAAACCTATGAATGACCAGAGAAAATTCAGTCATCAGTTGTTACAATATATATAATGTCGACTTCACAAATTGTAATATTTCAGCACAGCACATATTGTATTAATCTAATGTTTGAAAATTTCTTATGATAATGTCTGTAATGAATCATTAGCTATATCTTGGTTTGTTACCAACAAATTTTTAAATTTGGTAAATGGACTAAAATGTCCGCAACACAATATCACCTAATGAGAGTTTAATAGGTACGTGAAGGATATATTTTGGATTCGGGACGCTCTCACAATAGTCAAATAAAAGTGTACAGTGCAACTTTCCTGCTACTCATTCAGGGGCACTTCACACAATATTTCTTTAGAAGAATAGCAATCACAATCTTTCAGGCAAAATCCCCCCTTTGTCCAAAGTTGAACACATTTCTGGCCAAAAGAACTACCCAGACACCACATATTGCTCCTGATCGCAGTGCCATCCAACCAGGAATAGGCTCCCTTGGCGTTTGTTCTGCCACCAACGAAGACGTTTGACATGGTTCCTAAAATCAAATAAGTTACATTTATATTCCCTGGCTCATAGAATCAATAATACAGTTTCTCATATTACTCACCTGTCAGTTGATTTATACTGGTCGTGCCATATTGTTCACATAGAGGCTGTATTGTTATTTTCAAGAAATAGCGACCTTCAATCATAATTACAGTTTCTAAGTTAATTGAAACCATAGGCAGTTTGTTACATACAACTGATATATACTAGCCACATTAAGAAACTGTGCACGGAGAAAATATAGATATAAGGGCACACCGTCCATATATGAAATATAGATTTGAACACAGCAATTATTGGAGACATTCAAACGCTCATGCACGTGCCATGCGATATGACGTCATTGACGGGGGCTTATGGACGTGCAGTGTGTTACTGCACGTGCATCCTGTGCAGCTGTACACAGCATGTGCAACTCAAAATTCGCTGCCACTTTGGAAAGCATGATCTGTGGTCATTCAAAAACTCAAAACTTCTCAGGCGCAGACTCAAGCATATCACAAGCAAATCATGCCAAGATTGACAGCTGCACAGTGTCATGAAGCCATTGGAATGATCCGAGCGGGAATGAGGCAACAACAGGTGGCAACACATTTCCAATGCCATCGTAACACGATATCGGCATTGGTGAGGCGTTATCAGAACACAAATGACGTTGCCGACCACCCACGTTCAGGACGTCCCCGAGTAACGACGCCAAGACAGGACAGATGGATTCGAGTTACACATCTCCGACACAGGTTCCAAACGGCAGTAACGACGTCCCAGACAATTCCTGGACTGCGCCGTATCCATCCCAACACTGTCAGGAATCGTTTACGTCAGTACGGGATTCGACCACGACGCCCTGCCATACGTCCCATACTGACACACCGTCATCGAGTCAACCGTCTAAGATGGTGTCGAAATCATTTTCGCCAACCTCGAATATGGTGGAGAAATGTAGTCTTTACAGATGAATCGAGGTTCAACATTTCCTACGGTGACGGGCGCCAACGTGTCTACCGGCGTTTGGGAGAACGTTATGCATGCAACTGTATTGTGGAGAGGAATCGTTTTGGAGGTGGCTCTGTGATGATTTGGGGTGGGATAACAGCACGGCACCGAACCCCTTTGGTGGTTGTTCAGGACAACGCTCGTCCTCACACGGCTAGGGTCGCAATGGATTTCCTTCACCATAACAATGTCATGTTACTGCCAGGGCCTGCAATTTCTCCAGATCTCTCCCCAATAGAGCATGTGTGGGAGGAAATGGAGCGCCGTCTGCGTCGTCTTCACATCCTCCAGATAACGTCCGTGACTTGGCACAGGATTTGAGGAGGATATGGCAGGCCATTCCCCAGGCCTTCCATGCCCATTTGGTGGACTCCATGCGTCGCCGATGCACTGCTGTGATTCACGCACAGGGTGGTCATACCCGTTATTGACTTTGTGACTTTGTCGTTTGACCCCCTACTCCATTTTGATCTTCTGACGTCATCGTAACAGATGTTGTTCAGGTCCCGTTGACATTTTCTTATGGTCCGATCATTCAGCTGCTACAGCGTCTGCATCATTTTGTTCTTGCTGTGTTGTATTTCAATCCAGAATATATTTTCTCCGTGCACAGTTTCTTTATGTGGCTAGTATATAATCCATAACCTTTTTTATCCACATAGATCACCACTGCTCGATGTTTCCGTGCTGTTTGAATCTGGGCAGGACGGGCATCTTTGGACTGTTCGGTGCATCTCTTCTCATTGAAGGTTCCGTAAGGATTCGCAACGATCTTCACGCACAGCCGTGCTTCTTTGTCTTGATGGAAGTCGGGTGGGCATGTCTTGGCTGAAATGCACAATATTATACATCATTTCGATCTTTGACAATTCAGCTTTCCATATTCGTTATTATAGCATGGAATGCCCATCATCGCTCTTGCATCCAAGCATTAAAATTCCTGTTTCAGGTATTTCCTGTCCTTGTAGTCCCCTATTTTGACATTGACCATATGTTCCCGTGTTTCTGTTCATGTGAACAGTTGACTCACATTTGCACATGTTTATGCCACCAGTTGGGGTGGGGAATCTCACCTTTTCGCGAACACCAGGTATCATCACTATTTGGCTTTGATGCCCAAACACATGCTTATGATTATTATGATGACGGAAATGTTTTTTGTCGCTTGCGTTTTCAAACGTAATGTTAATGTTTTTCTTTGAAATAAATATTTCATTATAGGTGACTTTGCGGCTACTGACAACAGATCTAATGACAATATCGTGCCCTCATTGCTAGATATGTATAGATCTCGTAATAATTGGCAAAATATGATTAAGTAATTTACCATGATTGTACTGCTATCGAACATAATGTTATTTTCAAGGTGAACATTAGTTTTTCGTGATAAGAGATAGCCGCCGACATAACGCTACCCCCACCAAACCTGTCCACTTCCTGTACGCAGTTCCGGCGTAATATTCTCCCCGACGTCTGTAGACCAGTGCTCGTCCATCCCCTTGAAGGGGCATTTACAGAGTTAGAATTTAGGCATACCTAATTTTCAGTGACAAATTTACAGAGAAAACATCTATCATCATCGACTTATTTCATTTGTTTCACTCCTGTCTTTGTGTCTCTATTCAGTGTCCAGTGTCGAGTGTCCAGTGTTTCAGTGTCCAGTGTCCATTGTCCAGTGTTTCAGTGTCCAGTGTCCAGTGTCCATTGTCCAGTGTTTCAGTGTTGCAGTGTCCAGTGTTTCAGTGTCCAGTGTCCAGTGTCCAGTGTTTCAGTGTCCAGTGTTTCAGTGTCCAGTGTCCAGTGTTTCAGTGTTTCAGTGTCCAGTGTCCAGTGTCCAGTGTTTCAGTGTCCAGTGTCCATTGTCCAGTGTTTCAGTGTCCAGTGTCCAGTGTTTCAGTGTTGCAGTGTCCAGTGTCCAGTGTTTCAGTGTCCAGTGTCCAGTGTCCAGTGTTTCAGTGTTTCAGTGTCCAGTGTTTCAGTGTCCAGTGTCCAGTGTCCAGTGTTTCAGTGTTTCAGTGTCCAGTGTTTCAGTGTCCAGTGTCCAGTGTTTCAGTGTCCAGTGTTTCAGTGTCCAGTGTCCAATGTCCAGTGTTTCAGTGTCCAGTGTCCAGTGTCCAGTGTCCAGTGTTTCAGTGTCCAGTGTTTCAGTGTCCAGTGTTTCAGTGTCCAGTGTCCAGTGTTTCAGTGTCCAGTGTCCAGTGTCCAGTGTTTCAGTGTTGCAGTGTCCAGTGTCCAGTGTCCGGTGTCCAGTGTCCAGTGTCCGGTGTCCAGTGTGTAGTGTCCAGTGTCCAGTGTCCAGTGTTTCAGTGTCCAGTGTCCAGTGTCCAGTGTCCAGTGTCCAGTGTTTCAGTGTCCAGTGTCCAGTGTCCAGTGTCCAGTGTGTCAGTGTTTCAGTGTCCAGTGTCCAGTGTTTCAGTGTCCAGTGTCCAGTGTTTCAGTGTCCAGTGTCCAGTGAACAGTGTCCAGTGTCCAGTGTTTCAGTGTCCAGTGTCCAGTGTTTCAGTGTCCAGTGTCCAGTATTTCAGTGTTGCAGTGTCCAGTGTCCAGTGTCCAGTGTCCAGTGTCCGGTGTCCAGTGTCCAGTGTCCAGTGTCCAGTGTCCGGTGTCCAGTGTCAAGTGTCCAGTGTTTCAGTGTCCATTGTCCAGTGTTTCAGTGTCCAGTGTTTCAGTGTCCAGTGTCCAGTGTTTCAGTGTCCAGTGTCCAGTGTCCAGTGTCCAGTGTTTCAGTGTCCAGTGTCCAGTGTCCAGTGTTTCAGTGTTGCAGTGTCCAGTGTCCAGTGTTTCAGTGTCCAGTGTTTCAGTGTCCAGTGTCCAGTGTTTCAGTGTCCAGTGTCCAGTGTCCAGTGTCCAGTGTTTCAGTGTTGCAGTGTCAAGTGTCCAGTGTCCGGTGTCCGGTGTCCAGTGTCCAGTGTCCGGTGTCCAGTGTGTAGTGTCAAGTGTCCAGTGTCCAGTGTCCAGTGTTTCAGTGTCCAGTGTCCAGTGTCCAGTGTTTCAGTGTCCAGTGTCCAGTGTTTCAGTGTCCAGTGTCCAGTGTCCAGTAAACAGTGTCCAGTGTTTCAGTGTCCAGTGTCCAGTGTCCAGTGAACAATGAACAGTGTCCAGTGAACAGTGTCCAGTTTCCAGTGAACAGTGTCCAGTGTCCAGTGTCAAGTGTCCAGTGAACAGTGTCCAGTGTCCAGTGTCCAGTGTCCAGTAAACAGTGTCCAGTGTTTCAGTGTCCAGTGTCCAGTGTCCAGTGAACAATGAACAGTGTCCAGTGAACAGTGTCCAGTTTCCAGTGAACAGTGTCCAGTGTCCAGTGTCAAGTGTCCAGTGAACAGTGTCCAGTGTCCAGTGTCCAGTGTCCAGTGAACAGTGTCCAGTGAACAGTGTCCAGTGAACAGTGAACAGTGAACAGTGAACAGTGAACAGTGTCTAGTGTCCAGTGTCCAGTGTCCAGTGTGCAGTGTCCAGTGTCCAGTAAACAGTGTCCAGTGTCCAGTGTTTCAGTGTCCAGTGTCCAGTGTCCAGTGTTTCAGTGTCCACTGTCAAGTGTCCAGTGAACAGTGAACAGTGTCCAGTGAACAGTGTCCTGTTTCCAGTGAACAGTGTCCAGTGTCCAGTGTGCAGTGTCCAGTGTCCAGTAAACAGTGTCCAGTGTCCAGTGTCCAGTGAACAGTGTCCAGTGTCCAGTGTGCAGTGTCCAGTGAACAGTGTCCAGTGTCCAGTGAACAGTGTCCAGTGAACAGTGTCCAGTTTCCAGTGAACAGTGTCCAGTTTCCAGTGTCCAGTGTCCAGTGTCCAGTGAACAGTGTCCAGTGTCCAGTGTTCAGTGTCCAGTGAACAGTGTCCGGTGTCCAGTGAACAGTTTCCAGTGTGCAGTGTCCAGTGTCCAGTGTCCAGTGAACAGTGTCCAGTGAACGGTGAACAGTGAACAGTGTCCAGTGTCCAGTGTTTCAGTGTCCAGTGTCCAGTGTTTCAGTGTCCAGTGTCCAGTGTCCAGTGAACAGTGAACAGTGTCCAGTGAACAGTGTCCTGTTTCCAGTGAACAGTGTCCAGTGTGCAGTGTGCAGTGTCCAGTGTCCAGTAAACAGTGTCCAGTGTCCAGTGAACAGTGTCCAGTGTGCAGTGTCCAGTGTCCAGTGTCCAGTGAACAGTGTCCAGTGAACAGTGTCCAGTTTCCAGTGAACAGTGTCCAGTTTCCAGTGTCCAGTGTCCAGTGTCCAGTGAACAGTGTCCAGTGTCCAGTGTCCAGTGAACAGTGTCCGGTGTCCAGTGTCCAGTGAACATTTTCCAGTGAACAGTGTCCAGTGTCCAGTGTGCAGTGTCCAGTGTCCAGTGAACAGTGTCCAGTGAACGGTGAACAGTGAACAGTGTCCAGTGTCCAGTGTCCAGTGTTTCAGTGTCCAGTGAACACTGTCCAGTGAACAGTGTCCAGCTATTGTATGAAGCAAAGTCTAGTGGAATGCCACAATGGCGACGAGGATATAAACTCACGTAACATTATACAAACTTTCCACGTCTTCGACAATCCTTTCGTTATCAACAGTTGAATCACAACACTTATTTGTGAGACCACGTGCCCGATGGAAACACACTTTGCTACGTTCGATTAAGGTCCAGACACATCTCATGCTGGTTCTAGTTAAAAAGGCTTGAAAATCGGAATGGTGCTCGGCAAGCCTCGGAGTTTTCCCACTTTTATGAACTCGTGTTGATATATTTGATATCAAAAGACACTCGGGTGAGATTCTCTATGTAATGCCGATATTTCATTCTCCGAAATACACAAAGAAAGAGTCAGCGGGTCCAAATATAAAATTTCACAAATCCGAGTTCATTGAAAAAGTGCATGAAGAGTCCATTAATGACACAGTAGTCAGGTAACACGTCATCAATAGCGAGTGTGACCACCCTGGGCATCCATGCACGCCAACACACGCCTCCTCTTTGACGTCGTCAGTCGGCGGATAACGCCAACAGGAATCCTGTTCCATAAGTTCAACAGAGTCTGTTCAGCTGACGATCAAGATGATCCCAGAGATGTTCAATGGGGTTCATGTCTGGAGAACAAGGTGGCCAGGGCAATACGTTGACGTTAACGTTGTTCAGGTTGTCTTGAACAATTCGGGCTTTGTGAGGCCTTGTGTTGTCTTGTTGCAAAATTAATCCTCTTGGCTGATGTTGAATAAAGAACACCACAACAGGTCTCAACACTTCATCCCTGTATCTCTGAGCATTCAGGTTTCCTCGGATGATAACCAGCCACAAATGCCACCCCATACCATGACGCCTCCACCTCCAAACGGGTGAACGTCTCTAATGCAGTTTGGCATCAGTCGCTCTCCCCTTCGTCGAAAAACTCGAACTCTGCCATCGTTCCTGAACAGACAGAACCGACTTTCATCTGTAAAGAGCCCTCTCGCCCAGTCACGTCGCTGCCACCGACGTACCCTTCGTGCCCATTGCAATCTGCGTTGACGGTGTAGGCGGGTCAAGGCCATTCCACGGAAGGGTCGGTAGGCTCGTATACCAGCAGTAAGAAGTCGTCGAAGGACTGTTCGTCCGCTGATGGCATGCCCTAGTGCTGTTGCCGCCGTTGACGTCGCCGTCACACATCTGTTTCGGAGGTGAATCTGCCGGATGTAGCGGTCTTCGGCCGGTGTTGTCCCTCTCGGTCTTCCCGATCTTGGCCGGTCTTGAGTCTGTCCTGTCTGTTGGTAGCGGATTATCAACTTGCTGATGGTGGTCTGGGAGCAGTTGAAGGTTCTGGCTATCTGACGTTGAGTAGCCCCCATATTAGGCATACCGATCGCTCTGTCTCGTTGCGCTTGTGTAAGTCTGGGCATATTCTTGGTGTTTTTGTGCTTACTGAATGCCTCCTCTGTCCAACGTCGGTATTTATGCCACAATCACGCACGTGCATTTGGACCAATGTCTCAAAATCACGTTTTGCACGTTTTCAACAATGCATGATTTGGAAAGCTGCGTTCGAAAATCTGCGTTGTGGTTGTGGTCATGTTGCATTTGGGCGAATGTTTTCTGCGGGGGTTCAAACCTGTACCAGCTTTTTTGCTTTTTATACAACTATTTTTTAAAGTGGGAACTTTCTTTTGCCCGGTAGTGTATTTTAATAGCTATGGGAGCTATCTTAATCTTAAATGTTAATTTGAGCAGCAGCAATTGCAGAAATGAGGGTCATGTACCCCACGGCTGGAGCCGCTACTTATGACTTAGAAATCCACCATTATGATCGAGAAAATGAGAATAACCACCAACTTAACTTTTGTTGAATTTGTAAGTATTGAAGTATTGTATGTTGCAATACCTAGGTTGGAAAGAATATCTTAGTGGTGTTAATGCTTTGCCTACCAATATATCTGACCCAAGTGTCTAAAACAACTTACCAGTAGCTGGGGAATACTACAAATCCTTGGTATATTCGCACCTAAACTGAATATGTCTTTTGTTGGGAAATCACTTTTGAAATTTTCAGATGGTACACATCATTAAAGATTGGTGACTTTTGGACCTGTATAAATGATATTAAGTCAATCATTCTGTGACTAACACCTATGTGAGATGACATAAACAGCACTCGCGATTTGTGAAAAAGCACTGACCACGCCAAATGAAAGTACCATTTCATATTATGATGAACTATTGTCTTGATCATTGTTGCCTGTTGTCACTGTAAAGGGGAATGTGACAGGTGACATGTACATGCGTCAAATCATTCATCCAATTCATCCACTTTTGATAACCACTCTCTGGTGATACGTCTACATGGACGACGAAGCGAGAAAGTTTCAACAGAGTTCCTCCAGTTGGTCGGTTCTCTTGGTCGGTCTCGATCTAAATGAGCACATCTGCCCATACTTGAGCACAACATAGAGAAGGTGGACCCAGCAGTTGCCAACTGTGGCAAAGTACCATTGGTAGTCATCTGACTGGAGGCACGAGGCAAAACCTACCAGCCACAACGGGCTAGGTCACCCAGCAGTTCCAAAGCTAAGTCACTGTATCCGCGGTTGCAGATAGTAGCAAAGTGGCGAGTGTGACTGTCATTGGACCCATGTAACTGTTTCCACAAGAAGCCCAGATAAAGGTTTAATCTTCGCTGCTGAAGCCAAAGCTATCTTAACAACTTTGACCTATATTCAGCAACAAATGCAATGTACAATATTTTCCTTGTCTTGTCTTCAGGCACTTAAAACTGTGTCCTCGAATCATCCTTTTATCCAAGACATTTTAGAACTTCATAAGGATCTTTCTGTTGGCCAATTTGCTTGTAGCCATGTCATATAGGCATAGCAGGTGACTGCAAAGCAGATGCTGGATCTCTACTCCTTGTCTCGTAATTTCAAGCCAACCATCAAAAGTTATACTCGGGATCTCATGCAAAGAAGGTGGGACAACCAAGTACGAATCAATAAACTTTATGAATTGAAACCAACAATTGGTTGTCAGACAAGACATGATGAGGTCATTTTGCGACGATGTATTGGCCACAGTCAGTTTAGTCACGAATATCTGCTAATCTAAATGAGGACAGATCTCATAGGTCTATCCCTTGTGAGGAATGGTTCACCGTCAAACATACACTGAACCGAAAAAGAAACGTCACCATGGATATATGCATCAGAAACCGTATTTGTCCAAACACTGTAAACATACTTTGAGACATACTAAAAGATGAAACGTGGCAAAACTGATCATGAAGGTTGAAATTAAAGTGTCAAATGTTCTGAAAGTGAAACACTCTAGTCTCTGAGAAAATGGCATCACAAGTCAGTATCTCATGTGTCCGCCATGTGCATTGATGACTGCCGTGCAACGTCGATACATGGAATGGTTGAGGCGGTTGATGAAGGCCATAGGCACTTGAACCAAACCCCTGAGGAACGCCTCACGCAGTTCAACTGCAATGTCGGCCTTGGTCAGACGTCATCCAGCCGTCTTTGAATCGCGTCCCACAGGTGCTCAATTGGATTTAAATCGGGACTGAGGGCAGGTCACTGAATGGTTCTGATGCCATTCTGCTGGAGGAAGTCTGTTGTTGCTCTCGCAGTGTGGACACGGGCGTTATCATGCTGAAACACGTGGTTGCGGCGACGTGCCAAATGAGGTATGGCGCGTGGTCCCAAGACTTGATCAATGTACCGAGCTGCTGTGACACCATTGCCTCTCCCTGGGCCGATGTTCTGGAAGACCACAGGGCCGACCCTCTGTGCAAGACCAATTCCATCCAACACCATGATGCTCGGACCACCCCACGAGTCTCTCTCAACAACACAAGCATCCGAATAACGTTCCCCACGGCGTTGCCAGACTCTCTCTCTCTCTGCCATCTGCTGTTGAGATACAGTAACGGCTCTCGTCTGAGAAGAGGACTCTTCTCCACTGTTGGTGGCGCCAATGCTGGTGCTGTGTTGCCCACTGAAGACGGTCCCGGCGATGACTTGGTGTCAGAATGGGTCCTCGGTGTGGCCTGTGACAGTGGAGGTGTCTCGTCAATCGTCGACGCACGGTGTATGCACTTATGTGTCGTAGGTGTGTCCCCGCTTTGCCCCCATGGTCTGTCGAGCAGTTTCCGCAGCAGTAACAAAGCGATCTTGAAGATGCTGTCGCACAATCTACGTGGTCGGTCATCTGTAGTGTTGGTGGTCTGGTACCGTTGCTGGAGCCTGTATATGGTCCTTACGTGGACTTGAAATGCATTGGCTACTTGCCGGGCGGTTTGTCCAGCTTGCAATCGTCCAAGGGCTTGGTGTTGCTGATTTCTTGTCAATCTTGGCATGTGGTAGCAATTCAATAACGCTTGAATGCTATCCGATCTGGGTGGATTTTTATAAGGCAAGGAATGGGGGAACGTATGTGCATTTCAATTTCCACGTGCATCGGGTTACCATGGACGATTCAGTGATGCGTTTGGGCGATCGGTTTATTGTTTTCTGCTTTGTTTTTTTTTATCAAGGTAATGTTAAATATTTTTTATCATCAAATTTCATTTTTCCAGAAAAGGTAATGTTAAATTTTAGAAACTTTGACAAAAAATACCCATATATTTAAATGACAATTTTCAAGCAATTTTACTTGGGGTGACGTTTCTTTTGCGGTTCGGTATATATTGTTGACTGTGTGGACTTTTCAAATTCAAGGGATTCACATTATCCAGCAACATACTTGAAAAATCTATTTTCCCGCGTGAGCGGGTATCTAAGTTTGAAATATACATATATGTCATTAACTAAGTGCTTTTTTATATTTGTCTTGAATACTTTCAATATAACTTTAAAGCATTTACTGTAAATCTTAAAAGTTTTGCAGGAAAGTACTGCACACACAATTGGTGCCCTAAAGTTTTTTTTACAGAGTTATGGCCCTTGCTCCATGCTTTTCTATTCCGCGCGTAGTGACTGCAAAGGGGACATATTTTCTCAGAAACTACTGACGCTACATGAATGAAACTTTGCGCGCTTATCTACGAGATACTTGAAAAGACTGTGTTCGAAAATTAGTTCCATAAATTATTTTCTTCCCAGAGTTTCTTCTCCCCTACTACATGTTTTTAGATTTTGAGCATACACAGTCACGGCGGCCTTTTGAGCCATGCTTTTTTACAAAGTGCATAGTCTCTGCAATGGGGACAAGTTTTCTCAGAAACTACTGGAATAGCTTATCTAAGACATACCCAAGACAGAGTTCGAGAATTTACTGCCATGAATTATTTTGTTCCAGAGAAGGGCCTTTTGTAAGAATTAATTTTAAATTTAATCATTTTTTCTGATGGCAGAAAGAGACAACAGTGCCGATCTCTTCTTCAGGCGTTTTGTTATACATGTATTTTATATTCACTAAATTCAAAAGAAAATTCTCATGTACTCCATGGCGTTGGATACTGATAACGCTGGTGTCTTGTTGATACTGTATCAGCATTTGCCGTCGCTATATGGCTCAAATAACTCACTCACACACTAACTCCCGTGAAACAACAGGTTGACGTCACTAGAGGTGTATAAGTGAACGTCGCCCTCCTGTGCGACCAACTGCTGAGTATTTAAGCTAGCAAGATGGATGGTGATGTACACAATGATAATGATAATGATAATGGTGCTTAACAATCACATTTGGATTAAAGCAATGAAGTGTAATGACTGCAATACATTTATGAAATAGATTGATGCATTAGACATGTGAAGTTAGCATTAAACATAAGGCTTGTAATACGTATCTCACCTCTGCGCTTGGTGTAAGCTCTGGCGCCAGGTTTTGCGATGCCAGATGGCGAAACGGATGAAGCATAGGTGTAGCACTCGCCATCATAGTGCACCATAGCGACACACAGATCGTCCCGTGAACAGATTGACCCGCATTCCAGGAAATCGTCACACTGACTAAAACTGGAGGGGATCTCTAGAACATTTATGTTATCCAGAGAAAAGACTCTTTGAAACAGATGGGTTTGAACTTCGGGCATCTTTGCTACCACATCTGGGGCAAAGAGCAACAAAATAAGTAACAATTTCATCTTGCTAAGTCGCGGATAGATGAAACTCTTAATTCAAGGGTGGATATAAAGTAAACACGATCCCTGCATCAGCTACCGATGTCCTCCAAATCAAGAACTTCGCAGTATTTATTCTGCACTGGGACTGGTAGCCAACCAGTAAAGCAAAAAAGGATTTCATTAAAAGATATGTTTTGTTAACGTGATCTTGATAACAAACTATTTATTCCGTCTGGGAGGCCTGATAGTTTTAATAAATAAAAATTTAAAATATCAAAGAGCAAATGGTTGGCTCTAAAGTGAACTATTCAACAGCGTCGCTATCATGATGATGATGATGATGATCATGATGATCATAATCATCATCATCAGCATCAGCATCATAATCATCATCAGCAGCATCATCATCAGCATCATCAGCATCAGTATGATAGCGACGCTGTTGAATAGTTCACTTTAGCATCATGTTAGGTCACTAGTACACATGTTGTGTTTCTTGCGTACACGGTGCTTAACTAGAGATGCTGCTGCCCACGCTGAAGTAACTCCTCACACATAAAGGTGCCGACTCGTAACTGTCAAATAGTTTTAAGCGTACCTAAATTCACACACACGAAGGAGCAACATAATTAAATAGACAGACCGGTTGCATCAGGGCGCATTGACGAAGATAAACCAATGTTATTTTAAGTATTTATTTGCACTAGCCAATAATAACCAAGCTAAAGCATCAATGATTAAAGTAATCTGTTAACAGTTGCCCTCACACAGTGTGAGTTCGTCTAGCGTCTTACGACCGCCTCCCAGGTCTAGTCGTAGAGTGTCCGCCCTGAGAGCGGAAGGTCCGGGGTTCGATCCCGAGCTGCGTCATAAGATGGTACTTGTTGTTACCCTGTCTGGCGCTCGGCATTAAGGGGCTAAAACAAGGACTGGTCGGCTTCGAGTCAGTATATTGTGTCTGAGTTGGGTATTCATGTTAAACTGCGGCATGGTATCTGAGTGGGCTAGCACTATAAATCGGCATCAGTCCGGGCTAGTACAAGCAGCCACTTACACACACACACACACACACACACACACACACACACACACACACACGCACGCACGCACGCACGCACACACGCACGCACGCACACACACACACACACACACACTGACGTGCATGCAATTAAACCGATACCACTGATTAGTATATTTTTAATGCCATAAGTAATTGAACTATCATGATAAGGCTTTAGGATTTTGTTTTATATACAACAAAGGCTCAAATGTTCTATTATTTACTGCTGAAAAGATAAGGAAAAACCCGAGGGCAATTAACATGTATTATAAACAAGCAATAGAAATAAAATCTGGAACCTTTTCTCACTTGCATTGAATTATTTCCAGCTCTTTTATTGAGTGAATGTTTTTATAAAGTCACAATTTTGGCCATATCGTGACTATTTAAAGTTATACAAAACAAAAACAAAACAAATGTATACCATATACATTCAACAAAGGACGATGAAATACCTAGAATAGCACAGATTGCACCGTCAGTTATTTCAGGGCATATGTTTTGTTGTATATGACACGGAGTGAGTTAGTGAGTGAGTTAGTGAGTGAGTGAGTGAGTGAGTGAGTGAGTGAGTGAGTGAATGAATGAGTGATGCAGGGCCATTTGGAAAAACCGACGAGCACGGGGATGGTGCTAGCTGACATACAAGCATAATTGGGGCGAACCAAGGATCATAGGTTGTGGGCGTGCCCACACGGCGGAACTGTGCACAGCGAATTGCGGCGCCTTAAACGATTGTGTCACCCGTGCCCTGAAATTGATATGGCCGCAGGTTAAACCACATCGCCATTATTGCAGTTCTAGATTGACGAGATAAGCCCTGGTGTCCTGAAGATGAGTAGGTCACTAAACGTATTGCATGTTCACATACATGTATGATCCGAAACAAAGTCGCATTTTAAGTAGGGTCATGAACAAAAATTATGTTTTTACTTCTAAACCATTGATAATTTTGTGGGATTATACTTCTCACGGCGAATTCTGAACAAATGAAAACATTTGCAAAAGAATGACATTTTCGGAAAGATAATTTCGATTCAATAACATTTTAACCGCGCCGGGTGAAAGGTGTTTGCTCCACAAGGAGGAAAAAGGTTTCACATCTCCACATCTCCATCTGCTGATCCTCCACATCTGCACCACTGGCTAAGACGTCTACACATCTCCATCTGCTGATCCTGTGTAGCACCACTGGCTACGACGTCTACACATCTCCATCTGCTGATCCTGTGTAGCACCACTGGCTACGACGTCTACACATCTCCATCTGCGGATCCTCCGCATCTGCACCACTGGCTACGACGTCTACACATCTCCATCTGCTGATCCTCCACATCTGCACCACTGGCTACGACGTCTACACATCTACATCTGCTGATCCTGTGTAGCACCACTTGCTACGACGTCTACACATCTCCATCTGCTGATCCTCCACATCTGCACCACTGGCTACGACGTCTACACATCTCCATCTGCTGATCCTGTGTAGCACCACTGGCTACGACGTCTACACATCTCCATATGCTGATCCCGTGTAGCATCACTGGCTACGACGTCTACACATCTCCATCTGCTGATCCTCCACATCTGCACCACTGGCTACGACGTCTACACATCTCCATCTGCTGATCCCGTGTAGCATCACTGGCTACGACGTCTACACATCTCCATCTGCTGATCCTCCACATCTGCACCACTGGCTACGACGTCTACACATCTCCATCTGCTGATCCTGTGTTGCACCACTGGCTACGACATCTACACATCTTCCAGGCGGTGGAGTAGCCTTGTTGTTAAAACGTCTACTCGTCACGCCGAAGATCTAGGTTCCAATCCCCACATGGGTACAAGAAGCCCATTTCTGGTGTCCCCCTCTGTGATACTGAGTTAGTATTGCAAAAAGCGACGAAAAACCAAACTTACTCACTCACTCTACACATCTTTACTTCCTCACTTGTACGATTTATGTCAGCACAAAATGAAGTAATAAATATTCTTCAGATAATCATGTTTTATTTACCGAATATGATAACAACCTAACCCTTCACTCTAATGCATACATAATACACAAAACATTAAGAGAGGAAATTCAACAACTGATGATTCTTTTGTTTGCCAGGCATTGTGTCAAACATATTTCAGAAAACCAAAACATTTGATTTTGTTGATAGATCGAAATTGTTGTATGTACTTTTTCAAAAAGGAACCCATGGTACAAGGTATAAAGTTCTTGAAAATATGTATAAATATGTTTCCGTAAGTGTGACAATAAGCAATAGCAGGTCGGATGTTTATAACACCTTTTGGGTGGTAAGACAGGGCTGTATGTGGAGCCCACGTTTGTTAATCTCCTTCATCAATCAGTTACTGTCTGAAACAGAGGGAAGTGAATACCTGGGAATCTTTTAAGTGAAGTTATTGAAACAATTACGCTTCTGCTCTCTGCAGAGGATGTCCTACTTGCAGACTCGGTTATAGAATTCCAAAGAAAATTAGATATGTAAAAACTTTTTGGAAAGGTGAATGGACAAATCTAAAATTTTAGTGTCTTCAGAATTGGCTATTGTTACAAAACGTGGTGACCACAGATACAGTTGCGTATCTTTTTCAGGACATTTTGTGAAAAATGATAACATCTACGTAAAAGTTTTGGGTAAGACATTCAGGCAAGAAGTAGGCATCCCCCATGGGCATCAATTGTTCTCCCTTCTTGCGGATCTGTTTCTTTATTCATATGATATCGGCATTTCTGTTCGGATTGGTTTAACCTTAAGCTTCAGGTACATCGTTGATCTGATATCGTTCAATAACAATCAAATAGCCAATTCCCTTCCACTGATTTACCCACCTGAACTCGAAAAACAGACCAGTGAGACCGCCCATTCTGTTTTATATTTAGATCTATGCATAAAGATTCCGAGTGACAAAACACTCTCCAACAGACTGCATGAGAAGAGAGATGACTTCAACTTTCCCTTCATGTCGAGCAATATTTTAGCAGCTCCAGCCTTTGTGTTTACATTTCTTGAGAGTTACAATCGAGCATGCTCTTTCTACCAACATGTCAAAGAGCGTCTTACGACTCTTTCTCAGAAGTTGTTTGATCAAGGTTGCAACATTCGGGTGAACAATTGACTTGCCTTTGCATGTGTTTGTGACGGTTGCCACCGGTGGGGCGGACATGCGCTCAACTTTTCGCGACAATCTGGTATCATTACTATTTGATAGTGATTCATAAACACATGCTCATGATAAGTCGGAATCTTACAATCGACTCTGCTGTTTGCAGATATTTCCTTTGGATATGGACAGGGTTAGTCGCTTTATTAAACAGAGATGTGTAGATATAGAAATACAGAAATGGTTTAAAAAAATTACAAGCTGAGATTTCCTGTCACATTATAATTATTTCACCTCATTACTAGCGTCAGAGAAGAATATCACACCAGGTATCTAAGATAAAGAGGATCTGTGTTGCAGCTACGATTCGCACTATATCTATTAGTTTAAAAATACAAACCTGCGGTATTGTGAAAATAAGGCGAAACCTTATATTGACCAGCTGCTGCTATATACTGTTACCATTGTGATCAATTAGTTGTTGAAGACGAGTTCACTCATGTCACAATATTACCATAAACATCCTTCTCGTCAGAAATTTCAGAACACATTCAACAATCAAAGGTTTTGCTTTGTATCTGAAAACAAAATGTATGCAAATTCAAGTTTTAAAATATATATATTGTATTATGTAATGTATGATGTCACATATCATTGAATAAGTGTAAGACTCACAAATACGCTTGGCCTAAAGGTATTGTACTCTGGGCCAAGTGGCCTGCATTACTCAATAAAGAATCTTGACAATACATTGGTGTTGTAATTCGTCTTCAATGTTCTTGCTGTTCACGTGTGTGCATGTTGGTCTCCTGTTGGCGTCCTCCCTTCCGCTCAGCTTAAGGGGCACGGGTGGCCAAGTCGTCTAAGGTGCTGCGATTCGCTGTGCAGAGTTGGGTCCCCTGGGCACGCCAGAAGCCTATGATTAAGGGTTCGAATCCCAGTTCTCCCCGATTATGTTTTGAAAGCACCATTCCCGTGCTCGTCGGTTTCACTGAAGTGGTAAACGTCTGAGACCTGCATCACTTGGGGCCATCCTCACTTATAAAGCTGACACGCCGCGATATAACTGGAATACTGTTAAAAGCGGCGTTAAACCCAACTCACCCACTCACTCACTCTGCTAAGTTTGCACACACATGGGAAATAACTCTTACTCCTCTTCAACCTATAAAGAAAACGAATTGAAACAATAGGTTTCGGTCCATTGAATAATATGCATTACATTTCAAAGCAAAATAATTGCTTGTCAGGGTTTGAACAGCGTTGGGGTTTTAAGAGAAATGATTGGCCCGAGATAGGTAATGTGACGTCATGTCGAGCTCATAACTGTCAGGAAATTTCTGATAACATTTTTTTATTTTACAATGTCAATAAACATTATGGTACTTTTTAGATTGTGGGTGGTGTTAAGAAGTCAATGCCCTGCTACTGATATATATAAAACCTCCAGATTCGGGAAGGTATACTGCATCTTTCATATCATCCCTGACAAGTCTCAAAGTAATCAATGTACTGTTTAGTTATCTGCCATTTTTTACACAATTTTCTATCATTAATTTGGAAACTGGTCAATTCTTCGATTCTGATTGGTCAGTCAGGGGTTTCAAATATCAATAACCATCTCTGATTGAAATAACTAATTTTCGGCCGCATCAAAGTGGAAGCTAATATTTAAAAAATTCTACTTCCTCAATCATTGTCGGTCAGCATTTTGAAATTATGTACAGGTATGAGTTACAAAATGCACAGTTGTGGAAACTGTGCGCTCGGTTACAAATTAAATTAAATTTAATCTCCACATTGAAAACACAGTATGTTTATCGCTAATTGACGATGGGTGGAAAAGATGGGGTTTGCGGAATCAGGTGACAAAAATGTAAGTCAGTTTCACCTTGTTTGGGATAGGCAACACTGGTTTTGTTTACATAATGTTGTCCAACAATGTCCATCCCTAAATAACTTACTGTGGTGGCAAAGCGGGATGGCATGTGTCTTGAGGTGATGGAGAACTTGGGTCCTGGATGTAGCGAGGATGGCGATGACGGTCTATAACCAGACGGGCCAGGCGTGCGCTGAATACGAAGAACAAGAAAGATACAGAAACACATCGCCACCGAAATGTTAACGTTTAACTCAAACATTACTGGTGAGGTGAGGTGAGGTGAGGTGAGGTGAGGTGAAATGGGGTTTAACGTCGCGTCAAAGATTATTGCACTTATATAGCGACGTGCATGCACGTGTATTTGTGTGTGTGGCTGCTTGTACTAGTCCGGACTGATGCCGATTTATAGTGCTAGCACACAGAGATACCATGTCGCAGTTTAACATGAATACCCAACTCAGACACAGTATACTGACTCCGAGCCGACCAGTCCTTGTTCTAGCCCCTTAATGCCGAGCGCCAGACAGGGTAACAACAAGTACCATCTTTTAACGTCTTTTGGTGTGACGCGGCCGGGGATCGAACCGCGGACCTTCCGCTCTCCGGGCGGACGCTCTACCACTAGACCACGGAGGCGGCCCAAACATTACTGAAAACGCCAGTGATAATGTATAATATAATTTTACAACAAAGAAAAAAAAGCTCCACGCGTGAACCAACTGCTTTTCACACATGGATCACAAGCCCAGGATGGTATTGTCCCAAAGACAAGGACGGAATGGAGGGTTTCAACATATTCTGTCTGACAGAAAGGAACTCAGGACGTTTACTAGAACAGGTATGCTCGCATCTAGATGGGGGATAAATGTTACCTGTTTCCTACAGAGATCTGACCCGAAATGGTTTCTCGTTAGATTTCCAGGGCAAATGAGGTTCTCATTGCAGCATGCCTGGCTCCTTTGGAGCCAGTGAGGAGACAAAAGTATCTCCCTGAGGAATTCTAGAACAGTTCATGTCTCCCATGATCGTCCCCCAAGTGGATAATGGGAGAAGATTGGTTCCAATTACCGCATGATTCTTGCCCGTAGGGATTCGGGGTAAAATAAGTCTCCACCACCGAATGACCGTTTCCCTGGAAGGATCCCGGAGTATAATAAACCCCATCAGCCCATCATTGTTTCCTATTGGTATTCCTGAGCAGAATAAATACAACCAGCCTACGATTGTTTCCTATTGGTATTCCTGAGCAGAATAAATACAACCAGCCTACGATTGTTTCCTATTGGTATTCCTGAGCAGAATAAATACAACCAGCCTACGATTGTTTCCTATTGGTATTCCTGAGCAGAATAAATACAACCAGCCTACGATTTTTTCCTATTGGTATTCCTGAGCAGAATAAATACAACCAGCCTACGATTTTTTCCTATTGGTATTCCTGAGCAGAATAAATACAACCAGCCTACGAGTGTTTCCTATTGGTATTCCTGAGCAGAATAAATACAACCAGCCTACGAGTGTTTCCTATTGGTATTCCTGAGGAGAATAAATACAACCAGCCCACGATTGTTTCCTATTGGTATTCCTGAGTAGAATAAATACAACCAGCCTACGATTGTTTCCTATTGGTATTTCTGAACAGAATAAATACAACCAGCCTACGATTGTTTCCTATTGGTATTCCTGAACAGAATAAATACAACCAGCCTACGAGTGTTTCCTATTGGTATTCCTAAGAAGAATAAATACAACCAGCCTACGATTTTTTCCTATTGGTATTCCTGAGCAGAATAAATACAACAAGCCTACGATTGTTTCCTATTGGTATTCCTGAACAGAATAAATACAACCAGCCTACGATTGTTTCCTATTGGTATTCCTGAACAGAATAAATACAACCAGCCTACGATTGTTTCCTATTGGTATTCCTAAGAAGAATAAATACAACCAGCCTACGATTGTTTCCTATTGGTATTCCTGAGTAGAATAAATACAACCAGCCTACGATTGTTTCCTATTGGTATTCCTGAGTAGAATGAGCCCCATCAGCCTACGATTGTTAACTATTTGTATGTCTGATAGGAATAAACCCCTTCAGCCTACGATTGTTTCCTAATAATATTCATGGGCAGAATAAACACCTTCAGCCTACAATTGTTTCCTATTGGTATTTCTGAGCAGAATAAACTCTTTCAGCCTACGATTGTTTCCTATTGGTATTCCTGAGTAGAATGAACTCCACTAACCTACGATTGTTTCCTATTGGTATTCCTGAGCGGAATAAACCCCTTCAGCCTACGATTGTTTCCTATTGTTATTCCTGAGTAGAATGAACCCCTTCAGCCTACGATTGTTTCCTATTGGTATTCCTGAGTAGAATGAACCCCTTCAGCCTACGAGTGTTTCCTATTGGTATTCCTGAGTAGAATGAACCCCTTCAGCCTACGATTGTTTCCTATTGGTATTCCTGAGTAGAATGAACCGCTTCAGCCTACGATTGTTTCCTATTGGTATTCCTGAGTAGAATGAACCCCACCAACCTACACTTGTTTCCTATTGGTATTCCTGGCAGAATAAACCCCTTTAGCCTACGATTGTTTCCTTTTTGTATTCCTGAGCAGAATAAATCCCACCAGCCTACGATTGGTTCCTTTTGGTATTACTGAGTAGAATAAACCTCTTACCAGCCCACGATTTTTTCCTATTGGTATTCCTGAGTAGAAAGAAACCCAATCAGCCCACGTTGTTTCCTATTGGTATTCCTGAGTAGAATGAACCCCTTCAGCCTACGATTGTTTCCTATTGGTATTCCTGAGTAGAATGAACCCAATCAGCCCACGATTGTTTCCTATTGGTATTCCTGAGTAGAATGAACTCCTTCAGCCTACGATTGTTTCCTATTGGTATTCCTGAGTAGAATGAACCGATTCAGCCTACGATTGTTTCCTATTGGTATTCCTGAGTAGAATGAACCCCTTCAGCCTACGATTGTTTCCTATTGGTATTTCTGAACAGAATAAATACAACCAGCCTACGATTGTTTCCTATTGGTATTCCTGAACAGAATAAATACAACCAGCCTACGAGTGTTTCCTATTGGTATTCCTGAACAGAATAAATACAACCAGCCTACGATTGTTTCCCATTGGTATTCCTGAGTAGAATAAATACAACCAGCCTACGATTGTTTCCTATTGGTATTCCTGAGTAGAATGAACCCAATCAGCCCACGATTGTTTCCTATTGGTATTCCTGAGTAGAATGAACCCCTTCAGCCTTCGATTGTTTCCTATTGGTATTCCTGAGTAGAATTAACCCCTTCAGCCTACGATTGTTTCCTATTGGTATTCCTGAGTAGAATGAACCCCTTCAGCCTACGATTGTTTCCTATTGGTATTCCTGAGTAGAATGAACCCCTTCAGCCTACGAGTGTTTCCTATTGGTATTCCTGAGTAGAATGAACCCCTTCAGCCTACGATTGTTTCCTATTGGTATTCCTGAGTAGAATGAACCCCTTCAGCCTACGATTGTTTCGTATTGGTATTCCTGAGTAGAATGAACCCAATCAGCCCACGATTGTTTCCTATTGGTATTCATGAGCAGAATAAACCTCACCAGCCTACGATTGGTTTCTGTTGGTATTCCCGAGCAGGATGAACAGAATGTATTATTAGCGCCTACCAGTGGCGAATCCGGACCAGAAAGAGCCCGTGGTTGTCTCCCTCTGCTGATTCCACGCTAAAATAGGCTCCCTTAATTCAGCAAATTGCCTCCAATTGCGACGAATGATTCTTAAGTACAATAGGATAGTAAGGGATCAGAGAGTCCATGTGTTATAATGTATGAGCTGGCCTGACATCGTACCCTACAAGCGTGGATGGTTGCTCATTATGTAAACCACTTGTTTCATCAATCGAAAATGTGATGGTCAAAGTGGTAAATAATGGTGCGAACTCGGGCATGGATCTATTCATTTACTCACATACACCATTCCCATACTCACTCACCATCACGGATAAATCACGCGGCCTTGACCCGAGTGAGTAGGAGGGGCCAGGGTCTCTCTCCCATGGGGCTGCTGGTGAGTATGCACTAGGGCCTGGCATGGCGTCCTATCAATAAATGGGGTCAATTAGGATGAAACAGAAAAGAAGCAGCACGATAGTTGTACATTTTCACCTGAAATCACCAAGAGAGGTAACGCAAGTCCCATTGTTCCTGTAATTACGCAAGTCTCTTTGTTCTCCTGTTGGAGATAACAGGTGAAAATGTATAGTTAAACCATTAATACCAAATTTTAACATTAAGGAGTGTTGGCTTTGTTATTCCTGTGTTCGTCTTCCCGTCGGTTTCCAAGAACAAAATAAGTCCCACTGTCTGGAGGATACCCAGCGTACCATTAGTGTCTACCAGTGAAGACTCCTGGCCTGACAGAGGCCATGATTGTCTCCCCGTGTTGATTCCTGGCTACTGGCTCCTTGAATCCCGCCAAGTCTCCAATGGTGATTCACTGAAGCATGATTCACAAGTACAATATGATCATGTCATGTGTTACAACGTGTGCGCTGACCTGACATCTTTTCCTACCAGCGTGGGTTGATGCTCATACAACACACCGTTAGTGTGTCTGGTCAGTGTCTGTTCAGTCGAACATGTGAAGGTCATGGTGTTAAAGACTATTGCTGACTCGGGCTCGAATCCATTCATTCTTTTACTCAGTGCTCCACTGTTGGAACAATTTCACTGAAATTCCCACGTACCTCAATCTCTATCCTCACTCACCGAGCGTTTTAGGAGATGTGTTGACATTGAATAGGAGGGGCCAGGATCTCTCTTCGATGGGGCTATTGGTCTGTATGTACATGGGGATGGGGTCCGTGTCTACAGCAATAAATGGAGTCCATTAGGATGAAACCAGAAAGAACAGCACGATAGTGGAGCTATGAATTTTCACTTGTAATCACCAAGTGGACAGATAACACAAGTCCTTATTATTCCTGTAATTCACTTCCTTTCAAATATTATGCCACCTATCCATACTTAAGACGTGTGGGTGTAAGGTAACAAAACCCAAAGTGATTCGCCGCTGTTATTAAATGTATGTCAATTATATAACTGTCGGACAGATAGGTCTCTGATTTGTATCACTTTGGTATGATATTGACAAACAAGGGATAACAATCAGAGCGAACCTGAGCCTGAAACCCCTGATGCTAGAATCCACGCCGTAAGGACGCAACTATGTAAACTACCCCACTCAGGAGACAATAGTCCAGGTCCCCCTCAGTTTTAACATGTAGCTGAAGGCTGAAGTGTCCCCTCTCTGGAACAGTCTGAAACTGACAGACAAACAACGGAAAGTGGATGTTGTCACTTCACTTCCAGATGTCCCCAGTCGTGATGTGTGGACAGGATCACGGCCATGGGCGTTATTAAATATCCAAAAGGTACCTTATCACCTCCTTCCAGAAAATCTGCAAGTTCAATACGTCTCCTGGGTGGCCGCTTTGTCTCTGCTTCACCGGCCATGGCAGATTGGTCACAGTTGGAATTGGAATGTTCACCTGTGGTGCTTGCAGATTGTCTGCAAAATGTATTTCCATTGATGCAATAAATCTGAATATATACTCTGCAAAAAACACTCGCAAAAGTGATGTTTAGATGTACATGTATATCTTACATATCATATAAATAATCAGCAGATGGTAATCGATTGTTCTAAATTTGCACACATCGTTCTCACTGACCCAGGTTCCACACACATGGAACAGTAGAAGGTGAAGGTAATCTGTTCTCAATATCTTGTATGGCCACCATTAGAGTCCAAAACTGAATGGCATCGTCGTCCCATGGAAGCAATCAGATCCCGAATTGTGGCCTGGGTAATGTTCACCCATTCTGCCTTCAGTGCTTGTGCCAGCTGTCGGAGGTTTTGTGGTTGTTGCTGACGTGATCGCAGTCGTTGATTCAGTGCATCCCTGTTCCGTTGAGTTCAAAATCCGGAGACCTAGACATGACATCCGGAGACCTAGACATGACATCTGGACACCTAGACATGACATCTGGAGACCTAGACATGACATCTGGAGACCTAGACATGACATCTTAAGACCTAGACATGACATCTGGAGACCTAGATATGACATCTGAAGATCTAGACATGACATCTGGAGACCTAGACATGACATCTGGAGACCTAGACATGCCATGGCAGGACTGGAAGTTATGATTCCTGAAAAGGTCTGTTGTTAATCTTGCCGTGTTAGGTCGGGCGTTGTCTTGTTTGAAAATGACCTCTGCTTGTTGAATAATGGGAAGGACGTGTGGCCGAAGAATCTACCAATTTTCCAGAACTACAATTGTAGGGGATACACATCATCACGCTGCCACCACCATATCTGTTCACTTCCTGTATGCAGTTTCGTTCCCCGCGTAGCCTGTAATAACGACGTCTACCATCCACACGGCGAAGCATTAAACGTGACTAGTCACCAAACTTGTCACCATCGCAGTTGTGGTCATACTCTGTGACCTTGACACCATTGACATCGCAGCCGACGATGCAGGTCCGTCAGAATTTCAACTCTAAATGGTCGACTAGCGCGAACACCCTCAGCGCGTAAACGGTTCCTCACTGTTTAGGCTGTTGTTCTATGCAATCCTGGTATTGCCGTAGTTGTAGTCGTGATACGTGGTCGACAAGAACTGGGAAGGTCAGGTGTTGTCCCGAGTGTCTGATAACGTTCCACGGTCTTGTAATGCCGCCTGATGCTACATGGGAACCTGGCTACAGCTGAAGATGGTTCTCCTGTTTGAAGTTGTTGGGCTTCCGTCAGTCGTGGCATGTTTTCGCTGTTCACTTGCTGTAAGATTGTGATGGCATGTAAATGAAAACCCAACGTTTTTCATAACCCAAGTGATGTTGCACATGTTGGTGTGTTTCGGCGCGAGACTATCACGTGGCTGCCATTTTCCCCCTCTTTTTACCAAATTTCTGCAGTACCTGCTTCTTTCCATACAAATCAATCCCAATCCATGCAGAAATGACCAATTCATTTTTGGTATTAATTTTGTATGGATGTCGGTAACACTCTGGCACATTTTTAAGATGATATTACTTTTGTTTTTCTTTTATGGCAGAGTATATATCGGGGTTTTTTTCAAATCACCTCAAGGCAGTGTATAGATCAAAACTACGGAGTAAATTATTCCTTTTATAGACGAGCTTTTTCAGCTCCGAGCCGCTGTTATCTATGACCCGAAGAGGCTCGCTGGAGCTGAAAGGTATTTTTGTTTATACATATTTGATAAAATCTCAAAGTGTCTTGAGGTTTATTCCGGCTGCAATGGATGAAGACATATCCCATCCGTTGGTTGCCAGTTCCCAGTGCGGCGATTGATAGGGCGTTCCGTCACTGATGCTGCACGTTGGGAAAATGCAAAGTGCGCAAGTACGGGTAATCCTGTGGCGTCATCACACGTGGTCTGCCGGATCTTGCCCTGTCCTGGGTACTGCCGGTCGGTCTGTGACCTTCAAACAATCTGGGCGAGGTTGTCATCCCCCTCCCCCGCCCCTCTCTACCTCTCAAAGCCGCACGCCTTTTCCGAGTCAATAAAATTCACGCGATAGCACAAGTTAACCTCAGCTCAATCGAACAGCTGTTTTCTATAAATGTCATCTTAAAACATGTCGGTAGGATAATTTGTTGTAGCAGGATCACTCGTTGTGCATGGGGTTTTATGCGTTCATCGAAAGGTTTTATACCCATCGCCTCCGACTCGTGGTATGAAACCTAACGCGGGACGCGTGAAACCCCATGTACACCGAGTGATCCTGCTACAAACCCCATAGACACTGAGTGATCCTGCTACAAACCCCACGTACACCGAGTGATCCTGCTACAAACCCCATGTACACCGAGTGATCCTGCTACAAACCCCACGTACGCCGAGTGATCCTGCTACAAACCCCACGTACGCCGAGTGATCCTGCTACAAACCCCATGTACATCGAGTCATCCTGCAACAAACCCCATGTACATCGAGTCATCCTGCAACAAACCCCATGTACACCGAGTCATCCTGCAGCAAACCCCATGTACACCGAGTCATCCTGCAACAAACCCCATGTACATTGAGTCATCCTGCTACAAACCCCATGTACACTGAGTGATCCTGCTACAAACCCCACGTACACCGAGTGATCCTGCTACAAACCCCACGTACACCGAGTGATCCTGCTACAAACCCCATGTACACCGAGTGATCCTGCTACAAACCCCATGTACACTGAGTGATCCTGCTACAAACCCCATGTACACCGAGTCATCCTGCAACAAACCCCATGTACACCGAGTCATCCTGCAACAAACCCCATGTACATCGAGTCATCCTGCTACAAACCCCATGTACACCGAGTGATCCTGCTACAAACCCCATGTACACCGAGTCATCCTGCAACAAACCCCATGTACACCGAGTCATCCTGCAACAAACCCCACGTACACCGAGTGATCCTGCTACAAACTCCATGTACACTGAGTGATCCTGCTACAAACCCCATGTACACCGAGGTTTCCTGCTACAAACCCCATGTACACCGAGTGATCCTGCTACAAACCCAATGTGCACCGAGTGATCCTGCTACAAACCCCATGTACACCGAGTGATCCTGCTACAAACCCCATGTACACTGAGTGATCCTGCTACAAACCCCACGTACACCGAGTGATCCTGCTACAAACCCCATGTACACCGAGTGATCCTGCTACAAACCCCATAGACACTGAGTGATCCTGCTACAAACCCCACGTACACCGAGTGATCCTGCTACAAACCCCATGTACACCGAGTGATCCTGCTACAAACCCCACGTACGCCGAGTGATCCTGCTACAAACCCCACGTACGCCGAGTGATCCTGCTACAAACCCCATGTACATCGAGTCATCCTGCAACAAACCCCATGTACATCGAGTCATCCTGCAACAAACCCCATGTACACCGAGTCATCCTGCAGCAAACCCCATGTACACCGAGTCATCCTGCAACAAACCCCATGTACATCGAGTCATCCTGCTACAAACCCCATGTACACTGAGTGATCCTGCTACAAACCCCACGTACACCGAGTGATCCTGCTACAAACCCCACGTACACCGAGTGATCCTGCTACAAACCCCATGTACACCGAGTGATCCTGCTACAAACCCCATGTACACTGAGTGATCCTGCTACAAACCCCATGTACACCGAGTCATCCTGCAACAAACCCCATGTACACCGAGTCATCCTGCAACAAACCCCATGTACATCGAGTCATCCTGCTACAAACCCCATGTACACCGAGTGATCCTGCTACAAACCCCATGTACACCGAGTCATCCTGCAACAAACCCCATGTACACCGAGTCATCCTGCAACAAACCCCACGTACACCGAGTGATCCTGCTACAAACTCCATGTACACTGAGTGATCCTGCTACAAACCCCATGTACACCGAGGTTTCCTGCTACAAACCCCATGTACACCGAGTGATCCTGCTACAAACCCAATGTGCACCGAGTGATCCTGCTACAAACCCCATGTACACCGAGTGATCCTGCTACAAACCCCATGTACACTGAGTGATCCTGCTACAAACCCCACGTACACCGAGTGATCCTGCTACAAACCCCACGTACACCGAGTGATCCTGCTACAAACCCCATGTACATCGAGTCATCCTGCTACAAACCCCATGTACACCGAGTGGTCCTGCTACAAACCCCACGTACACCGAGTGATCCTGCTACAAACCCCATGTACACCGAGTGATTCTGCTACAAACCCCACGTACACCGAGTGATCCTGCTACAAACCCCATGTACACCGAGTGATCCTGCTACAATTTATAATGCCGACTGTCGCTATAATTATATAATAAAGAAATTGTCCTTGAAATTGTGTTCTCCTTGTCACCCGTCAATTTCTAAGAAATGTCTAAAAAACAAAATACCTAATAAATCACCGAATAAGCAACACATAACTGTATCTGGTCCCTTATTGACCGATACATGTGTGAAGGAACACAGAAACCATTGATTAATTCACACTCCTGTTTTAACCGGATTGAAATAAGAATACTTTTTCTTTGAGCCATGACCAATCTCTCTTTCGTATCAACATAAACATAATAACTCGTATATGCTACCAAACTGAACTTACCTCTACATTGAAGGAGCCCATCAGTGTGTGGCTAGTCAACTCAAAAGGTGTATAACAGTCGAGCACGTATGCCTCACCTATATTTAGCAGGTTATCGGTGACGACCTGCAATAAAGGGGGGCGGGGGTGGAGGTGGGGGTCGAGCAGTCTATGGAGTTCTACAAGGGACATTGTCGCGCTGTCGAATTGTCCACCTTTGGTAACAAAACTGAAATAATATTCAAGGCGATGCGCGACAATGCGACTACGTGACATTTGGTCAAACTGTTGCATGGTCGCGATGTCGCGCTTGGGGTAATTGTGTCACCGTTTGCTTGATTTTGTAAGGACGATAACGCGACAATGTCCCTTCCAGGATTCCATAAAAGTATACATGTGGAAGGCGGTGATGAAGTGTTATGGCGTTGTTGGTATGCAATCTCGTCCTAAGCGCTGAATAATCCTGTTTGATTTAAAGCACTATTTACTGTATTAAATTGTATTCAATTGATTGAATTTAATATTGATCTGAGGAGTTGTTGGCGGGGCTTCAAAGGTAAACATGGTAGGTTTTGTTTACAATTCTAAACATTGATTCTTTGGGAGATTTATCTCTTACACCTACCTAGGATTGCAACTGGATATCACTGAGTTTATCTCTAACTATTTATTAAGATAGCCTTGACCTTGAAATGTTTTGATCTACTTAAATGCTAATTTGTAAACATATGCCCTTAGAGGCGTAGACTCACTGCCAATAAGCTGTATTTTGTTAAAATCTGTTTAAATTAATTGTATTTTTATTTGATGCATTTTATGTATTTGTACTGTTTCTGAATAATTCGTTTATATCAAAAAGCGTATTTCTACTATCGTTTATATCATGGTTCACCGCATTCACGGCTAGTCCATCAATGTGGCGCTCGTGGTACCAACAGCAGAATCCCTCGCCTATGTGGTATTCAAATATGGCGTTCCCGGCCCATAACCGTTATACAACCGTTATTGACCCGGATATAAAATAATCGCTATCTAAACACGAACTACGTGACTCAACATAGCAACACAATAAACATGCTGAGTAATACGATACTGAATTGGCTCACGGATGACCCAGTTGTCTAAAGCGGCGCAGATCGCTATGCAGGGTTGAGTCCCTCAGGTGTGTCAGAAAACTGTGATTGTGGGTTCGAATCCTGATCTGCCCTGATTATGTTTCTAGGTTTGACAGCACCATACCCTTACTCGTGGATTCCATCAAAGTGGTAAACGTCCAAGACCTGTATCACTTCGGGCTTGCCTCCCACATCAAGCTGACACGCTGTGATGTAACTGGAATACTGTTCAGCGGCTTTATACCAACCTTACTTACATGAATAGCAGTATCAGGTACCAGTTAACAGTACCAGTAGCAGTGACAGGTGTGCGTGCGTGCGTGCGTGCGTGCGTGCGTGCGTGCGTATGTGTGCGTTCGTGTGAACAACGGTCCACACGCTATCAATCACCGACCACCTGATCAATGGCGTCGTCTCATACGACCAGCAAAGGTTCCCGAAGATTCATTCTAACCCGGAATCCCCTTCTGACGCTACGTATGGAAAACCAATGTTCCGTTTATAATTCTTTTTTTTGTTTAAACGGTGGACAAAGTGAAACGTAAAGATGGGAAATAAAATCAGTTAGCTCACCTGAACTTCGTGAGTGATGATTAACGCTGAGACATGCTTCTGTAATATCACTGGAGGGGCACAACAAGAACAGTACTTTATGGCGGTAATGCAAACTAGACTCTACACAACAAATTAACACTCTTAATCCAGTGTATTTAAAAGTTTTAGATATGATTATATATATAAAAAGTAAAACCCTATCGAAATATTTTGGAATGCTGACTATAAGCCAGTACAGTTCACTTTTGGACAAACATATTTCAGATACTTCATGAGAAGATGGAACATATGATTACATCAACGGAGACGTACAGCCTCGTTTGTTTTGCCCCTCAGTTTATAAGAACATTAAGATTGCTACACCGATCGATCATAAGATCTAAAATGTAGTTAAAACCAGAACATGTGCGGTCATAACGGCCTTGGAACACCCGATGAGCTGTTACATCAGTTACCTACTCATAATTTGAAATTATGGAATGATAAGTATTTTAGTCTAGATTAAAAGATTGTGGGTGACAAGGAAATAGCACCCGCATGTTGATGTTCCTGTAGCAAAATGTTTAAAATGACTTTTGTTGTCTTCTACGTATCTAGTGTATTTAATACTCAGGTATTTGTTGCCTGTGAGAATCAACGACAATGTCTCTATGAAAGTGCTGAGATTACTTTGATATTAAGAACTCTCTTTTAGTTCAGCATTGTGCAAATATGATTCCCATTGTGTGTCAAAGATAATACAACGATTGAAGTGACATCTCAAGCTCAGGACTTAGTGGACACAGCAGAAGCAGCGCAATGAAGAACAAAGTAAATATATTTAAACTTGATATTGAGCTCTTGTTTTCATTTTGTTACATGTATGAATATTAAAGAAGGGTGAGTGAGTGACGCTGCTTTTAACAATATTCCAGTAATATCACGGCGTGTCAGCTTTATACGTGAGGAAAGCCCGAGGTGATGCAGGTCTCAGACGTTTACCACATCGGTGAAACCCACGAGCACGGGTATGGTGCTGACAACCTAGAAACATGATCGGGGCGAGCCGGGATTCGAACCCACAATCAATTCAATCATAGGTTTCTGGCGTGCCCAAGGGAAGCAACTTTGCACAGCGAACCGCTGCGCCTTAGACGACTGGGCCACCCGTGCCCCCACACTGAAGAAGAAAGGTCAGTTTAACTTATTACTCATTTTTGAGAAAAGACATCTTACAAATAGATTATGAAGTGATATAAGACGCATGTAAAGTGGTCAAGTTAAGGCTGTCTACTACACGGACGGACCACCTCCGTGGTCTCGTGGTAGACCGTCCGTCCGGAGAGCGGAAGGTACTGGGTTCGATCCCCGGCCGCGTCATACCAAAAGACGTTAAAAGATGGTACTTGTTGTTACCCTGTCTGGCGCTCGGCATTACGGGGTTTAAACAAGGACTGGTCGGCTCGGAGTCAGTATACTGTGTCTGAGTGGGGTATTCATGTTAAACTGCGGCATGGTATCTCAGTGTGCTAGCACTATAAATCGGCATCAGTCCGGACTAGTACAAGCAGCCACATACACACGGACGCGACGTTAAACCCCATTTCACATCACCTCACTGAATGGGCTCATAACCGTAACCAAACCGAGAATAAAAAAGTCTCACAGCTAAACCCTCATAACGACTGTCTGAGGATTGTGCGACGCATCTCTCGCCCCTCCGGCACAGATCATGTATTTTGACGTCGTCTTCTCAAACTCAGTAAATTCCATTTACATTTAGATACGAACAGGTGTAACAGGTGAAGCAAGGGGACGCCAGATCTCGACGTCAACATAACGCGTTTGTAGCTTGTCGACGATATGGTCGGCATGTGACAAGATCATCTTTAATATGAGGGGAATATCCATTTTTTATTCATTCACTCTCTATCTACAGAGTCACTAACAGGAATGACAAGTGTCTGCTTCCTTTCTCACACCAAACTACAGTATCTATCACAGGGGGAACTCGTTCTGGGAAAACGTATTTGACTAAACAAATACCGGAAGAATACTCGCCCTATTCGAATTCGAAGCAAACAGGAATATTAACAGGAGAAGTTTGCATGATTTGTTTACTTGAAGACTGAAGCGAGTTGATTAAAAAAAGACACAGTTCCGCAAGAATACGTTTCAGTTAATCCGCAACAGTGACATGAACAAGGTCTACTCTTGGAAGATCGTGTGCTTAGATCTCCCCGTCTCCTATTTCACTCAGATGAAGAAATGTCTCTGAAAAAATCTCAACATTATTTTTCAAAAGAAGCATACTTTAAATCCTTAAAGCACCCAAACCGTGGAGTGTATCTTCCAATTTTGTGGTCCTCAACCATACGTCTTTAAAATGATAGAATTAGAACTATAGAACATGACAGACAGTATTTGTCCGTGTAAGGATTTCCCCGAGTTATTGGGAGAAACTGTACCTCATCAACGTCAAACACAATTTTAGTGTATTTTTCAAAAAAGTAAAGTTTGGTTTTCAATATTGTAGAACATGTGTGGAATCAAGTAACCAAAAACGCAACTGCTATAGAAAAGCATGCATTCCATGCAAAAGTTGACTTTTATGCAAGCGCCATGCGTTTCACTACCCAAGAATGGGTATAAAACATGTGCGTTAAGGGGATTCCATATGCATTGTTTAGCATCGTGCTGACAACAACCACTCAGAAAAACAACAAAATTACACAATTATTCAACATTACGAAATGCCACGCCTGTCCGAAAATAAGCGTCTGCGAGCCATTGGTATGCTTGAAGCAGGATCGAGTTAACGTGATGTTGCAAGACAATTTAACGTCCACAGAAACACCATTTGGTGTTTATGGCAACGTTGGCAACAGACGAATGCAGTCAGAGACCATCTGCGGAGTGGCAGGCCACGCGTAACCAATAATCGACAAGACAACTGGATTCGAACAACACACCTACGAAATCGATTCCAGCCAGCAACAGTGACTGCAAGAAGCATCCCTGGCCTTCGACGAATATCTTCACAAACCGTACGTCGTCGCCTCAGATGTGCAGGGATTGTCGCCAGAAGACCCGCCAGACGTCCCATTTTGACAGGAAACCACCGTCAAGCACGTCTACATTGGTGCAGACAGCATCTACGCTTGACGGCCATGCAGTGGGGACAAGTTCTATTCTCGTTTTCACCTCAGCCATTGAGATGGACGGATTCGAGTGTACCGACGTCGAGGTGAACGTTACGTCAATCATTGTGTCATGAAAGAAGATCGGTTCGGGGGCGGCAGGGATTACAGGAAGACAGAGGACCCGTTTGATAGTGGTAGAGGGTAATCTCAATGGACAGCGTTACCGCGACGAGATCATCGGCCCTGTTGTTCTACCGTTTTTGCGACGTCATGGCCCCGGCATTACCTTTCAACATGACAACGCCCGGCCTCATATTGCTCGACT